AATAGGCATTGTCTACAAAGTTCACAGATGGCCCAAGCCTCCGAGGTGCTGTCCGCATAGACCGCCGGACATCATCTACTGGTCCGTATTTCATAGCGCTTGCCCAAGATGTAAGGAATCCCGCTGTAAAATATGGTACAGCTGGTGGGAAGAATGTACCTAGAACGGCTCCGCCTATGCCACAAGCCAGTCCTGCCAGCCCACTTTGCACAAAGCCGCGCTCTGAGCTCTCTTCCTCTGCATGATCAGTATCGAGGTTGCCAACATCCTGCAGAACAACTTCCGGAGGTACATGAACAAAGTTGAACCAAGCATAACAAATCCCCTCCTCCTTGTGGCCTTTGATGATGAGTCTCCCTACCCGTTCATCAATTGCCATGCGCTCGTATACAGCAAAACTCCGTTTAGCAGGAATCAGCAGGTGAAAAACCACTTCATCTGCATCCGCTCTCCCCATTGTTTGCCGTAAGCACCGTCGATTTTCCCACATGATGTGAAAAACACTTTCAAGGTCAGAGCTGAAGCCGCCGAAAGAAGCTGGTAATGGCCTCTCGCGGATCATTTGTTTGAATACAACGTCGGCGCTGGTGGTTGGATTGTAGATGTAGAACGCGTGGTGTCCTACTGATGCTTCACCGCCATGGTCGCTGATTTCGTTCTCCAGAAACCAGTAGATAAACGCGCCAAACCCTTTGCTGTCCCATCCCTGTACTTTTGCCGTTGTCTGCGCCCCCAGCTCCTCCCGAATTTCATCTAAACGTAGACCAATCTGCTTCAGCTGCTCTCCTGTTTGTATAGCGACAACAGTTCCAACATGCACGCTCGCTGCGAATACTGCGGTGAATTCGGGACTTGCGTTGAATGCACAGCTTGGGATCTCGAATGTTCGGGGTTGCGCAGTATGGTCGTGGCTCGCAGCCATTCGTTTGTAGAGGGCTTCCTGAGCACGTGCTCTTGCGGATTCAGCCCGACTCGCTTCGGATGCTGCTTGGGATGCTGCTTCCTGGGCAACTGCAGCCTGTCTGGTCTTACTGTCGGTGTAAAGACTGGACGCGACTTGCAGACCAGTGAGACCGATACTAATAATCTGCCAAACGACCATTGGAAAAGCCTGTGTTGAATTATTGCAAAGTGTGGGTCGATATACCAATAACCTTTCTAGTTATTCTGTTCTGGTAGAAGTAGGAAAGCACCAGTGGTAGAATGCTTATTATACCTTTGTAGTGCAGCTTCGGCGTATTTAATGTCTCCAGCTGTGTTCGTTAAAGAAGGGGGCAAAGGGGTTCGCCCTCCATATGTTGTCAGTCAATGAGGACTCCCGCGGTTATGTTACAAGCCCCCATTCATATCCACAGTTAGTAACCTATCAGTTAAAGAAGTCCTCCAACGCCTGAAACCAGATCGGATTCCAGGGTCTACGTAATGGTCTCCTTTGCAGGCTGGCGCTAAACGACTTGCTGGCGACGACGTACTGTTAATACGGTAAAAGCCTCGGCGCCAAATTTATAATTAGACATAGAACTGAGATAGTTATCAGGAAAAGATAAGTATGTCACCTTAAAGAATACTTAAAGAATAATCAGATTATTCGAATCACCTGGCTCACTCTCTTAAAGCGGCAACAACTACAAGAGGTAAGGGAGAAGGACTCGTAGATTTTTGAACAGTAGAACTACATATTTACTTCAGTTGCCTCACGTATCTCTTCCTTCCTCCCCTTCTTGCCGTTTCAGGGCCGCAGCATGCAAAGCGCGTGTCTTCCACTTTATTCTTCTGTAGTAGGTGGAATCATGGAACCCAGTAAAGGTCTAGTGTGGCTTGGCATTAGGGCTCAGGAACAATCAGCACAGATCAACTGGAGAACACTCCCCAACTACCTAACTGTACTCCTACTCACTCCAGCCAGTGGGTGAACCCAACAGCACATTTATTCTTGAGACTATTACATACAAGCCCAGTCTGCGAAGTGCAGAAGACCCTCTTAACAGCATTCACCAGAAATTCCCCCAACTCCTCGTCGGAGACGTGGCAGTACTGATACGTTGCGAGCACTCAGGAAGAGGCGGGGTGCCTCGATTTTGATGTTCTGCTGACAAACCCACAGTCCCGCCAACCAATTAGAATACAAGAATCCTTCCGGCGGCAGGCATATAAACCATTCTAATGTCTGTCCTTTCGCCTTCGGGCATTTGGTCAATTTGAAACGATACAGAGAAGATTAGCATGGCCCCTGCACTAAGGATGACACGCTCAATCAAAGAGAAGCTACCAGTTTTTTTTTAGCATTTACCCTCCTCGTTTGGAGGAGTTGCCTTTTACGCCTCTTCTCATCTATTCAAGCGAAGCGGCAAGGGCTGCAGTTCGAAACACAGAGCTGGCAGCTCCTTTTTCCCACACGCACTCGGCATGGGAGTTGTCATCCACTCGCCCTTAACAGGCAGGATCTATATCCATCGTGGTTCGATTTTTATGACTAGCTTTACAGTATGCTATTATGTACTCAGTTCCAGTTCATATAAGGCAATGATCAAAGAGCACCGCGTCCCCGTCCAGCACGTAGGCAACTAGTATTCCCTTCCCAGGTGTATCCACGCCACACCCTCACGCCCCTCCCTCCCTCTTCGCGTATTCCTCCTCCATCCGCTCCTCGTACAAACGCTCTGCTTCCTCCCGGCTCAGCGGTTGACTACTTCCAGCTTGCCGAAGAGCATCTGCTGCAGAGGTTGATGCTGTGTTGGTACCGGAACCGTGTACGCGACCGCTGTTGCTGGCGGGGTTTGAGGACGATGAACTGGAAGGGTTCGAGTCTGAGCTCTGTTGGCCGGGTTGGTACATCGGGAGAGGCATTTTGACTCGGATTCCCGCGGTGGAGTGTACAAGAATAAGATGATGGACGTTGATGGATAAAGTAGATGATGCTTCTAAGGGCAGGCTGATGTTGTGATGTGTGGGTATTTATGTCGCCGACTGTGGCGATAAAACCACGTCATTGCTAACTACCACACCACGACAATTATCAGCTTCAGCGTTCTAGTATTAACTACTTCCATCTCAACAACCAAATCATTAAGGTGTATCTACTTGTATAGCCGCAACTAGATACTATCTGTTAAAAACCTCTTCTCCACCCTCAAGCATATAGCCCAAGAACTGATGAAAAGGTGTCTCTCCAAGGAGAGGAAGGTGCCAAAGAATACGCCTGTCAATGACCCGAAAGCCATTGAACGGACTGTTCCGCCGCGCTGTGCAATGCAGGGACCAGTCCGTGGTGGACCGCCTTCTTGATCGCAGCCACCCAAACAAGGTAAGTATGAAGAAAAGAAAGAAGAAAAGGTCAAAAGAATGCTGGGGGGAGGCGAAATATATAGGGTAGCCAGGAGGTCCGTGCGTCGCCACTAGCCGAAGCGAGCTTTGCCTCGAGCCTTGATTGGTCACAACACAGTATGTCCGAGCCTGCCAACTCTGTGAGGTAGTATGTACGTACCAGCTGCTTTGTCCCTACATAATTAAATTACCCTTTTCATCGTCATCATCATAATCTCCGAGCGATCAGCATTACTACAATATATGTGAGAGCCTCGCCTCAAGGTCTGCAATAAGTACATGAAGGACCGCCCACATCAACTTATGCCAATAGTCAAAGGATCGAAAAATCCTCATGGCCTCCAGCTACTGCTCATCCAGGAATTATCGCATCACTCGGCGCTTAAAGCGAGGCACGCATCGACCGCCAACCCGACCCTGCGCACAGTGTAAGCAGTGTCTCCTGCAGCAATGCTGGACTACAAGGTGAATCTTACCTTCCCTCTTTCATCTTGACAACATCATCGATAACATCACGGTCGAGGTTCGGGAACATGTTTGAGAGTGTTTCCACGACATTGTTGTGTTCAGCACGCTGGATTCGTCGTGCTTCCGCATCTTCCGCACTGGCTTGGCGCGCGGCAGCGTCCTGTGCATCAACAGCACGGACTCGTTGTGGTGGAGTGTCATTACGGGCCCTGTCAGCTGACCGCCGTTCCTCGCCACTGTTTCGTGGTGGCTGGTACACATTGGGCGTGAGTCGGGGTGAGGCCCCGGGCGCTGGCGCTGGTCGCTGCGTCGGCCGTTCTTCTGGAGAATCAGGCTCGTCGGAAAACATTCTTCCGATCGTAGACAGCGGCTTTTGAATGGTACGAAGGAGGCCCGCTACTGGCGCTGTGTCTTCTTCACTAGCCAGTGGAGCGTCTCGCCGTCCTCGTTGAGCGTCCGTGGAGGCCCGAGGCGGAGCTTGTGAGCTCTCGGTGCGCTCGAGCCTTTTTCGCTCCACAGATTCGGACTCGCGACGGTTTTGTTCGGCGATAGCGGACACTGCCGCCTCCACATTTCGCTCGAATTCTTCATCACTGACAGTCAAGCTCGTTCGATCCAGAGTCTCAATGAACTGGATTGCTCCTGACTGCATTCAGATTAGCAAATGTACAGGTAACGACTGGCCAGTAAATAGGTATCAGCATACCAATGAGGATAGATAGTAGCCAGCCTCTCCACCAAGTTTGTCCTGGTTGCGGAAACGAAGGATGTATTGGATATTAGAGACCAGGTGCTCAGGGTTAGCCTGTAGTACCACATAGATCAGAAGCGGCACAAAGGCATCGGCGGATGTATCGGCTTTCTTGGTGTTCCGTAGGAGGCCTGTGTTGAGTTAGCGTCGCCGTCACCCACTGTTAACTGGCTTTACGCACCAAAGATAACCTTGCAGCAGTTCAGAATGCAAATGACCTTATCACGAGGCGCTCGATATCCATTGATCTTTAAGATCTCTGCACTTATGTTAGGTAGAGGAATCACACGGCCAACAGTATCAGACTAACCCTGTTGCGCAAGGTTCAAAAACCGACGGCCATGCGCACTCACTGGCGGTATGTCGAGATGTTCCTCTCGGACCCAGCTATAGATCCGCATCTTCTGCGCCAACACATCATCACGTTCAATGTCCTCTTGATGCTGACCCTTCCTCCAGGGCCCATGCAGGCGTTCCATTTCCCTCCGTTTGCTCCTGCTTGCGCTTCTGGGGATTGCAGGAGGTGCCGGAATAGCCGGGGAGAAGGTCTGGGAGTACAGCCGATTCATAACCAGTTTCTCCATACCTTCCTTGGCGTTGTCAAATTCGCTGTCAGAGACATCCCGCCAAACCTCACACATAGCCATTTTGTTCGTGATGAAGGCCAAGAAATCGCTGATGATCTTTACCTGCTCATGCACCATCCATTGCCGTTTACCGAACTCGTTGAGGAACGAACGAAGAAACTTGGCTACGGGATCCGCAGTGCGATGGCGTAATTGCTCTAAGAAGCGATGGAAATCGAATGGCTGATCCGGTTCCGGCTCAGGCGGAGGAGGTATCGTGGACGTAGACGAGCGTCGAGTTTGCATGACTTCGTCGGTAGATGTACCCCTTGGTAAATTTCTTGGGATTGCAGGCGGGGGTTTCTCGGAGGATGTCGATGATGCGCCCGCCGCGAGGTTGGGATCTTGAAGAATCTCACCAGTCGGTTTTCCCTGGTCGAGACTTGAATGGCGCGGAGGGAAGTGGCTCTGTCCACCAAGGAACTGTTCCGCTAACTCCATTCGGGGGGACATGATCTGTTCTTGACCACCGCTGCGTGAGGAATCTTGAAACTGCTCCATGATACTCTGGATCTCGGGCTGAGAGTCGTTGTCGCGAGAATTTCCTCCGTTGGTGTTGCCTTTCTCATTGTTGCTACTGCCAGGTACCTCGGGAAGCTCTTTTTCGGCCCACTCGGAGGGTGATTTGGTGGGCGAAAGCGGAGGCATCGGGGACTGGGGAGGGTTTGGGTTCAGGTAGGCGTCGTCTTTCTCGGGCGGTGGTGGAGGTATGTCTGATCCTGCAGACGAAGTGCGATCCGGAGTGTTGTTGACTGATATGGATAGCCCTTTCATGCGTCCCGAAAGCGGTTCGCCCGGAGAAGGCGTGGTGCTCGGAGGCTCCGCAGATGACCCAGCGGTTATATCCGAAGATGTCACTGTCGCACCTTGCGCATCGTTCGAAGCTTCCTTCTGTCCATCATTCGGAGTTGGCGATATGGCACCCCCATTCTCGGGCGCTAACTCGGTGCCCATCAAGGTCACTTGGCGCCCAGCTGGATTTCCCTCATTGTGAGGTGTTGGTTGAATATCCCCTGGACCACTGGGAGCTGGAGAATTCGACGGTTCTGTGGAAGACATAAGCTACCCACATGCACGCTCGTACTTGATAGAAGAATGTGACACAAGGCAATTTAGATGGAAGCACAGAGCATTATGAGAGGACCATCCGGGGGCTTTCTTTGCTTCCGGGGCGTCGCGAGGGTGTTAGATGACGTCCGCGGGGCACGCAAGTGGTGATCGCCAAGGCACAGCCAGCAGTGAAATGAATGGGTGTCAGTGGGACAATGTCGATAACAAGACGCGGTGTCTATAGAGGGAGAGAAGGCGAACCGAGAGGTACAAATCGAAGGTAGAAGGGGAGGTAATCATCGTTCGATACACTCTCGATCCGCCCGCATCCCCGATTCCGGATTATCCTTTCCCCGACATGCCCTCTTCCCGCGGATTTTCCTTGCAACAACAGACTCGATTACATCCTCTCAGTGTCCAACACTACCTCCCTCTCTAGCAGGGTCTATCATGTGTGGGATCTTCTTCTCCGTCAGTGCAACTGGACCCGTGGATCCCACCCTGGAGACCTGTTCTCTACTGCGCAACCGAGGGCCAGACAGCTTCCAAGAGCACACGCTTCACCAAGATGTCGCCATTGGATGTCCTGAAACTCACAGAACGCGCCCTGTCGCCCTTACTTTCGCGTCAACAGTCCTGTCGATGAGAGGGGCATCTGTACTTTCACAGCCGATAGTAGACACAACAAGTCACTCCGTATTGTGCTGGAATGGCGACGCCTGGAGGATAACAGGTGAACGTATCCAAGGCAATGACGCCGAACTGATCTTTCACTTATTGCTGCAGGCTGCAAGTCCCTCGTCAGATGCATCTGGACGTTCGCAGGCTTCGGTGCAGAGAGTTGCAGATGTCATCAGCAGCATCTCCGGGGCTTTTGCGTTTGTCTTCTACGACGCAGTCAATTCCCGTCTGTATTTTGGCAGAGATTGCTTGGGAAGGCGTTCCCTGCTTCAAGGTTTCGATGCCAGCGGAGCTTTCAAAGTCTGCAGTCTTTGCGATGGCACCTCCACCAATTTCGAGGAGGTAGACACCAATGGAGTGCATATGATTGACTTGACGCATGATATCTTTCGGGTCCACCCTGAAGTTCCTACTGCTGACACTAACGCCACTTCTTTCAATCAAAATAGCATCCAAACGCTCCCATGGGAGCGTACAGAGTCATCCACGCCTCATCTAGTATGTTGCCTATCACCGTTCGCGAAACAAATATTAACCAAGCATGCAGAAAAATCCCATCCCATTGATGAACAAATCTCTCCCAGCATCCACCCCACCTCAGCTGAATACCGAATCTCCTGCAGTCAAATTACTAGAGGAGAAGCTCCGCGAATCCCTCGCGGTGAGAATCCAAAACGTTCGCGAGCCTCCAGAATTCTCGGTTGAGAGAAACACCAAGACCGCCGTGCTGTTCTCCGGCGGCCTCGACTGCACTCTCCTCGCTCGGCTGTCGCACGAACTTCTACCCCCCGACGAGACGGTGGATCTACTCAACGTCGCGTTTGAAAATCCTCGTGTTGCAGCCGCGGCAGCTGCATCATCAAAGAAAGACAAAGCAGCCCAAGTGTCATCGAAAGAACTATCCGTGTACGAGAGCTGCCCGGACCGGATCACCGGACGCGCCGCCTTCGCCGAGCTCCAGAGGGTGTGTCCGAGCCGGAACTGGCGGTTCGTCGCAATCGACATCCCCTACGTGGAGACCCTCGCGCACCGGGACACGGTGAAACGCCTGATGCGCCCCCACAACACGGAGATGGATCTGTCAATCGCCTGCGCGTTGTATTTCGCCGCCCGCGGCCAAGGGACAGCCGTTGACAGCCGGCAGCCTGACGCCGCACCAAAGCCCTACACCACGCCGGCTCGGGTGCTTCTCTCGGGCCTGGGCGCCGACGAGCTCTTCGCAGGCTACTCACGCCATGGGGTGGCGTTCGCGCGCGCCGGGTTTCCGGGGTTGATCGACGAGATCGATCTGGACGTCAGCCGGCTCGGCAAGCGCAATCTCGGTCGGGACAACCGGGTCCTCGCGCACTGGGGGCGGGAAACGCGGTTCCCGTACCTCGACGAGGACTTCGTCTCGTGGGTGGTGCAGATGCCCGTCTGGGCGAAGTGCGGCTTCGGCGTCCCGGAGGATGCCCTCGCTCCGGCACTGGACGCGGAGAAGAAAGCCCTGCGACTCGTGGGCGCTCCGTCTAGGCATGTCGGGCGTGGCGCGCGAGAAGAAAACGTGCGATCCAGTTTTGGGCTCTCGCACCGCCAAAAGGGAGAAAGGCCGCACCCAGGGGCACCGATGCATTGAGCTGAATACCGTCATCTTTCTACACGCGTACATATCGATATCCCCTCAATTGATTCCAATCTACCTACCACCCATCATACCCTCTCCCACCCCTCCCATCTCGGTCAAACCAACAGCGATGAAGATAAACACAGATCAGATACTTCTGAGACCGTCACCACGCCCATCCCACGCTCCTCATCACCCATCATCTACCCACCTGCCCAACGGGACATCCTGACCTCCATCCTCCATGGAACACACCATCGCTCTACCAACAAGATCCATGCTCTATGCAGTACACACCACCATCTGTTCTTTGCCCGCAGACAGCAACCGCCATCCTATGATTGCAGCCTCGTCTTCATCCGCTCCTTGCGCCGCATCGTCGGATCGGGAGGGACCGAGGAAAGGTTGTGTTATGGGACTGGACTGGTACTGTCGTTGAGATTTGGCGGTGACACATGAGCCGGTTTTGTTGACGAGAGGTGGCCAGTTACATAGAGATACCGGTGGATGACGGTGTCTCTGGTGGCTCTGGATGATGGGATCGGATGGGAACTGAGCGGAGGCGATGTTGGGCTGGATGGATTTGGTCGGTGAACCGTGAAAAGGCAAGTCTGAGCTGTTGACATTTCCTTGTATATATATGAGACGAAAACATCTGCCCTACACTAAAGCCGTGTAGCTACTAACGTAGCTCGATTTACGAATCTACAATCAAGAAAAGTAGCGAATGACAATAGTTGATTGAGACAATCTGATACAAGTAATAAGACAACGTAATTAGACGATCAAATCGACCAAACATAAAACAAATATTAGGGCCACGAGTCAATCCTGACTACTGCAGGAGACATCAGAACCGGCCATGGTAAACAGACAAATACCCAAGGATCACAAGAGCGATGGTAAAAAAACACAATAAAACATCGAGATACCGATAGCTACCAAGGCAACGGTGGATCGTGGTTAAGAAAGAAACTTTTCTGGAGAAGCGTCATCATCAGGTGGCTAGACTCTGACTGGTACTTCAACCATTGGGTGACGAGAGGCTCTACGCCCCCGCCCACCATAGGGCCCATTCAAAACAGAGCGTGCAGAAACAGCATGATACAGGTCATAACAATACTCGTCAAGGCAAAAGAAAAAGAAAACTTTTGGGTTGCATCATTCAGGCCCGGTTCTCGGCCAACGCCTTCCAATATTGTTCCCGTTGCTGGGCCTCCTCCAGAGACTTTTCCAGCTCGGCGATGCGACGTTCCATCTCCTCCTGGCGCTCCAGCTTGCGAGCCCGGGACTTGCGGGCGGCCTCGGTATTGCGAGCCCGCTTCAGAGCCACGGGATCGCCAGAGTCATACTTGATGGGAGGCAGCGGCTTGCGCTGACGAGCGTTGACACCCGCGACAGTGGAGTGCTTGGTGCCGGAGCGGGTCGAGCCCGGAGAGGGGGCGCGAGAAGAGTTACGGACCATGGGGGACGCACAAGGCGTCTCCACCTTGGGTTCTGCAGCAGCCGGAGCCGGAGCAGGAGCCGCTTCAGTGACTTCCAGGGCGGCCGCGTCAAATGGAATGGACAAGCCATCCTGAGGAGGGAAGAGAGAATCCCACTCCTCGTGGCCAGGACCCAGCTCCATGTCGGTAGCGAACATGGGCGAGGTGTCTTGACTGAAGTAGCCTGGCGACTCGAAGGACGGAGTGCTCAGGTCCGTGAAAGAGGTGGAGGGAGGCGCAGATGCATCCATCAGCAGATCCTTAGGAGAGATGGTTCCCGAAGGAACATCTCCCATGGGATCCTTGGACGCCATGATGCCGGTAGGGATCTGGTGGGGCGAGAGCATGGTGGGCTCCATGGCTGCGTCGAAATCACCACCAAACTGGTCGGAGGTGAAATCGAACAGATCCGGGAGATCTGCGGCGCGAGGGTCAGCGCATGCGATGGAGCACGCGAGATCACCAGTGCGACTTACCTTGAACAATGTTGGGGGTAGACATGATGCGACGATGACGAGTAGGATCGTGTTGTTTCTGTGTGTAATTGACGGGACTGTTGAATAGAGGAACAGGCGGGCGCTGATGGGAAGGATAAGCAGAATTCGGAAGAGATGGCGCCGAATTCGAAGCAACGGCGGCAGCGTGCAGACGCAAAAGGTGCTGCTTCCGACTGGAGGGACTAGACCGAAGAGACGTGGACAGAGGGAACCCGGTAGACTGCGCGGCAAGTCTGGTCACCCGAGGAACCTGGACAGGCGAGGCTGCAAGCTGCTGCTGCTGGAGTTGCTGCTGCAAGCTCAGAGAGTGTCGTCGAGAAAGGTGCCCGGAACGGACCAGATGCGGATGTTGATAGTATGGAGACAATCTAGGGGTTGTACTCAGAGGAGCTGGAGCACGAGAGTCCCTGGGATGCGCTGGGTATAGCACGAAGTCCTCCTGCAGGGAGTTGTTGTTGTTGATCGCGTTGGAATCCGGATTCAGATGCTGAGCCAGTGGCTGCTGGGGCGGGGGCGAAGGAAGCCATGATTGCTGATGGTTATCCGTGGTGAACGACGTGACGTCGAACGTGGGTAGAGAGTTCGGGTGAGAACTTGAGCTACGCGAAGCGATGCTAAAGTTCAGAGGTCCTGAAAAAGGAGACTCTGAGGGGGGTTGTTGAGTAGAGATGGGGGTAAACGACGAGGTCCGTGGAGGATCTATGGTGTCTGTCTCGGAGGAGAAAGACGGGCTCTTTCCGGGGGAAGAGTTTAGAAGTTCATTTTGGGCGAGGACGTGGTGTAAAAGCGTAGTATCAGACAATGGTAGTATGGTGACGGGTGAAGAAGACGTGAAGATAATGGATGAAAAAAAGAGAGATAGATGGAGAGGAGGAAAAGAAAAACGCCAGGCAACGACGGGAGGGGGAAATCAGGCACTTCTTAAGCGGGTGTGTGCGCCCGTGATCCGCATTGCGGCCAATCAGGACGCGTCGCTTCCCCGCCTGGCACGCTAGGCCAAAACGGGCAAGGACAGGGGTCCGCGGTCAGCCGGTGTGAGTCACACCCCCATTCGTCGTGCTGATTGGCTGCGGACCCCCGTTCGAGAATGCCTGGGGCTCCTGGTCGGACGGTGCGATTGGCGAATCAGGCCAGAATCCTTGCAGGCAGACATTGTCACAGCCTCTGTCGGGCTCTCAATGGGGAACTCCGCCAGCCGACAGCCTGGGGCTGAGCCTCAAGGGCGGTGCCGTGCTCCGTCAAAGGGCGTGAAATTGGCTCCAGTCTGAACTCTATCCCGCCGGTTTCTTGCCGTCTGCAACCTCCACTTCGTATCTGCGGCGTAGCCTGTCTCAAATAGCGAGGTCCACTACCACCTCCTTGAACATTGCAACATTGCAGAACGTGTCTACCTAGATAGTTAGGAGTAGATGGGATTTACTTTGTCCTCCGTATGTCGAATGTAATGTTATTTGGAGCAAGGGATCCATTCCGACTAGGCACATCCTCGCGATGACGCCGGAAAAGAAACCGGTCCGAATGAACTCGTCAGCCATTCACTCCTCGTCGAGCGTTAACCAAACCAAGCATAGTCTGGCTAGCAAAACAAGATTTCACCAAGTCGCCGGAATGACCACATCACATTAGGTAAGACATGTGATAAAAACCAGAATGAAATCCCCCCCCCAAGAGTTCGGGTCGACGGATTATGCCAAGCGGCTGCAATTTCCGAGCATATCGCGGCTTACAAATTCATGGACGACGGCTCGACCTTGTATGGTTTCTAAGCAGCGAGGATCGAGAAACTTCATCTTGTGGCCTACCTTGCTAACGAGGGGTCTCATCCTGTGAGGAGGATTTGTCCATTCAGGCGGATTGGCCGGGGATTTGTGTATTGGCTAAAGACTGGCAGGATTAAATGCTCATAAGTTCATTCAACCGGTGGATATATATATCTGTCCTCAGACATGGAGACGACGGTAGCCAGGAAGAGATAACTCCACGAAGATGAATTCGTACCCCGCGGGCCTCGTGACAGTTGTATGTCAGCAAGACTCGATGTTGATACAACCACTGCCCTATTTATCATTCCTGTCATTGACATGTACTACAGAGTAGGCACGCAATGAAATACACCATGATTGGAATGCAAGATCTCCATCATGACATCACCCGCTGAGGCTCAACACCAGCCATGTCGGGGCCGTGCGATTAAACTACGCTGCAGACTAACGGACAGACCACTGCTTAAGCATACAATAACAATAAAACACTGATTCTATTAGCTATTACCTATGATGCTGTATGGGTGGATCGGCGGCAACGAGCATGGGCTGCATGTCCGTCACCCCACTATCCATCCCCCACGGACAGTCCGCGATCCGGTCAATGGCGTTGTGGCGGGAGGCTCCAACATATTAAGCACCAGTCCCGTACCCATCCAACTGGCAAGATCACCCTTCCTCCCCTTAGGGTATCAAAAACGAATCAAGTCAAACCAACAGACATCATCAAGCAGCGGAATCAAGCACGCAAAAACAACAGTGGTATCAATCTAGCTTGGACGGCGCACAACATGAACACACGCAAGGGCCCCCCCATACGGGGGGTCATCCTCGCGGGAACGGGATATCATAAAGGAACGGAATGTGGCTCCAGACGCAAGGACATCAGGGCCGAAGGGACCGCCAAAACAGCATCGGGTATCGTTGTCACTTTCCCAACTGATCCACGCCCGAACAGCAGGGCAGCCGAAACAGTGACAATGCAAAAACAATCAACAAACACACAAACGAATTTCACGCAGGTATTACTAGTATTTTCGGTTTCTCTTCCCGGGCTTTCGTGATCACAATCAAGACCGTTGATCATCGGTATGAAGACGTGGGATCCCACCACTTCTCATACTCGACTGCCCTCTTCGGTGAAGCACTTCACGCAGCAGCCTGGACAGGAGTGGAAGTGGCGGCGACGTTGGCGGGCTTGGACTCCTCGCCGTTGGTGGTAGCCTCGGCGGGCTTCGCGCTCTCCTCGGCAGGGGACTCCTCAACGGGGGCCTCCTTGGGGGCAGCCTCCTCCTTGGCCTCGGTAGTCTCGGCGGAGGTCTCCTTGGTCTCAGACTTCACAGCCTTGCTGGGCTTGCGGAACAGACCACCGAGCTTGTTGCCCTTGGACTTGGCCTCGCCGTCGGTGCCCTCGTTGTCCGAGTCAGCCTTCTTCTTGCCAAAGTTACCGAAGAAAGAAGTGCGACGCTTCTCCTTGTTGCCAGCAGGGGTCTCGGCAGCGGGGGACTGGGCAGGGGTGGCGTCCTTAGCAGCCTCACCCTCCGCAGTAGCCTCAGGAGCAGCCTCCACCTTGTCCTCCTTGGGCTGAGAGGCCTCACCCTCGACGGGGTTGTCAAGCTGGGGAGCAGTGCTGGAAACAGCAGGGGTCTCAGCGGGGGCGGCGGCTTCCTTCTCCGACTTCTCGTGAGAAGGGCTGGCGACCTTCTGGAAGAGGTTACCGAAGATGGAGGTACGCTTGGACTTCTTGTCGTCCTTCTTCTCCTCCTTCTTCTCTTCCTTGGCCTCCTCCTTGGGCTGCTCCTCCTTCTTGGGCTCCTCAGCGGCGGGGGCGGCCTCGGTGGTCTCAGCAGCAGCAGAAGACTCGGCGGGGGCTTCAGCGGAGGCCTCGGCGGGCTTAGCCTCCTCAGCCTTCTCCTCCTTCTTTTCGGCGGCCTCAGCATCCTTCTCGCCCGAACGGCCCAGAATACCAAAGATGCTAGTGCGCTTGCGGGAGCGGGAGCGGCTCTTGGCCTTCTCCTTGGCCTCGTCCTTGGGCTCCTCAGCAGGGGCGGCCTCGTCCTTCTTGGCTTCTTCCGCAGCCTCCTCCTTCTTGGGCTCCTCCTTGGGCTCAGCGGCCTTCTTGGCGGGCTCAGGGACAGCAGGCTTGGCTGTTGGACGGTTAGAATGGAGGGTTTACGGACCGGGGTGTTCGTTCAACTTACTCAGCTTCTCCAGCTCAGCCTTGTATCCCTCGCTGGAGGTGATGGTCTCCTTCTCGGCCTTGGCGGCGGCGGACTTGGCCTCGATGGCGGCAATCCAGCTGTCACGCTCGGCGGCGTTGGCGGCCTGGAAGGTGTGCTTCTGGCCGTTGATCTTGAAAAGGAACTCAGTGGAGCTCTCCTTGGTAAGATCGGAGATCTCGGCCCTGTTTGATGTTAGGCATGACATTGTATGAGGTATCGCGTGCCACTACTTACAAGGTTCAGGATACCGGCAGGCGTGGCCTTGTCCTCCGCACGCTTGACGATGAAGAGCAGACCCTTACCGGTCTGGGTAGCCCAGGCGACGGTGGGGTGGGCGACAGCGGGCTTCTCATTCTGCTGGTAGGTGGCGAGCTGCTTGGCCTCGACGGCGTCGTCGCTGAAGTAGAAGAAGCGCTTGGCGAAGCGAAGGCCCCTGCGAGTGACGAAGGTTAGTGACCTCTCTGGTAATTCGGCGCGTCGCGAACCGGCAGGGGAGATGACTTACTTGACCAGACCGGGAGCCTTGTAGCCCAGGACACCCTCGGAGGCGGGGGTGACCTCCTTAGGCTCTTCCTTGGCCTCCTCCTTGGGCTGTTCCTCCTCCTTCTTGGTTTCCTCGGTGGCAGGAGCCGCCTCGGAGGACTCAGCGGCCGCAGGAGTCTCCTTGGGAGCCTCAGTGGCGGGGGTCTCGGTGGCCGCAGGAGCGTCGGTGACCGGAGCGGCGACGGGGGTCTCCTCAACAGGCTTCTGAGTATCAGACATGATGAGGGGGGTTAGAATGGAAGTAATTATAGTAGGTGGATTAAAATAGGTATGTGTTGGGTAATGGAAGCCGTGGGACGGAGCTTCGCAAACGGGAGAGGAATGGGTATCTCTTTTTTGGTAAGGGGGTATCTCAACAGAAACAAGAGCTTTCGCAGCACGAGGGCTTGAAGAGCTCGGGTATCACAACGAAGGGGAAAGAAAAAGAAAAGAGGCGTTGGGGTTGAGCTTTGGGGAGCAGATGGAATGGAATGGGAAGAGGAAGAGGAGGAAGAAGAGAGGAGAGAAGAGAAGAAGAAGAAGAAGAGGGGAGAGAGAGGAGGGAAGGGAAAAAAAAAAGGAAAAAAGGAAAAAAATAGACCGATGAAGGGAGCAGGGGCGAACCAGCAAGAAAGGAGGGCACTAGAAGGGGAAAGGAGCTGCAGGGCGAGTTTGTTGCCAGCCTAGACACCTCCCAGTGGGGCAGCTCGATTTCCAGGTTAATTAGGGGGGTCTATCTTCGTCTTCTTCCATTGTACTTCTACTTGATGAGTCGTGGATAGGGAGGTTGGTGTTCACCGGTCTGGTTGGATGGTGTTGTCTTCCGATGATGCAGACGGCTTCAAGATGCGCCAGTGGCGAGGGCTGTCCTCGTGAATGATAAAATTAGCTACTATTATGCCAGTCTTGCAAGACGTCTACAGCACAGTACCGATTATTTAACACACTGACAGCTCCTGGCGGCCTCCTGACTGGCCGAGAGATCACCGGTCGTGCAGCTTCAACAACGGCTGTCCATTCCGAGAGAACTTTCTGCCATACTACGGAGCTCGATACCCAGCATGCGTACAGAGTATTAGATTGACGACCAGCTAGTTAGGCAAGTATGAAGATTCTCCTGATGTTTGACTAGGAGCTCCAACTCCTGAATAGTCGACCCAGCCACCGACCAACTCGGGTCGGTTCCATGGTTGTGCTCCCCTTGGGATCATCTGGTGGGTTTCCCTGTCCTACCCTTGGGCTCTCGAGGAATCCCATCGAACCTCAGGAGCGCTGGTAGGAGTCTGAATCAGAATACCGGACGAGAATAGCTTACATTGCTTTTCGGCCACTCCCTCCATATATCTAACTCGCATCAGATGGATGAGATGTTCTGTACATACAGCACAGCTCCTGAGCTCCTGAAGGACAGTGACCCTGAACAGCTCCACCAGCATCGATCTGTCGGGTGGAGCCGTGTTCGAAAATTGGAGACGAAAAAAAAAAAAAAAAATATCAAAATCGTGACTAAAGTAACAAAAGCAAAAGGAGCCCATGCTTCCCAATCAGGACCCTCGATAGGGCACTAAAAGCATATTCCGTGTTCTAGTCCTCTGGCTAAGCCCACCCGGGTTTAAAGGATCCCCACCACCTCCCTGGCCGTCTCATCCTCCATCAAGACCAGACCGTCCAAACGGCGCATTCCCGACGACAACGATCTCCTGCTTGGGTCGAAGATATGCGCCCGGCAATACTCATTTCCTGCCAGTGATTTCTAAGGACCAGCCGACTGTCCACGCGACGCTTGCCCCGTGACCCCGAGAGGTGACCAACCAGGGAAGGGCATCCCCCTCCATGATTTCGTCATGCGATATGCAAGAATGTTGGATCTTGTTGGTTATCAAAACTACTACTTCTAAGGCAACGTAGTTAGTCATCGGTGATAAAACTCCTCGTATAACTACTCCGTCGAGGGGCAATAATTGATCGGGACTTTGGCTGCTTCTGGTGGACGACCGGCGCATCCCTTCCTACCTGGTCCAAGATTAACCGCTGATGATAATCATCGCCCTCGTCCGTACCACCACCAGAGTCAAACCACCCCGAAAAGCAAAGCAAAGCGAAAACTTCCATATAGGGACTAGGAATCGGACGTCGGCCGCCCCACCTGGGTTGCGCGCTATCGTCTCGCAGGATGTCGACGCAGCCCTATCACTGCCCAAGGAAACTGTATAGGAGACAGTATAAGAAAATTAACTTCATCCGCGAAACACCAGCCAATGACTTCCTGCAGTTCGATAAAAATGACAACGCGCATGGCAGAATGACCTCAGACAAATCCTTCTCCTTCCATCCAGTTAGGCATAGTTACTTTTAACTACTAGCTACTCCGTATAAGAATACGATGACAAAAGTCTTCAGTCTAATATCAACGGTCTCCACTGCGGCGCTTCTCAATAAGGTTAAGTCGACCAGACTAACAGCAGGGCTCCACTCCCCCTTTTCGCCCGTTTCGCGACCACACGCCAATCAGACCACCGTCGATCGTCTGTCCGTGTGATGACGATCCCACTACTCCCGTCTCTACCTTCAGTCCTATCAGTCCCTCCCTATCCCGTTTTCTTTTCCCCTTCCCTCAAGGACTGCCCCTCGATTGCGATGAGCGGTGAGCGTTTCATCTTATCTGGTTTCTTGCCCAGGTAATTACCCCAGGACCCTATCGCACAGTTCGATCCGGCCACCATGTTTCGAGTCGGCGCATCGAATGCGACAGTGTGCTGCGACATGTCATAAGTCCAGGGTGTGGAGTCATCCTCGGCGGCAAGCGACTCGGGATTGCGCCATCCTCTCCCTTTTTCACGGTGGCCTGTCCTCCGCAGCAAGCACCTACGTACACGCATCTCGTGCATGACCTCATGTACTCCGTATGCGCTCAGTCGGGGCCGTTGGGGTACAGGTACAAACCGTTGCAACGATTTGCAGCTAATTAACGGGATTAGTCGCTGGACAAAAGTACCTACAGGTCAGATTTCATATCAGCCACTACCGTAGTTAGTACTAGGATTATTGACGAAGAACGCCCGAATTATAGGACCCCTAGTGACTGTCTATGTACCTGTTGTCAAATAGAATGCCCGTGCTCTATCCTGGTGGATTTCATCAATGAATCTACTCCCTAATCAATAAGATAGACAGTCACTAGGGGTCGCACACATGCTTTAACAACAGGCAGGAGATTCTAAAAGCGGAACTATAACGCCAAAGTGTACCCAGTCTGCAGTCTGATGTAGTCACCTGGTTCAATGACAAATGTTACATCTAATGTACATGCCAGATAAGAGCGATTGTTTGTTCCGAGCACTTCCTTGTAACCCCTCTGTGAACTGGATTAGCAGCGTTTCCGCTTCTTTCCATCGCCCTTGGTTCTTGAATATCCCAGCTAACCAAGACTGGGCACCGAGAACAAAGAGTTTGTTCTTGAACGCTCAGAATATCGCGGAACTGCTACCGCCCATCACTATGCAGGCATTTCCCCGCTTTTCTTAGCTAAAAGGGAGCAAGACCTAGACGCAACCCCCTCACATGCTCATCCAGATATGGAAGAAGGTATCTCACGTCGTTCAATTCATCAGATGTATAAACAGGTAGAAAGATATGTCAGCATCTGTACATATCAAATGCATACTGTATGCATATCTCCAAATGTCCACCAATATAGATTACAAACGCTCAGCCAACCGCCCAAAACCACAGATGCAAAGGTCCATTCTTCCCGATAGGATCAAACCCATCGAGATGGCAGAAAGTTATTAGAAACAGGCAAGTTCGTGACACGTATCAGGCCGCCATCGTGAGAACATAACTGACATCACAGAGTTAGTACGTGCACCGCAACACCAACAGAGGAACCACTTACGAAGTAATACAGTCCATCCGCTCCGTCGTCAGCTTCAGACTGACCGTCAGCAGTTCCCGCGCAATCTCAGGTTCCTGTTCCTTCAGCGCCCGCCATTTCTCCACGTTCAAACACCACGCAACGCAATCCTGTTCGGCTTTGACTGTTGCTGTCCGTCGGGTTTCACTGAAGAACGGCAGCTCGCCGCACGGTCTTCCAGCCACAATCAGCTCAAAGTAGCTGCCCTGGGGAAGCTCGTACTCTGCACGTAGCATGCCGGATTCCAGAAGATAGAACCCAGCGGGTACGTCGCCCTCCTGGAACAGCACGGTGCCTGCGGCGTAGGTTTCTTTGACAAAATACGCACACGCGGGGAACCAGAAATCCTCGTTCCGCGCAGTCAACCCTTGGAATGTCTGGAGCAGGAGTGGAAGCGGTTGGCGCATTGCGGACCATGCAGCGGGAGCTACCACCGCGGTCTCGTCCTCATGGAGAGTCGTCGTGGCGGCTTGCTGCAGGTACCGATGGCGGGGAGAGCTCACGATGCCCTCGCCGAGGTGGTGCTGAGTTTGAGAGACGGGAACCTCCAGGAACGTGGGTGAGACGTTGGTTCTCTTCAGGAGGGCTTCGCGGTAGCTGTAGAAGACCTTGAGGTAGTTGTTCTCACAGAACTCCAGGGCAGAATTGAGGTCCTCGAAGAGCTGCACACCGTTTTCCGATTCGAAAAGACCCACATTCTGCAGGCTGCGCCCTATCTCGCCCTCCACATCTAACCCGGATATTGTCATCTGCACATGCCGCTTGCGCAGCACGCGGTTAATGCGAGTGAACGCCTCGGCGGCAGAGAAGTCCAAGCCGTACACGCGCGAGAAATCCAGAATAAGAAACCGGATAGGACGTCTGTTGAAGGCCTCTTCCTCGATGAGTCCGCGCATGGTGTTTTCCACGTCCACGATTGTCCCGAAGAAGAGATAACCTCCCAACTTGATAATTAGTGTCTGCTGCCCAGCCTCCTTCAGGAACCGCTGCTGGATCGGAGGCCGCCGAACAGTTGAGCTGGCGACTTTACCGGAATATTTAGCCCGGATGGCGGACTTGCGAGACGTTTGGACGACAAAACTCAAGCAGGCAAGAATGATACCAACAAAAATACCCACCACGAAGTCCCAAGCACCCATTGTTACCACGATAATGACAATCTGTGGAAGTCAGCCAACCGGAATTTAAGCGACCTGCTTGCTCAACGAACCGTGAGATACTCAACCCGGTGCAGCCTCCCCCACGTATCAACCAAGGCTTCCTGCATCAGCTCTATTCCCAAGAGAAAGATAAGTGCACCGACAACCATGACAGGGATAAACCCGACAATCACAGGTCCGACTAGGAGGATGCCCCCGGTAGCTGCCGCGAGCATAATTCCTGCCAGACGGGAGTTTCCACCACTGTCGATAAAAAGCAGACTGTTGGTGTACACCAAGTAGTTCTACGTCATTAGCGACAGACCTAAGTTCGAAAGTTCGAGGGAGGAAGTAACCATACCTGGATGCTACCCACAAACCCTGATAAGGCATTCGTGACTCCGTGTGCCACGAGCTCTCGGTCCACGTTCAGATTGTCCTCGCCCGTGGAGATGCCCAGCGCCGGGACATTGATGGGAACATGAAGGATGCCGAAGAAGGTGAGTGCGAACATCGCCGGGATCGTGTCAGCAAAGGCCGCCCAATCGACGGCCGAAAAGTCTATCATAGTCAGATGTGGTCCAGTGGAACACCGCAAATTACTCACCGTAGAGTGTGTAGAAATGCCACCACGGGTTTGCAGATGACGGGGCATCAAAGACCCATCCGCTATTCCGCAGCGTGTCCATAGGTATTCTGGCGGCAAATTTGACAATGTAGAACACGACAGCCACCGCGATGAAATACCCACCCACAAGAAAATTGGATCGCACGAAACGTTTCAACACCAGGAGGCCAATCGCAAGCACTAGCGGGGTAATCCAAAGGGGGAAGGTATCCAACTGAAAGAGCTTCTTCAGCGTAGGAATGGTGAGCTCGAGAGAGCCTGGCAGCCGAGCTGATACTTCCAGGCCAGTCTCCAGGAGAAAGAAGCCCACACCACCAATGCAACCGATCAGAATATGGCGTGGGAAAAAACCAATGAGCGACCCCAGCCCGCAGGTCCCCATCAAAAAGAACACCAGACCCGTCAGGACGGAACTGACGCTGAAGGCTAGAATACATGTGGCCAACACGGATTTCGGGTTGTTATCACCCACTCGGGCCAGGATAGTAAAGGCCATTTGGTGGAAAAAGGGGACGACCTCAATCATCTCGCTACCGATCCCACCACGGAAGATTGACCCTCCGCAGGAGAAAACCAGCTGAGCAATGATGGTACTGACGTAGAACATCGAGATCCCGTCCGACCCAAGATCCGAGAAGATCGGCTCTCCCAAGGGAAACAGGATCATACCGTACGACAGGGCGTCGAGAATATTGAGCAGTAGACCGAGAAATACCGCCGGGAGTAAACTGACAGGGTAGACGACACCTCGGTTCCACACGGCTCGCCCACTCCATGATTTCGGGTTCGATAGTACTCGACAGCAAGAGGAGACGTTGGCGAGGGTCTCTCGTAGTACGCCGCCCTCCGGGTTACGCGTAGACCTCTGGCTCTCGACATCTTCGACACTCCCGTAGCTATAAATGGGCTTCGAGGGCGATGTCCTCAGGATGAGGGATGTGTGTTCAGTGGTCTCATTGTCCTCTGCGACTTCGTCCGCTGTGGGGCTTGTGCTTGAGGCTCGTGGCCGACTCGTTCCATTTCCATCCGTAGTGCTGGCCCCATGGGGAGTCGGAAGGTCTTGGAACTCGTCCGGATTGCGGATCATCTCCGTCAATACGGACGACCCAGCGGCGGGCGTTTGGTGGTATTCCGAGTCCCGGCGGGCTGGAACGATAGTCTCAGCGGGAGATGACGCAAGATTCATATTTTCTGGTTGATGGAAGATATCCAATGATGGGAGAAGGGTGTTCCTCTCCTGCGGAGAGCTCCCATTGAGAGACAGCGCGAAGGACGCCAGTTCGGCCGACTGTTCTCGGAGACCATTAGAAGAATAATGAGCCGGATCTAGAGCACCGACAGGAGTCAACACACGATCCACACGAAGCATGAGGTAAATCCGGGGCCAGCAGGTTCGCATATTCTCACCTAATGTGTTATTGAATGACCGATGGTAGAAAGACCGACTTGGGGTCCTGTAGCTTGTTCCGCCCGAGACAAGAGGTTCGATTCCCAAGGTCCGAGGCGGGCTTCCATTGTTGGCTTGCTCAACCGGATAGTCATGCGGCCCAGGAGCCAAGTCATCGACGAGAGATGCGCGACGAAGAGACAATCCGGCGCGATGAGCGTCGCTCTGGCTCCGGGGTCGAAGTACTCCCATCGCGGATGACGGCCCTGCGGGGGGCGACGGTCTTGCCCGTTCGATCTCCAGACAATAGTATTGAATTTCCACAAGGAAAATGGCGCAAGATTTTCAGGCTTTCTGCGACGCTGTATGGTCGGCTCAAACGCCGCGGGCGCAGACGACAGTCGGTTCCGAATGACGCAAGAGTTTGTCTACCAGATTAGCACGGAGGGTAGGCATGGAGGGACAATTGGGTCGCGCCGAGATGACGAGAGGCCGACAGCATATGAGAGGATCGCCCAGGGCCGAGAGAAAGCCAGAGAGAACTGTAATGAGCCGAAGAGTCCGAGCGGAGAAGTTCCTGAGCAGAGGCTGTTATCGGACCTGGCAGGGGAGTGACTAAAAAGTCTTATCACCACGGGGAGCTATCGCCGGCCCACTCGCCCGAACGGTACCTCTGGTAGAGGGGGGCTTTCTTATCTCTCTCGACTCTCTCCCCGGAGAGCTGAGGTGGAATTGGCGTGGAGACGAGCTTCTGGAGAAGCTCGAAGTATGCGACAAGAAGCTGATGACGATGATAGGCCCGTAGGGAGCTCGTAGTCGGGGAATTATTTCTTTTTGCGGCAGTGGATCCCATGACTAAGACGGCTGTTGATGTCGTACTTCTTGAGATAATGGTCATTATAGGTGTAGTACTCCCATGTAGGTAGTCATTAATATTATTCTTATTACGCTCAGTATATCAGAAGAGGACCAGAATTACTCAATATCATTAGCAACAAAATCTGAGTCTAGATCGGGTCTGGAATGCAAGCTCCCTGGTAGTGGCCGTCAATCACCTTAGCCGCATACTCCGCTATTGGATATCCACAGTGGAAGTCCACTACCTACCTTAGTAGGTACATTGACAGACCACGAATCAACCAGCTCTATATACAAAGGGGTATCACAACATAACACATCACGACATCAGACCACCGAAATCAGCTCAACCGCTCCAGGAACCCCTGCGCGATCAGCCGTTCCACATCGCCCTGTCGCACATACAGCTGACTGTTCTTCGTCAGATTAATCACCCTAAGCAAGTCAGCACCGCGCACTCATGCACAAACCCAAAAGACAGAGAACACCAACATACCCGTACTCCGTCTGGATCTCGCCCGCATCCTTCAGCACCCGCACATCAATAAACAAATCCTTGGGCGGCTCCAGACTCCCCGTAAGATCGACATCCGTCCACTGCCCCTTATACGCCGCCAGCATATCGCTATACTGCCGAAAATACTCCTCCTCCTCGGGACTCAGCGAGCTGTGATTCCCACTCTGCGAGCTCATCGGCGCCGACGCGCCGCCGCCGCCACCGGCAGCCCCGTCCTCCTCGGCCGGCGGCAGCTGCTGCTCGAGGATATCCACGCCCTTCCAGCAGAGCTCCTCGAGCTTCTCGGTGCGCACGCGGTGGTACGCCAGCAGACAGCGTTTGTTGCGGCGCATGCTGAGGTGGTCGACGAGCAGGGCGCACGCGATGGCCGGCTCCGCGGACGGGTTGAAGCTGCCCTCGAAGGGGGCCAGGATCTGCGCCACGTCGCGGTCGAGGTCTCGCACTTCGCGGGCTACCATGCGCACGAGTTCGGTCTGGTAGGGCGGGAGGTGGACGAGGGATTGCGTGCGTTTGGCATGTTGGACCTGTGGTGGAGTCGGTCAGCGAGGGTCAGTCGTGAGGAGGGAATTATAGTCGCGTACCAACTTGTTCCCGAGTTCGCCGTACATGAGGATGGTGCCTGTCGTTCAATGCAATTCTCCGTCGCGCAATTTGTAGATGGTCGGGTCGGTGTGGTGGCGGGTGTTTTCGACTGTAGTTGTGGACTTGAGCTAACAAATGGTATATAGGGAAAGAATGCTCGGTAAGAGGATACTATCGCTATCACAGAGAATGCAGCAGTCGGGTGTAGGTATCTCAATGAAATCGAGAGAATAATGGATGGCGCGTCTTGGGTTCCCCACGTTGAACGCGCTCCACGTGACAGATCGCCCGCTAATTGCCAAGCGTCCATTGGACGACCATCTACAACTTCAACGATGCCCATTCATTAATCTTCTCCAATTCTACAAGGTCAAATACAGATAGAGCATGGATTCTAGTGCACCTTCATAGTAACGGGTATCAATATTCTTCTATCCACCGAGTCATGCACAAGGTGATATGCAACCGGTACTCTATCCAAGAGACACGTACAATAAACCATCTCAAACAGATTCCAACCCACGGATATGAAACTAAATGAGAACAAAAGGCACGACTAATCATGAAGCCATCGAAACCAACACCGACTAAAGCTGAACCCGATCCGCATTTGCGCCATACCGATCTCATGGTCTTCTAAAACGAGAGGAGAGAACCGCCCTAGCCCATAGAAAACTCAGACAGAAAGAGAAACGACAGAAAGCGGTGCATGACACCGCCAAAGAATCCATGACATTGATCTCGTTGTATTCATCGCCTCGTCACAATATTTGAGAGCACCAACCATGTCAGATTCAGTACCCCGATGCCTGGTGGTTGAGCCAGTGGTCGAATTCACCGACAGAAGCGTCGAGACTGGTCTCCTGGTTGGAGTCCCACGCATCCCGACCATCCACGAGGGTCTGCATCCCCGCTTGGTAGGTCGGATCGACGGGGTACGACACCGTACTAGGAGGCAGCGATGTGGCAACCGGGAGGTAGGAGTTGGTTGACGACGCTTCTTGCCAGACAGGGTAATGAGAGTTGCTGTAGACTTGGCTGCCTGCAGCGGTGCTCCCGGCGTCGCTCGAGAAGGACAAGAGCTGAGGATCGAGCTGGCCGTCAGGCCGGCCGGGCGCCGACGTCGGAGGCTGCAGAAGGTCATGGTGGGCTGCTCCGGGCAGCCCGGCCAAAGCCGTCGTCGATGTATACTGCATTTCTTGCAGATCGACCCTCTCGAAGCGCACGTCTTCCACGTGGGCACCCATCAGGTTCTGATGGATCGTGGTCTGCTGAATATAAGGAGTCGGTTCCGGCGACGGCATCAGCCCTGGCACCGATCGACCGGGGTTCGTCTGCCAGGACGAACTAAGGTAGCCCTGATCGATGAAACTAAAGGGGGTGGAGCCGCGGCTCTCCCACCCACCTTCGAACTCCGAATAGCTCAGGTCGCGGACGTGGTGTCCCAAATCGGGGCTTGATTCGGGAGTGTTCCGGGCCTCGTTCGGATTGCTGGGACCGTCCGCTGACGTGGGACGCTTCTTCTTGTCCTTGGACGGCGAGAAGCGATAGCTCGGATGCGCCTTGATGTGGTTCTTTTTTTCGATGTTCGCGAGCATCTCGTACTTCTCGCGGATCTCGGGAGGCTCCAGCTTCCAGCTAATGCCTGCGGCGGCGGACACCTCTTGGTGGTTATTCTGGGAGATCCACTGCTTGGTGCGCTCCGCGTAGGCCGACCGGTAGAGCATGAACGAGTTCATAGGTCGGGCGATCTTGCCGTTCTTCTTGGTCACCTCCTGAAGACGGACCTCGACGGGACGGTGCACCCAGGCACCCATATCCTTGACGGGGATGTGCGTCATATGCTTGGTCAGCTCACTCAACGGGCCCGGAAGATCGGGCCTGTCCTTCGCCATGGGCCGACGACGAGCGCGGCTGTCTCTCGAGCCCTTGGCCTTTCCGCGGGCCGATCGCCGGATCGGCGGCGACCTCCAGCGCAGCGAGGCCGCGTCCGAACCGTTGGGAAGAATGCTGTCGTCTAGGGTGGGGGGTGGAGTGTTGACCTGGAGGCCGTGCGCGGCGATCTTGGGGAGTTAGTCAAGGTGATGGTGCGGATGGAGGGAAGATTAAGGGGTCTTACGGAGTGTTGTAATGGCACGGGCTGTGCGTAGTCTCCTGTGGAGATGTATTGCGATGAAGAGGAAGAGTCGTACGACTGCAGAAGTCAGTTTAGGAGAGAATCTTTTGAGGGCGTGGGACTGGGTACTGACCATTGACTGCGGCGTCGGCCCTTCGTGGTTGCCGTGCAGTCCAGCTGCACCAAAGGCGTCACCGGGGGAATAATATGGCTGAATGATCGAACAGGGGTCCTGGTGGCCTTCTGGGACGGGCTCTCCACTTGTGGACTGGGGAGGGGAGAGTGGTTGACCGCGAATCAGCCTTGGGGCGGAGACCGTCATGACTGGTCGTAGGAGGAAGGTGGGAAGTCACAATAACGATATCACTTTCTCGCAGCTCTTGGAAGCCAGGAAATTTGCTGAAGTTCGCTGTTGCAAAGCCGGTGCGGGAGAGACTGCGCGGACGCTGTTGGGACGAAGTAAGGTCTTCGGGAGGCAAAGGAGAGCAATGAAATAGAAGAAAGCAGACGTATTCGGAGTAAAAATAGTGTCGTAGAATGGTGGAGAGGGGAAGTTTGCATTTGAGGTTCCTCCCAAATCGCAGGCTGCGGCAAGGAATTGGCAACTAGACAGAGAGCGCCACGAGCGAGGGGCACTTTTAATAGTCTCCCGTGGTAATTGGGAGGGGAGTAAAGAAGAGAAGCAAAGATAGTGCGATTCAGGGAGAGATTGGAGAGGGAAAAGGGTCAGGAGGCAAACGAATTGAGGTAAGCGGAGGGAGAGGGAGGGGGAGAGCCAACAGGTCCCGGCGGAGAGGGTCACGATATTAACCCGGAGATTGCTAGGAGAGAATGAATAGGGAGGGAGGGAGGGAGGAAGGAAGGAAAGAAGGTGGGAACCAATGCGACAGATATTAATCCACCGATCAGTCAGTCAAATCAGTCAAGGGGAGGGATGAGTGTGGAAGAAATCCAGAAAAGACGGATCTGCAGCAGCGGACAGCAGCGATATAATATAAGAACAAGGCCAGGGTAGGATCGCAATAGTCTGGGATTTTCAGTTCATCTAGAACGGCACAACCATGGGACCCCCGCGGCTGAGACCCTGAGCAAGAAGCCGCCAAAAATACAGAGCAGCAGCAAGCGGTAGTAGCAGAAGTTGGCGGCGGCGGCGGTGTTTCTTTTCCAGTGGAGGAGGAGACAGCGGAGGTGATGGCGCTGTCTTTGTTCCACTGTGTCGGGTTGCTGGTGGGAGGGCTAGGATGGGTTATTACTTTTCGTTTTTCGATGGTTGATATGGGGATTATTTGCCAGAATTATTATTCTCCTGCCGTCAAATTAATTCTTTTCTCTCTCGTTCAATTATTTTCTTTTTTGTATTCTTGTCGCTCACGGGCCTTTCTACCCCGGGGATCTACGCTATATGCCATCGCTTATGCCTCTAGACTCTGTCCTTGGGCATGTATAATTTCTCTGATATTATTCAGACCCTCTGTCTTCCCACTTCCTCACTAGAATCCTGGGCTCCCGCCCCTCCTTTGTGCCAAATTTGCACCCTCCGCCATGAATAGAAGACAATTGCAGACTGAGAGAAAGAACAAGAGCCACAGACAGACAAAGTCTGGAACATCGGGTGTTTGATCGTCTCTTAGAAGTTCTATACATAGTGTTCCCCAGATAATGAGAATAGTGACTGACACACGGGGCATGAATGATATGGATATCAAAGAATAGAGATAGAGGGTAGCAGCGGCATGCGGCACTGGGAGGCGGCTGGTCGCACAACACCGCAATCCATGTTGCTCGGTTGCATGGGATGGGAGGATGGGACCAGATGACTGGCAGGATCTGAATCCACCCACGGGTTTTGCTCTGCTCAGGAGATATTACCAATGAGGCTATTGCATATCAGACTCCGAAATGGTAGAATTAGGTATATGTTGAGGTATCAAAGAAGAGATTAAACAGAACGCACTAAAATATGCAATAATGGTCTCAAATATTTTTAATTTATTCTATTCTACTCCATTTTCTTTTTTTTTTTTTTTTCTCTTTCTTCCTCTTTTTTAATAAAAAAAAGACCAATACCATACCAATCACCAATCAACCTCTGCCATCCATATCATACCTATTGTCTCCCAACCGCATAGCGGGAGGCCCTCTGCAGACACGGATACCTATAATCGAAGTAGGAAACAGTCAGGCTGGCACGAGGCCAATCCCCACCGTGCGGACAACACAACCAGTGGATACAGTCGCATCCCTATTTCCATGGATGGGGAGATCATATACTCCGTAGAAAGAGGATGATGACAGGGCGAACCGTTCATCTCCGTGTCGACGCAGGTGGACGGACACATGCGGTTGGTAGGTAGACTTGTTTGAGGCAGAACCATGGAACGGAGCCGTCATCGCATGGGCGGGTTTGGACGCCGCACGCACGGCCAACGTAACGACCGACCCTTTCCAGTGCGTGCGAGGAGAAATGCGATCTGGACCGGTTCCCCACAGTTCCATGATCGGTCAGTCGATCAGTCGATCCCGCGGCCGCCACTCAGAGGGCAGCACGACCTGGATCAAGGTATAGGTACAGTACCGACATCTTGGGAAATCGCAGGCAGTTCCATGTTTTGGCAAGCATGTGGACGAGGAGGCGGTTTCCATGTCATCATCGTCTCCGTCTGTCGTTGTATGGCTTGGATTCGAACCATCGGAGACGTACATAACAGCATCGGACTTAAACGGTTGTGCGACAGCGCGAGCACCTGGAGGAGTGACCGACACGGGTACAAGAGCGAGCGAGCGAGAGCGCCTGGTCGTTGCCTGACAGAACGGGCGGCAAGGAAGCCGATGATAATTAGAAGGCGCCACCGCAACGATGATTCGCTAACCATTGGTCCGGCTTAAGTATCCACTGACGCTAAAGACTGGCCGGGGCAGATCACTGGACCGCATCATGCCCCGTTCGAACCAGTCGCGGAGGTGGGGCGGCCGCTGAGTCGGCGTTGGCCGTATTTTCTATACTATAAGTTCAGAGTCAAGTTGTTAGTTAGTTTAGTTTAGTTCAGTAAGGTACCTACTAAGATACTCTTAGGTACCTAAGTTAGTACCTAGTAGTTTAGGTACCCAGAGGAAGGCCACTATACTGTGTTCTGCATTAGTCCATCGTCCTAGGGCTGGCCGGTGGAATCCTTTCAGGCTAGTCTCGCTAGTCTATATCATCGGAATTATAGGCGCTTTGGACGGGACCACATCCGGGATCTTAGCTGCCCGGTTGACTGGTGTCAGAACGATCACGTGAGCGAAACAAGGTTACTAGGTTCTCCAAACGATCCGCTCAGAGTCAAACACTATCTACCTACTACTGAACGTAAACGGCTCATGCATGACTCCCTCTTCGTGTCCTCTCCTTCTACAACGAGAGTGGACTGAATCAAAGGGTTGAAGGGTTCATTCCCTTGATTTGGTCACCACCACGCCTGGGTGCATGAATCTACCACGAAGGTCGTACCAACAACCCTCCCACTGGAACATGCATCTGAAGCCAATGTGAACATGTGGCGGTCAGCACAGACGACTGCATGTCGCACCCCATAGCCCAGAGATTTCAAGCTATTGCCCTTTTCGGAATACGCTGCCTGGGGACGGTCCCCGAAGTGCCCCATGGAGAAGGCCTAGTTAGATAGCGCTAATTGCCGATCAGGGCGACATCCTCAATTGATGTCAGAGACTAGACCCTGGCCCTGCGCAGGATGGAAGGGAGGCTTGCATGATCGGCACTCTGATAGACTTTGATGGGGCTCAGATGGCTTGCGCAGGAACCAGAGGAGCCACTAACTTTCTTTGTTGCGTAGAAGGCATGGAAGGTCGGTGGAAGGTCTACCGTCTGCGTGAACCATTCTGGGCCTAATGCGTTGTCTTGGCGGATCTTATCTGGGAGGACGTGTTCCAAGGGACGTCTACATACAGAGTCAGACCACCCTCTGTTGGACTGGCAATCGCAGTGCATCCCAGGCCGTAACGAGGAGTAGATTGAGGTACACCAGGTACCTCTGCACAGACGGCGGTACGACCTACTCCCACCCCGCGCGTACGCCCTCGCAGTCTTTCATCCTCGAGGGCAAGTAAGCCCTAAGGGGCACAGCGCGTATGACGGAACACAGACTCGACCGTGCTTTTGTCTCCTGCCCCTCAACGTGTAACTCGAACGGAATCCCACCCCCCCCGCCCGTGTCACCTGCGCCAACAAGATTCCCAGCAAGGATGGGGCCATTCGATGGGCTTCTGGAAAAACGCCAGCGATCGACGCCAAGATCGGGGAGCGTGGTCTGTTTCGTCCGAGCCATGACACGGACCTCCTCGATCGTCCAACCAGGCCGCTAGACGCAATTAGCTTGGGGCAATATTATCCGTGATTCGACTGTCATAGATTTAGCCTTTCTTTTCTTTCTTTACCTCGTTTTGTTCTTTTTGCGGCCCTTTTTCCCTTATCGGCCTTGCTGCCCCTCCCTCGACGGTCTGCTGACAGGGAACAGCCAGCAGCAGGTTGAGGCTAAGCTCCGGATCATCCCATCCCCGTCCGTTTCATCGTGTGTCTTCAAGGATGGTCCGTCATGCCATTTCCGGCGTTGATACTAAGAATATCCCCGCTGCGCCTCACGAGGACGTCCTTGATGCTACAGGGAATGCTGGGAAAGGGAGAATGGGGGAGGCTTCGTTTCAGATCATCACAATCTTTATCGTCGGGGGTATTTTTGGGCACGGCCAGCGACGGATAGAGAGAAGTGTCAGGATGTGTCTGCCAGGACCGCCAAGGCTTCACTCAACCGCCGGAAATGGATGATGGAAGCGTGATATCGCCAATCAGACCCAGTCGTTGGCCGTGAGAATCGATTATCTTTTTCCCCCGAACGCCCTCGTTGCAAGGACCAGTAGGATCCCGTCGCCCAGCCAATTTGGGGCTCTTTCTCGCCTTCGTCAGGACCTCGATCTGTCAAAGAAGCTTCCCATCTGGAGCCCGACTTGAAGCCCGAAAGGACCCGTCGGACTTTTCGCTAACACAAGTGCCGAGTTGGCGTCCACAGAGAAGCCTACGGTGCCCAAGAGGGCAGTGATAATGAACTCGATGACGAGATCGAGGGGCAGACGGGACGCAGGGCGAGGACGATGGTATGTACGGTTCCCTTCAGCGACCATGATTGGTGCGAAGACCCAGATGTCCCTAACATGGCCTGTAAAAAAACACCGCATAGACACCCCATCCATGGTCCCCATCCTAGGCCATATCATGGGCATCTATAACGCTCACCGCTTGGTGCAAGTCGACACATGACTTCTCCTGTGAGCCGCTTGTTCTCTCTTGTGCACCCTTACCGCCACAAAGAGCAGGGCACAGATGCGTGCCTGCCCTGGCGGAAGGGGGAGGACGACTTCCAGCAACGTGGTGGCAAACATGGGGTTTGTCGGTCAATTCTACAATGGGCGGCGCGGGACCAGCCATCCACGGCTTGGTGCACGCTAACTGGGACGTCTAGGGGCCCACGAGTTGGGCTGCTGCAGTGGGTGTTGACAGTTCGTTGGGGAACTGAACATTCAGCCAAAGTACTACGGAGTACGGAGTACAGACTCGGTCCGCGCTGAGCGAAGAGGGGACGGTCGTCGGTTAGGGAGCATGCTGATAGGCCACACCATTGGGATACCAACAGGGGAGGCTTGGCAGACGCACCAGAGGAGAATATTACACGGCATTAAGGGCCAGTTCAGGATGTAGGATTGGATACCGCGGGACCGGATCTGGGATTAATAGGTAGGTCAGTGACTCGATTCCTGGATTGCAGCCGTGGTATGATTGCGCCTGAGGGATGCGCTTCCAGTTTGGTCCAACGGAGCAGGACAAGCAATTTCCTTGTCGACTCTGCCGCCCCTTTTGCACCAACCGAGACCACCGACAGACTGGCTGAAGTGTTGCTTCTGTTGTGGAAGGGGATGATTCGCCCGACCGAACACACCTCTGCGCCTGGCACAGTCCACCCGTTTGCTGCAAAGGGCCATTGCTCCTCGCGCACTGGGGAATTAGGTAAAACCTGACAGGAGAAGGGTAAGACAGCAAAAGCAAAAGCGGAGATCAGTGCAGGCGAGTGACTTCCTCGAAGTGGCTCCGACGAGTGAACTGAGGATGAGGAGAGGGGCCAGAAACCAAACCGGTAAGGAAAGGTCGCACAGAGACGGAACCGTTCAGTGGCACGTCACAAGTCCCATGATGCGCCTACGTAAGTGTACGGAGTAGTTCATAGAATGTTGGGCCCTCCAATTCCCCGAGGCAAATAACAACGGTCCCTGCAGTTTCTTTTCAGGAAGTGTCAAGCACTAGGCATTTACTAGTACGGGGAATCTCGGAAATCTGGTGGAACTGACTCGCAGCGGTCACTTAGCGCGCAGTCTAGAACGAGGATAGACTGAACCGGACTGGCTCCCGAGGAGCCTTGGGTGCCCGTTCGATTGATCCAACACCTCACGATTGGTGATAATGGGTGAGGGCTCGGCAGTGGAGATGGGGGAACCGGTCCCGACTCGAGGTCGGATACTTCTGCCTCCGATGCGACGACGGGCTAATTGGCGAGAGCCGAGTTAGCGCGACGGGGATCGAGTCAAGGCGCACGGAGTATGAGATATGGGTTGCATCGTCGCGATGATGAAAGTGAAAGTTCAATGACTCGTATAGTGTCCGAGGATGTCTCGTATATGGCGCGCGGGAGGCGATGCAAGGTTAATTCGCCCATCGGCCATCGCAATAGGTAAGAGGGTCGACGGGGTATGAGATCGGGTCTGCGAGATTGGCGCGCGATAGTCCGCTCCCACTAATAACCCAAAGGCGTATCTGACGCCGACTCCGAGTCCGCGGGCCTTGGCGCCGTTTTCAATAGATCTAGTCCGAGAGGGTTGTTTTCTGGGTTATATTGCGATCTACACCGTAGTGGTAATAGAGGCAACGGCTGCCCTCTGTAAGGGGCTAGATCCATCCGACTAACCCTGAGGAAGGTTGTATCCTGTATCCGCGATGACGACAGGCAGACGGTAGGAAGGCAAAAGATGATCGCGGAGGACCCACGATCGACGGGGGCAGCCTCGCTCTCCGCCGACAGATGATCCTGCCAAATGCCTAGGTGGGTATATACAGTTAGGTAGGTATGTACTCTGTACTCCGCGGAGTACTCCTAACACGAGAGGAGCCTGAAGCATACTGTACTCCATCATGACTAACGTCGGAGCCGAGGACGCACCGTGAGTGGTCAGAGGGACAGCGTTTGGCACAGCTTAAATGAAATGTCAAGATGGTCGTTGGAACCAATAGCGGCTTCAGTGGAGTCTCCAGCGAGGCCAATCAAGCCAGCATCGACGACAGGGATTGCAGGGAAAAACAGCCGTCCGATCGCGGACCAAATTCTGTCCGACTCTTCGGACACTTATGACGGGAACGCGTTCCGTGGGACGCGGCGCCATGGGAGCCATATTAGGGTTGGAAGTGTGGAGGAAGCAGATGGTAAGGGGATCTGAGCACCCAGAGTTTGGTCCGGAGTTCACCGTGCCCGGGGAACGAGGAAGAAGAAGACGGTAGTCCGAGAAGGGCTAACCCGATCCAGCAACCTCTTCCTCGTGCTGTATAGTGCAAATACCTACCTACTACTAGGTACTGCGAAGAAGATGAATAAAATATAGACTATAGCTTAGTATTTGTAGTCGTACCCAGTAGTAAGGTAGTACAACAGTAGGTACCTATTAGGTAGGGAGGTAGTAACTAACTAACCGTCATTTACTGCAATGGCGCTGCCATGAGGTCGTCGGTACCCAACCTGCCACTAGTTAGTCATGAGTACTGCCTGTCCGATACACTTCTGGCCATCCGATGACTACGGGACTGCATCAAGTAACCTTAATTAAATCATCCACGGATCCTTCCCTCCACCGAACGAGACCGAATGTTCCAATAATAATGAACCTAGGTACGCCAGTGCACCTGATCCTGCTGGTCTCTATACTCCAAGACCCCAAGTGCCCCCAACACCACTGCCAGACAACAGGATGCACGGGCTGCCGACATGGGAAAGGAATCGATTGATCGATCATCGGGTGGTTCGGGATTTGAATCATGGCGTTTGCTTTTTTGTTCTGATCCTGCATCCTGCGTACCCCTCGCTCTCTGATCGCTTCACAGGGAATGTGGCCGCGATGGGGGTCCTCACCTGGATCAATGTGTTTGTCCCCCTCGTTCGTTTTCTGCCACTAGGACGCCCCCTTTGTGTGTCTCTGGTTTGGGAAGGGCTTGTTTGCTAGCACCCCGGGGGTGTGCCTGCAGTGGGCAATTGTGTGGGAAACTTGCATAGATTGTCAATCTATGTAGTTTGATCCAAACAACAGAGCTGAATTCAGACCAGGCCAGGAGCCCTGAGCAATGGTTCGTCGAAGTGCATGGTAGATAATCTCTTCTGCATATCCGAACTTTTCATCTTATGCAATTCTTCCATTCACCTATAGGTATTATGCCCATCCGATTCTATGGCCACAACTCCCTCTTTGCATCCAAACAATAGACACACCCAGACCTCTAGCCCAAAACATGAAGGAAAACGAAAACAGTCGCAAAGAATAAAACAGCAGAGCAAAAGAAGTTCCAAGACTGGTGTTGATACAAAATCATAATTTACAATGAAGCTGCCGTTCAATCCATTCGCAACCAATACCTGTCCGCATCAATTCAAGAAATCTTATTGAGAAAAGCGCGATGATTCCATGCTCGTTGCTTTGTTTTGAGACGTTCAATTAACCTCGCAGTGAACGTGCAAAGGACGCATAGGATACCCGTCGTTCGGTGGCGGTTGGCGATGTGTATTTGCTGGGGTTAATATTTCCGCCTCGCTTTGTCCACCTCCAGATCCACCATTGAATCCACGCAGATCCACAACCCAAAACGGACACCGACCAACGGCCACTCTAGAAACGGCCAAGACAGAAGGCGAGCGCGCTCAAGGTCCAAATGGATATCACTTTCTTCAATTATTTCGCACCAAAGACCCAATATGCCATCGCAGCCTGAAATTCGCCAAGATTGGTCGACGCCGAACCTACTGACCATTCGTTTGCGAACCAGGGCGAGATCCTGGAGATGCAAAGGTCCCGGGCCGCGGGCCTATCGCTGACGGTCCTAAAGGAGGTAGCCGGTTGAGCGACGGCGACGACATCATCGGGTGCTGGCCGTTCTGCGACGGCATCTGCGCCATCATAGCATTCTCTCTCTGCCGACGCTCCTCCTGCTCAGGAGTCATGCACTTGACCGGAGGCGGAATCGGCGCGTCGGGTGAGCTTCGCCCCATCAGTTTAGGGCTCGGTTCAAGTTTCTGGATCGGCGGCAGGACTGGAGCTCCCGAAACACTGCCGGAGGTCATCGGGCGCGGAGACTGCTTGGTCGGGCTAATGCCAGACAACGGTCTGCCGTGAGAACTCTGTGGTGGTGATGAGTGACTCCCGTTGGGAGTGGCAGCGAAAGAAGGGTGAACACCACTATGGAAGGACGAGAAAGATGGACGGTTTGCGGAACCCGGCAGGGAAGCCTGATGCTGTCGGAAGGGGGTCCATGGTGCAGGGCTCTCTGACGAACCTCCCGGTGGAAATCCTGCCAGAGGACCAACATCGCGATTCCCCTGGGTAGGAGACATGGGCGGACGGTTCTGAATAGGGGAGGGGAAAGTTGGGCTGTGCACGGAGTGTGAAGACGACGGTCGCCGGTTCTGGAAGGGGCTCTGGAAATGAGCCTGATGTTGGGGTGGGAGTTGGGTGGCATGCTGGATTGGGGGAAGCGTTGGTCGCTGTTCCATAGACGGACCAAATCCATTCAGGCCCTTTGAAGGAGAAAATGGACCTGGAGGAGCGGCGTATATGGTAGCATGGGCTGTCTGAGGCCGTCGTTCAGGCGACAGCGGAAATTGAACAGGCTGGACGACGCCCTGCGGCGTAGGATAGGGCATCATGGGCTGTTTCGAGGGGGAAGCATGGTGAATGGCCGGTGGAGCAGGCACAGAGACCCCCATGCCCCCGACGCCCTTGTTGGCCTGAGGGCTGTGAGCACTCGCAGATGAAGGTGACGAGCCAAGTTTGAACTTCAGCGGCGGAAGCTTTGGGCGCTTCGCTTCTTCTTCTCGACGTTTGCAGTCTTGACAGATAAAATGGAAGTCATCACGCTCCGCTTCATCCTGCGCAATGCCCAGACACTTGCTGTGCTGCCATACGTTGCACTTTTCACAGGCGACACTATGAGAGCCATCGTCCTGCCATAAAGTTAGCATTGCCAACCAGAAGCTCAGCCAAATGTAACGCATACCAAGTTCTCTCCATGCACACCGCAGCCCGAACAGTCGAAGATCCATTCTTCCTCCTGTGATAGATCCTCCAAGTTCTTCCTCTGCTTCTCCATCTCCGCCTGGAGCTGTCGCTCGGATATCCGACTTTCGCCCCGTTCCCGTTTCTTTTGCTCCTCCTCGATCCTCTCCAGCTCCAATTCGTGCTCCTGGCGCTTCCTCTCCCGTTCTTTGATGCGATGCTCGCGCGTCATGACTCGCACCTGTCGCTCCGTTTCCATCTTCTTCTGTTTCTCCTCTTCTTTCCGAGCAGCGATCAACTCAGCCTCGTGCTTCTTCGCCGCCTCCGCAGCCTCTCGCTCCTGTCGTTCCTTCTCCGCCTTTCCGGCCAGACGGCTCGACCGCTTCGCCCCGGCGAGGAGTTGCATATTGAACAGCTCCTTTTCGCGCTTGACGCGCTCGCGTTCCTGGGCCTCTTCCTCCTTCTCGATGATCGGGAGCACCTGTTCTTCGATGCGGTCGCGCAGGACCTTCTCATCGGGATCCTTTGTCTTGCGGATCTTCTCCAGGAACTGCTTATAGTCGTCCAGCGTGACGGCGATGCATTCCCACGTCATCTCCTCGAGGGGCTCGTTTTCGGCGACGTCGCCGTTGGCGTGACTCTCCCCCTCGTCGGAAGACTCCTCGACCTTGCGTCGCTTGGCGGCTCTCATCGCCCGCGCGCTCTTTCTCCGGGACCTCGACTTGGGCGCGGGCTTCGAAGGCGGGATGGGAGGGTCGGTCCGGCGGTAGAGTCGGTTATCATCGAGGATGTAGTAATAGCGACCGTCGCGATCGTAGCCGACTTCTTCGATCCGCCACTGGGTCTGGTCGGTTTCGCGCTGCTCCGGCATCTTGTCGCGGATGCGGTCGGGGTTCCAGAAGGTCCAGATGGAAAGCTGGTGCAGGACGCGCAGTTTCAGGAAGACGTCAAAGTCAGCGAATTTGTTCGGGACTTCGTCGTACCCGAAGGGGTTGGGGATGTGCGGAGCTTTCGCATTGTACTGGCGGCGCGTGTATTCGTCGAAATTATCGAATCTGCAGCGCATTCCATGGTAAGCTTCACTGTAGGGTGTAGATGAGAGAGCTGGGGGAGGACGAACGTGAGACCGCGATGCGACGAGACCCATTTGAGCAGGCACAGTCCGATTCCCATGAGTTTTTCCGAAGGGCCGGGCTTGAGGCATTCATTTTCCAGATCCTATGTGAGGAGAGCGCAGGAACATTAGCTATCTATCCAACGCGACAAATTCTCCCCAAAATTGTAGGGCATGGTGTAAGCGCCCAGAAAAAACGCGACACTTACATCTATACCAAAATCCTCGTCAATCTTCATGAGCTTCCCAAAGATAGTGATGTACTGCATGAGACTGGCAAACTCCCAACAGTTACGCAGTCGGTGCAGCAGGCTGGGCTCTTCCGGGGACTGCTCGGGGGCAGCGTCCACCTCGGAGCGGGTGCGCTTTCGCGATACCATGGGGGCGGCTCAAAACCATTCGAGGCGCCGCGGCGCAGGGCAAGAAATCCTCAGAACGGCGAATTCCGGCGGTTCAATGGAGGGCCGAACGGACGTAATCAGAGTAGATAAAATAGGGGAACAGCAGGCAGAATCTAACACAACACAAAGGAGCGTTGAAGAAAAATAAGGGGAGTTTGGGGGACGGAGATGCTGATCGAAGGGGCCTGACGAGATGGAGATGACTTCAGAGAACGCCGCCCGGCGGGAGCGAAGAGGCGCGTCTCGACCCGTTCCCGTCAGGTGATCCGATCGATGGCGGGTTAGCGAGCGCCGATACTTGTACTCTTCTACCCTGATAAAACCCCAAATGAGACTGAGAACGCAGTTAATTTATGATCCATTTCTAACACAAAGATTTTCATATAGCATATAGCAAATCAGAAGAGAATCGGCATTGTGGGCACCTATATCCCTCTGTGGCAGAACCCCCATACAAAGCCATAAGAAAAGGAGCACGACCCATCATATAAATCAATAAAAACGAAACAAACATAGATCTTGGTATCTCGCTTAAAGAGGGTCTATCTGATTCAGTTGGAGAATGGGGAAGGGGACCATCAAGGGCAAACAGAATGCAGAGAACAAGACAGCGCCATCCCATCCAGATCCACACGCCACCACACAGCCTTAGTATAATACCATTATGCCCGAAACAAAAAGAAAGGACGGAGGCCGTCCTGGAGAAAGCGATGCGGAACCATGAGAAATGAACAAATACCTAAACCAAAAAGAACAAGGGGGAAGGGTGAAGAGAAAAAAGCGTAAGGGCAACAGAAAAACCTTTGATACATAATGGTCACAAAATTTCACCCTCGGCCCCGTGTCCTATCTCGCTCACTGGTCTTTTTTCGTGGGTTTTGTCGTTTTGATTGTTGTTTTGCCATCACACAATTGCGCCGTATGACCCATTTTCGCCTTGAGACCGTCCCATGCATATCGTAAGGTTGTCGAATACAGCAAGCATATCAAACGAAAACAAATGCGAGTCGACTTTTCGTGATTTTACATCGCAACGCCCGGAGCACCGTCCGAGACATTGTCGGAGAGGTTGATCAGGAGCTGTGCGAGACAGCGTTTCGTGGCGGCGTCGTCGCGGAGAACCGAGGAGAAGGTGGCGTCTCTGAGGGGTTCGGGGAGACATTGTCGCAGAGCCTCGCGCGCGCGGCTGTTATCACTGAGACTGGTAGGGAGGTCAGTGAAATCCATCTGTGATGACCCTAGTCCTCCATCAGGCACAAAGGGCGAGACTTACCGAAGGAAGCAGCGCACAACGTGCTTGAGAAGCCGCACAGTTTGTTGTTCCACAAGTTGGGTGACCATATTGCTCAGCACGGTTCCGACAGCATAGAATCTTTCGTAGGTTGCGCAGATGTAGGCGAGGCCAATATCGTCCAGCAGAATTTTCTGCACAATAAAGATGGCGACTGTCTTGCTCAACTCCGAGCCGGTCTCCATGATGCGAAGGCACAGCGGGATGATTTCGGTGGTCAGGAGGAAGTTGATGACATCCGAAGAATCGTTCTTGACCAAGGCACCAATCACACCAAGGGACGTGAGGCGAAGGTATTCAAAAGGACGCGACTTGGAAGTTGTGTTGAGAAAAGGGTAAAGGAACAGAGGAATATGTGCTACAGACCAAGAAAGGGTTGTCAGTGATATTCGATGATATGTTCGGGGTCGCCACATACCGTTGAGAAACAGAGTGCGAGTTTCGTTGTGAGAGGCGACACACTGAAGGAGGGCAAGGGCGTTGCAAACCCGATTCGAGGCCGCCGCAGTCAACTGAGAAGGGTTCAACAAGGGGTATACAGAGATGATTTCTTGAAGCAAAGCGGTCATGACACCTGCGAGTGGAAGTGCACCATTAGAAACTCATTCCTACACCAAGCCAGACGGGAGATCTCATACCGAACGAATGCCAGATAACGAGCGCTAACTCCGGAACCTGCTCGCGCTTTTTACTGAGCTCCATGAGCGCTGCTTCTCTGCGATTCGGGTCCAGAAGTTCGGCGACCCAGATGAAGACCTTGCGGTTCTCATCGGTAATTCCGCCATCCATCACCGAGACCGCACCGGGCAGGGACCCGTCTCCGCCCATCGCCCCGGCAGCCGCTTGAGACGGATTTCCGGCTCCAGCGTTTCCCGCCATAGCGATCCGACTGTAATGTTGTTGTTGAGCCGCGGCGGCGGCAGCGGCAGCGGCCTGGACTTGGGCATGCTGTTGGGCCACCAACGACGAGTGTTGTTGCTGCGGGTGGTGCTGCGCTTGGTGGTGTTGCTGCTGTTGCTGTTGTTGGTGCTGCAGCCAGGACGGATCAGCCTGCGGGTACTGGTGCTGGTGGGAAAAAACGTGTTGGGTCTGCGTTTGGAGCATGACGGGCCGGCGAAGAATCGGAGGTCGATGATGGGACTCGTAATCCTCAGGAGAGGCGGTCGGGACAACCTTGCGCGACCAGGAAGAGAGGGGGCAAAAGTGATGAATGAACTAAGGAAATGGTGGCTGATCGTCAGAGGTAAGTTGATGTCGCATTCATGAATGGTCGCAAGTAGAGTGGGTGGTGGAAGAGGAGAGGAGATGGCGAGGGGATGAGAGAGGGAGAGGTGAACGAAGATCGGTCGAGATTGATGAGGAAGAAGTTCCCGTCGGGAGGCGGGGACGCCGTTCCGTCCGCCTCCCACTGTTCGGATTTTGTATGCACATTTACACGGACAATTATTGCTGCGACTAACCAGATATTTTAAAGCTGACATACAAATTCGAGAAATCCGGTGTTTCCTTTCCGACTTCATTGCATCCGAAGCCTCAGTCGTTGGCGTCGGCAATGGTCCGTGAAGCTACTTGTTGGCCGCCTTGCAGGTTACACAGGATGTCGCACGAGTTAATCCAGCAGGTGCATAAGTCTCAGATGCGAACTTACGGGAGATGTAGGTGCATATGAGACAGTAGGTATACGGAGACGATCAGGGATCCTGTGGATGCATATCCGGATGAGGCTATTAAGTAGATGCTCATCAATCATCACCCGTGAAGAGCCAAGTATCACGTATCTTGTGGGCAGGTATTATATTCCGAGTACTATTTACCGTCGCATTCATTCATATATCATATGTACATCATTTCTTTCATCTCAAATTCATGTCCATCCATACCATATCCCCGGGTTGTCCAAAAGCGCAAAAAACACATGAACAAGACATTATCACGGCGAGATATCAGACATCGTTCGTCGTCATACATAGCAGAAAAAGCAAATCGTTGTCGAAGCAATCAAAGAAAGCACAGAGAACAATCATCGTAATACATCAGGTCATCGGCGCCGTTTTATGCACAATCGAGGAATCGAAAACATTCAAAAATAGTATTGAAAACAAAGTTCGCGGAGTTGTTTAAAATTCGTTGAATCATGATCGTCGTGATCGTGTACCTGATCTCCTCGACCGTCTTGTGTATCTGGTTCGTCTGCCAGAACTTTCGCTGCCTGTGGAGGTTGTTAGCACCGAAGGAGTCATCCAGCAGAACTATCGCAAAACTTACTACTTGGGTTCGTGTAATAGTCAGAGTAATAATAATACGAGCTTGGGTAACTGGATTCGCTCTTTTCGTCGTGGTCTCGGCGCCGTTTCAGGCCCAGGCACAGCGCAAGCGCGCCGAGGATAATGCCAATCGTAGCCAGACTATTCCATTTCGACTTCTTCTCGCCGGCGACTTCGGACGCCGGGGGACGAGCGCCAAACCAGGTGCGGCCTTCAGGTCTGCTGTGCGAGTGGTGGGAGTACCGGTCCTCGACGTAGGTCGTTTCCTTTCTCTTTCTCTTTCCGATCCCCAGACACGCGAAGAGCGCATCCAGCACGCCCTTACAACAGAGACAGGCGCACAGAAGAAGCAAAAGGAACGCACCGGCGATTGTTCCGATGACGATTCCGGCAATCGCTCCGCCACTCAGACCACCGCCTTCAGCATGGACGCCGATCAGCGTCGCCCCGTCCGTGCCAACAGGCGCCTCGAAGCCCTGGGTCGTCGTGACGGCAGCAGTCGCGGTGACAGTGGATGCGCTCGTGCCGCGGACTGGCGGCGTGGCCGTCGCCCAGATGGACGAGCTCCCCAGAACACATTTGTTCTCGCTGGAACAGACATAGGCCGGTCCGCAGCATTCGTCGCCGCATTTCGTCTCGCCGATCTCGCTCTTGCAACTTCCCGATCCGCTCCCCGAGCCTGTCGGCTCAGAGATGTAGCTGCTCCAGACAGAGGTGACTGTTGAGGTGTCGGTCTCGGTGACAATATACGTGGTGGTGTAGTACTCCCACTGGCCGCCGCTACCACTACCGCTACCGCTACCGTCGACACAGACTGCTTGGCCGTTGCTGTTGGTGGAACATGTTTGGCTCGAGGTACAGCAAAGCTGGCTGTAGAAGCCGCAGGGGTTGTCGCAGCGCTTTTGTAGCTCTGCTTCGTTGAGCTCCACCGGAGAGGCAGCAGACAGTTGCAGGGAGGACCAGACAGCGAGTAGTGATGCTGCAGAACGGAGGATGCGGGGAGTATGCATGGCGGATGGTAATATATTGGATGGAATGCGCGATAATCAGCGAGAGAATGGCGAAGAATGCGATCCAACCTCCGGTCGGACCCCGCGACGAATTGTATTGATGACCGGCGATGAGGGTGACCGTCGATGTATGTATGAACCCGCTGCGGACAGCGAGCGAGTGAAATGCCGCTTCACCACGCCGAACGACAGACTTCGGTCGATGGAATGGAAGCCGATAGAAAGAATGTGAGGATAAAGCACTCGTCGCAAGCCGTCAAACGAAAGTCACAGAGAAGACCAGAGAGAAAAGAATGGAGGGGTGCGTTGAGTGAGTTGAGAGCGGACGGGCCCTAATGCGATGGATTCCCAGCCTCCTCCGAGTCAGACCAACCACCGCATTTCCTGCAACCAATCGCTGCAACCACGGGAAAATCACTGTATGCGATGTGCGCTGAGACGGTCATGTCAGACTGAGGTAAATTAAAAACACGGCAGAGAAGAGAATTCCGCGGCTGGTATGCTCTGTGGTATGACATGCCAGCAGCCCCTCCTCCTCGTCATCGTCCTGGAGAGCTTGAAACTGATGCGGCAATCAGTGTCTCGTCCGCGTGTCGGTGTATAGTTCCACTCAAACCCTTTTTTTTTTTTTTTTCCCTATGGGCCCTGAATGATATCAGGTACGGCAGAGTGCCGCGTCCTATACTTTGCTGCCAACTCATGCAACTGGAGCCACCGGATGGTCATCCCGGTTTAGCAGTGGCGCTGCTGTAGGAACAACGCATTAACGGCCCAATGTGTGGTCTTAAGTCCGGCGGTGTGTCTTCTACGTCGTCAGTCGACTTCCTGCGCTATTGTCGGCCAGTATATACTCCATGTCATTTAGTCGTTTAGTGATAAATCAAGGGCCTACTATATACAACAAACGCTAAACAATAGATACACGCTGTCTGGGAAGATTTGTCGAACATCACAATCATCATCATTCCTCAGCCGTCATCCGTCCAGGGACCAAGGCGTAAACATACAATCCTTCTCAAATCCATCATAAATAGACATTTCAAATAAACATTCCTGCCACTCCAACCGCCATACCGAACACCAAATCCTGTAGACTCGTAGGACGACCGGGCCCGGCTTGGTTCGCATCACCTTGGCCGGTAGCGTACGTCCCGCAGTACCCCAGGTTGAGGCCATGGCAGGCCTGCAGACTCAGACTCGAACAGGTGGACACGGCCGCCGGCGTCGCAGCCCTCGTCACTCCGCCGCCGCCGCCGGCGACCGTGACGCCATATCCTGCCCCCAGATGGGTGAGACACTGCGTGTACTCGCTCTCGCACAGAGAATAATACGACGAACAGACGCCGGCGTTCGGGAAGGTGGTCGGGACCAGGACAAACGGGTACGCGCCCGGCAGCGTCGACCCAGTGATCGTGGCCTGGTTGGGCCCGGTGGTCGAGGCGGTGGCCGAACCAGTCTGGGGGAACTGGAAGCTGGTCGAGTCGCCTGAGAGACTACCGGTGCAGCTGGCACCGGTCGGACAGCAGGCGATGTTGTCGGCGGCGTCTCGGGAGCATTTCGTATCGCTTGCGCAGCACACCTCGGAATGCCCCAGGTTCGAACATGGATTGTACCCGGCCAGACAATTGTTGTCGGCCCGTTTCAGGATCCGCAGGACATCGTATGCTCGCTTGCTGGTCTCGGCTATCTGGGGAGCGGAAAATGGGAGCGTCTCTATCGATAACACCGTCGAGGCGAGGAATGTGGCCGAGATCCACCCTGCAACTTTCATTCTTGCGGTCCGCGGGAATGGTTCCGCCCGCCAGCTGGGGTAGGTATGTCGATTTCGCTGCGAATTGCGGGTGTGATTTAGGTAGGACGACGATATGAGGATCGAAGATGGCGAGGTTGGGTCCTGGGATGAATGCGAGGAGACTGTAGACGGGCGGTCAACAAACTACTCGATGCGGTAATGAGGCGAATGGGGAGGGGAGGGGGTTCATGGTGAGGACTCACTGGAAGCACAATGCGTGAAGATGTAAAATTCAAACAATAACGAGTGAATCAAGATTGACCTGACCTGCCCACATGCGAGAGACACCGATCGGAGAGATGTGGATCACGATGATGCTGATTGATGTGCCAGCGCAATCTCCACCGGGATCCCTGCCACAGCAACGGAGTCCAACCGCCCGGTCTATTTTAGATTCGCCCGTCTCGGCTGGACTTTGTGCCCTTTGTGCTCGTTGCAAATGGAAGACAATCATGCACTGTGTGCATTGTATGTCTTAAATTGGGTCCAGTTGGTACTAACTCGAAATATACCGAAGTGTGATTATCCGATTCATTGATAGTACCTTGTATACCTGAGGTTAAATTGAGCCCGATGGTCCAAACAATTCTCAACCCAACCTGGGTTGCGCAAAGGCTCGACCGAGCGACCGAGCGACCGAGATGATAAAGTACCTGATGATCCATGGATGAGAGTGAGATGCAGCGGGGGAACATGTGACTCCATGCATTGCAACATTCAGTCCCATTACAACCACTCACTGTCACCCCTCCAGAGAACAGAACCTTCAACCACCTGCAGCATCCTGAGCCCAGCCATAATGTCGCCAGCAGATTCAGGCCCGATGAAGATCCCCATGGTGGATTTCTCCGCCTGGGCCAACGCCCAAGATAAGGCCTCCAGGCGACGTATCGCGCAGGAGCTGATTGAAGCCTGTCAGACCGTCGGTTTTGTCTACATTGTGAACCACTCTCTGTCTGGGCATGCTATCGACGAGGCATTCAGATGGTCTAAACAATTCTTTGACCTGACGAAGGATGTAAAGATGAAAGCGCCGCACCCCGAGGGATGGGCCATCCACCGCGGATACTCGTGGCCGGGTCTGGAAAAGGTCTCGCAGACGATTAGCACAGGCGACGACGAAGAAACGCGGAAGAAGCTCAGGGAGATACCGGACGCCAAGGTATGTAGCCTCCATGCCTGGGAACTATTTAATCTGACAAGCACGATAGGAAGTCTTTGACATCGGCAGCGAAGACAACACAGACCAACCCAATCGGTGGATACCCGATGATGACTTACCGGGATTCCGTGAATTCATGACCAATTTCTACTGGGAGTATTGGAAAGTCGGACGAGAGCTGCTTCGTGCCGTCGCGGTGGGCTTAGATCTCCAGGACGAGGACTACCTGGCGAAGAAACATTCAGGCCATGACAACCAACTACGTCTACTCCATTACCTGCCAGTGCCCGCGGCCGATCTCGAAAACAATCGGGTAGGCTGGTGCTCGGCACACACAGATTGGAGCTCGATGACGATGCTGCTCCAGGACGAGTGTGGAGGACTGGAGGTCGAGGATGTCACTAAGCCAGGCACGTTTGTTGCGGCGGAGCCGGTGAAACATGCAATCGTCCTCAACGTGGGAGACTTATTGCAAAGGTGGAGCAACGGTACGTTCTGGCTTAGCTCTTTGCGACAGCGACGAGGTAGACGGCATACTGACAGCGACAGACCGGCTCCGATCTACAAACCACCGCGTGAGCATGCCGCCTCTTGCGGATCGGATTGAAGGCGCAGACCGTATGACACGCGACCGCTACTCAATCCCATACTTCATGACCACAGACCCCAGCGCCGTCATTGAATGTATCCCGTCTTGTACCAACGAGGAACAGCCAGCTAAGTATAAGCCGATTACGCAGGTGGACTATACCAGGATGAGAGCCTCCATGATGTATTAGGATGGTCATAATGCTTGTCGAGAAGCCAGGCTGCTTCGAGGGTGAAACCGAGAATGCTATACTCCCTCCTGTCCATACGAGAATGGAATCAGAGCGAAAAAGATGTCTGATCAAATCACTCTGAGTTGTCGTAGCAAGCCCTAAGCCCTATCTCCTGTTACCGTATACGGAAATCCCCCGGGGCGGGCATCGAATGCTTGGCGCGATGCGTTCATCCCATACCACGTCGTGCTCTAGAGCTAGACGCCTCATCGCACCCGCACACCAGTCACACGCGTCGTACATATAAGTTCTACACCACCGATATCCCCGAGCGGATCGTACATACGACCAGCGAAACGATTTCTGCCTAAGACTCGAACCGCCACGTCCGTTACCCCGCCACGGAGCTCTCAAAATGTCCATCCCGAATGAAGCTCTGCAGAAGGTGAATAGCACTCGATGCCTCGCACCGGTCCATGTAAATAGAAGCTAACCCTCGACAATTACCAGATTCTGCAAGAAATCGAAGCCCGCATCATCACCTCGCAGCAGCAGATCGGCGTGACCAAGGCGCAGATGACTGCCAAACAAAGAGAGATCCGCAAGCTGGAGTTGACGTCGGAGGAGATCAGGACCCTTCCGAAGGATACTCCCGTCTACGAGGGTGTTGGGAAGATGTAAGGAGTAGATTGGTCGCGTCCCGGAGTGAGAAGATGGCTAATCGGGACAGGTTCGTGAGTGTGCCGATGGACGCCGTCGGCAAGCGGATATCGACCGACAGTACGGAGCTGAAGACCGATATTTCGAATCTCGAGAAGAAGCTGCATAGTCTGGAGATGACGCATAAGAACGGCGTGGAGAACTTGCAGAAGATCATGAAATCGGGGGATAGATCGTGATACCAGACGGGGCGCATTATAAAATCATGGGTTATGTCGAGGGACTGGGGGACGACAGGTCACACAACATGCACCATACAGCATGCGCAATGCGTGCTTCGGTCTGGGACGAGGACATGCCGCTGTACAGAGATGTTGGCTGGCAATGGGACTGTTCTAGATAGCGGCCGGATTGTGTTTTGAGCCTGCCATGATTCTGGCTGGACCAGGGTTCCACCGGCTGCTGCGGCCATGATGTATTTTATTCATTTACCATATACCATTGAATTCCTGGGCGCGTGGACGACTAGCTTTCGCTTTGAATAACACATGTACTACACCAGCCAACTTAGGAGATATCAATGGCAACCTTGGAGAAATGGCGCTGCTGCGTCACGTATTCCAGCGCCTCCTTGGCCTCTGCCAGTGTGAACATCCGTTCATCGAGCACCGGTTTGATCCCCTTCTCCTCGATGAAGCGGTTCATCGCATCGAACTGGGCGCGGGATCCCAACAGAAGACCCCGAGTGATGCACAGATACGTAAGACCATCAAGGATGGTAGGAACATCTGCGCCGGCGTCACCCAAAAGACCAGTCAACGCGATCATGCCCTCCGGCCGGACGGACTCCAGCGACTGACGCAGCGTAGACAACCCACCCACATCCACCACGATGTGCACGCCGTGACCATCCGGCGTCAGACTCTTGACTATCTCTCCCCACTTCGGCGTGGTCTTATAATTGACGACATGCTGAGCGCCCAGCGCCTTCAGCTTGGCAGTCTTCTGGTCCGAGCTGGTGGTAGCGATGACCATCGCACCCGATGCAATGGCAAACTGCACTGCGTTAGTACGCCGTGTCCTTCTCGACTCCTTCGATACAGAGGGAAGCGATACTTGCAACGCAGCAATAGAAACACCCCCAGTGCCCTGCACCAAGACCACCTCCCCCTTCTTCGGTTCCTTACCCGGCAGGCCGAAGAGCGCATTCCACGCCGTCAACCCAGAGCACGTCAGCGTCGCTGCCTCAGCAAAGGTGAGAGTGGGCGGCATCTTCACCAACGAGGTGTCATGGAATACGCCGTACGGACGGAGAGTCCCGTCCAGCTTCTGGCCGAGGCCGGCCTGGATGTCCGCGAAGGTGGCCGGCGCATCGTCCGGCATGTCGCGCGTCATGTGCGTACAGACACGGTCGCCCGACTGGAATTGTCTCACGTTGGACCCGACCGCCTCGACGACGCCGGCACCGTCCGAGCCGGGAACTAGCTTATCCTTGATATCCAGGCCGAGTTTCCCCTGTGGTGGTGAGAACAGGGTGTTGTGGTGGGGACGGGTGCGGTACCTGTGCGATGACGACTTCGCGGTAGTTGAGGGAGGCCGCATGGATCTTCACCAGAACATCGTGATCGCCTAGCTGGGGCAGTTCCAGGCTGTCTACGAACTGGAGACTAGAGGGCCCTTCTTGACCGGTCAGGATCCAAGCCGGGGTGTGTGGTCTAGTCATGGTTGATGCGAGTGTGATTGTATACTATGACGATGATATCGAAGCAGAAAAGACACTTGCACAAAGACCTCCAGTCAGTACCTAAAGTCAACAGAGAATTTCCAGCATGGATAATGTTAATAATGTTCCCGGGGGGTCCCGCAGCCACTGCTGACTTATTACCTACTTGTACTATCCACAGAGTATTCCAAGGTTCTGCGACGGTGAGTCCCCACCCAGATCCACCTACCACACTGTGGCAGATAAACGGGAATCGCGTTGGGCTGATGGTCTGATCAGAGGCCTGAACATATCAGATGGGCTGTCGATAGGGTGTGTGGTGAGGAAGGGCGGGTTGCTGTATACGCATCTCGGATGATGGGATCGGGTATCTTTCTCCAAGGGTACTGATAAAACGCCGGACGCCACCATTTCAGTGACTCGTCGACGGTGACTGCGGAATCGATCAACGTCGACTTGGGCCATCTATGGGGTGCTGGTGTAGAAAGACGATGCGGATACTCTGTCAGTCTGTCATGAGGTGTTGCTTCTCTCTAGATATATACTCGCTAGGACTTAGATGTCCATCGGGATAGTCGAGAGTGGTATATACAACCTAGCAAAGCATACAACGAAAGCTTTTTGTGCCCGACTTCTACACTGTCAGTAAAGGGGAGTAAGGATAACGCCCTAAGTGTGCATCCACAGACGTCATGGAGAAATATATAGACTAGTATAGCCGTTGATAGTTCCATTCAAAAGTGGATCAACGATAGTGCAATGATTTACATAGTCCCATCCATGCAAGGGTCAATAGAATTATGTCAATGATTATCCACCCGTTAGTCCTGCATACATGGGGCATGACATGAGATACCTACTAGGTACTACTATACACAGCCTTAGCATGGTACGATTTAGGTACCTACCAGGTATCTGAGCACCTAATGATCTTGATGCGCCCTACAGACGCTGGTACCTTACCAGGCGCCTAATCCCAACTCCACCATCCTGAAACAATACAAAAGAAACTAGGGACCATTGTCCAACTCTTTCAACCATCTACTTGTATTGTAGTTAACCGCTGCCCAACCACCGCCGATCACCACGCCAGACGCCAGCCCTAACAAGAAACATCGCCACTACTGTAGGAACTGCGATGGTGCATCACTATTCTTAGATGAAATGATGACGGCGGTTAATCGTAGGAATACCCTGACTCACTCCGAATGACCAGTCACCGTGGGTGTCACGTTGCCCCCGAGTGTCCCGATGATGCGATCAGCTTGTTTGGGTCGGCGGGATGATCCGTCTGTCTTCCTTGGTTGAGATGAGATGTGTAGATAGTATGGTCACTAGTGCTACGACTCGACTACAGGAGTAACCCGGTATCTACCTAAGGTATTTGCCTCGAGCGAGACGCCCAGTCTAGCCCTAAACCACGATAGGTGCAGAGATAGATGATCCTGGTCAGGCTGACTGATCCCCCACTTTCAGCTGAAGCGCCCGCCTTTACGAGCCTCTTTTCTTCCTTTCGCTTCTCTTTCTCCTCCTTTTCTTTCTCGTCTCTTCTCCTTTCTTCCCGTTCATCTCATCCTCGTCTTTTCAGCGTTGCTCTCGTTTGAGATATCTGTCCCTTCGACACCCAGCGTCATCCCAGCCCCCATTCGAGGATTCTTGCATCAACCTACGTCACTGGCGTCCCCCCGCTTTCATTTCTACCCTGATTCTCCCACCTGCCTCGCCCTCTACACGACCAAAATTTCCCACCCTAACAAAATACCACCACCATGAGACGTCACGTCGTGACCACCACGGATTCTGAATCCGAAACGGAATACTCCGAATCGGACCTCTCCATGTTGGAGTACCCTCGCCGCCGACACTCCGTGCGCCGACGCTCCGTGTCCCGCCATCGACACCGCGCCGCCCCAGAGCACAGCAGCACCGCCTATCTCAGCCCTATCGTGCAGGACATCCACCTGCACCGCTCCGCGTCGACGGGGGCTCGGCGGCGGCGGGACCGAGACCGCGAGCGCCCGTCGCAGCCGCCCGCCGTCATCGTCGACATCCGCAACGACTCGCGCAACAAGTCCTCGAACAAGAACCGTCGCCAGCAGGAGTACGTCGACCCCTTCGAGACCGACGACGAGACACTGCTGCGCAGCCACCGGCGCCCCCGCGCCAACACCGGCAGCATTTCGCGCGAGGCATCCCCGCGTGCCAGCGCCCCCGCCGTGGCGGCGCCCCCGCCCCCGCCCCCCCGCGACTACGACCTCGTCGTCGGCCAGCGTCTGCTGGAGCGGAGCGACGCCCGCCAGGACTTTGAGCTCCTCAAGCAGCAGCAGGAGATTGAGCGTCTTGAGCGCGAGCTGGCCCGCCACAAAGAACACCAGCAGCAGTTGCAGCACCGCGACCACTCGCAGACCCGTCCGATCGTCATCGACGACGGCTGGTATGAGGATGATCTCAGCGAGCGGCTGCATCGGCTCGATCGGCTGGAGCGCAAGCAGCGCGCGGAGGAGGAACAGCGGCGCGCGGAGCAGCGGCATAAGCTGCGGCTGTGGGAGGAGGAGCAGCGAAGACAGCAGGAGGAAGAGGAGGTGAAGGCGAAGCTGCATGAGCGGAAGTTGAAAGAGCTGCAGCAGAAGATCGAGGAGGAGGAAGAGCGCGAGCGCATCAAGAAGGAGATCCGCGATGAGGAGGCGAGGTTGGCCCTCGAAAAGGCCGAGAAGGAGAAGAAGTTGGCGCTGATGAAGCAGGCCGCCATCGAGGAGTGGAAGCTGGCCGAGGAAAAGCGCAAGATCGCTGAGCGAGAGGCCAAGGAGAAGGCGGACGAGGAATTCCGGAATCGTCTTCGTGCCGAGTTCGGATACACCGAGGAGGAGATCGAGAAACTCCTCAAGAAGAAGGAGGATAAAGAGAAAGACAAGGGCAAGGAGAAGAAGGACGACAAAGACGATGAGAAGGAGGAGGAAGATCACCGTCGGACGTGGATCAAGGTATGTGATGTCGCTTGTTGGCTGCATAGATCTGTCGCGATGTTGACATGAACATAGGTCCACCGGAAGTATCTCCTCCCCGATACTTTGATAGCTTACCGTTTGCCTTGGGACTGGGACGAGGTAAGTGGCAGTCACACTCCCAAAACAGATCACCATACTGACCGATGGCCTAGCATGACCGAAACTATATCATCATTAAACAATGGATCACCGAGGACATGCAGGAGGAACTCTTTTCCCACACGCGCCGGATACGTGAGGGCAAGCTCGTCACGCAGACCTCGAGTTCGCAGACCGAGCTGCGCGTGCGCGATGGCAAGAAGGATAAATTGTACCTTGTGCGGAAGAAGAGCCCGAGCCGCCGAGCCTTCCTCTTCACCTGAAGTGTTTTTTCGTCGCAAATATACGGTCTGATACCTGCTGCTTTGTTGGATGTCAACTCGCCTCTCTGATTTCGTTACTCTTTTCCGCACGCGATTTTTCTTTTTGATATATGATATGTTCATTTGATGCTTCTGATGCCATGAGCTGGGATTGTTGAGATGATAGTTATATGATACAATGACGAACATTATGCTTCATGTTTAACGTCCGTACCGAAACTCCGATGGCCTTAGCGTATATACCTTAGTCAATTCGTATTTATACATGTGCGTGGGCTTTCTCAGCCCACCGGATCTCCGCGCGGAGGATGAGTTCTTCGTACACTGTCCAGGCGAGGGCGGAGCTCAGTGCTTTCCGGGTGATGCGCAGGCCCAGCCCGCCGAACAGGCTCCGAACGCCATCCTCCTGGATCATTAGTTTGACTGCGCGCATCATATTCCCATATTTGCCGGGCATGAGCTGCAGTCGAGTCTTGACAGCGTCGAACGGGTTCGTGATGGTTGTGGCAAGACCAGCAGCCAGCCCGCCGGATATGAAGTTGATTGATGAAGACGATGTCGCCGCCAAAGGCTGGTCAGCCGTTCCTGAATGCTTCAGGCCGGCCAGATGACGTTTCAATTGCTCATAAAAGAGGACGTAGAGTCCCGCGTACGGTGCATCTCGAGCCGCCGTGGCCCCGAACCCGGAGAACAGACCGCGAAACCCCTCGGTGCGCACGATGTCCCGACCAGCGCCGTACAAACTGCGATATGCGTAATAGTCTGACTCGTAGCGCACCTTGATCACGGTAACCGGCATCATCACGAATCCGGCCGCAACCCGAGCGACAGCACCGGTACCTAGGTTGGCCCAGTTGGAAAGCTTCGGGAGAGCTGACGATGACTTTGTGCCTTTATTTGCGCTCCCATTGGAGCCTGTTAGGACCGCCGATTGTGCCAAAGGCTGTCGCAACGCATTCAGCGTGGTGAAGTATAGCGCGGAGCCGAAGCCCGTGCGAAGCGCGGACGGGAGAGTACCCCGCCATAGACTGCGGATGGGATGGGGAGAAGAGAGGATGGTCTTGAGGGTTGGAAGGAGAGCAGCGGTCTGTTGGGACTGTTGGACTCGAGTTTTGAGGAGGTCTGCGGGTTGTAGGAGGATGGAGGAGGTAAGACCGGAGCAGAGCCCGGCGGCGAAATGGAAGGTGGTTTTGGACGCTGCAGATGAGTGTTATTGTTTGTTTCTTTTACTTATTTCCTGGATGAGGTAGAAGATATCCCAGAGGATATCAATAGCGATCTGGATTCAGAAAAAGAGTAAGACATACAGGTTGAGGTGGTTTTCACCTGCGGCGCCAGATACGCGGCATTGTTCGACATGGCTTTGGGGAATCGTACAGGTCACCCTGTCATTCGAATTCTGAATGAGTCGGTCGAATTGACTTTGCTGTCTGACCGGTTCAGTCCGACTGAGCGAGTCGAGCGACCGTTCACCGCCAAGTACGTATCTTGGAGGCTGAGTTGGGTGGAGAAGACCGTTGTGCGGTCCAAATCAGGTGGGGGAAGATATAGACGGCATTTCAAGAGTTGAAGCAGAGAATGGGAGACCTGGATCGCAAGAGTCTGGGGATCGCGCAGGTCAGGAACTAACAATCAACTCGAGGGTAGAGGATGAAGTGAGAGGTCGAGCGAGATGGAAAAGGTTTGGTGAAGTCATCCAGCAGGCAGGCCGACGTATGCAGGACGATTGGCTGCAGGGATCATGCCGACCGGGGCCGAAATTGTCATGACGTGACGGTATCTTACATTCTTACCGGCTGTCCAGTAGGGCATTCTGCATTCGGAACAATACTGAGGTAATAATAATACCGCCGGTACTGAAACCATCGGCAAGGCGCGGAGAGTTCGGAGGGGGGCCAATCGGCCGCCTGCATCCCCAGGAACGGCTAAACACCTCTACCGTAATTCATGATTGCCATCGCCTCTTCTGCTTACTACTTATGTACTTCCTTCCCTGTGACTTCCATCCGGTGGTTCGCCTCCCCTCTTCCCTTTTGACTTCGCCTCTTTGTGGAAAACCACTGACCTGGATCATGTCCCTCTGGGTTTAACCCTCCTTCCTCTACATTCTTCCCTTCCTATTCTTCCCTTCCTATTCTTCCCTCTGTTTCTGCCTCTTATAGATAAGAATATACCCCGCCTGCGGAGAAGCTCAGCCAGAATCATGTACCTTCCTTCGTTTCCATATCCCCAACCCAAGGACGGGTACTGGAGTCCGGTCACTTCAACCTTGAACTGGTGTGAAGAAGTACGTTTCCTCTCGGTCTTTCGTGTCAATTCAGACCCAATTCCTCCTTCTCCGTGCTAACCGTGCGCAACCGGCCCATTAGGACTACTATGCCACCAAATACTCCGCCGAGATCGTCAACACCCTGACCAACCTGCTATTCATGTGGCTTGGTGTCAAAGGGTTCCTCAGTTGTCGTCGTCATGGACATGATACTATCTTCAAAGTCGCTTATCTGGGGTATCTCGTCGTGGGAACGGGGAGTTTCCTGTTCCACTCCACGCTGAAATGTAAGGTCGAGCGTCATATACTTGCGTTGAACCGCACGTTGACTTCTCTCCTCCCAGACCCCATGCAGCTTGTCGACGAGCTCTCCATGATCTACACCACCTGCCTGATGGCCTACGCTTCCTTCTCCTACTCGAGGCCGACGTCCGTCCGCATTGTCCTGGCCATCTCCCTCGCCAGTCTGGCTGTCTTCATCACCCTCTACTACCACTACCTCCAAGACCCCGTTTTCCACCAGAACGCATACGCTCTCCTAACCACCGTTGTGGTTATCCGCAGCATGTACACCATGGAAGTGACCCTGCGCCCGCGTTGGCGCCACTCGACCGAGGAAGACCGTCTGGCTCGCCAGAAACAGGGTCTCCCCGTGCTGTCCAAGGAGCGCCAGCACTACGAGAACGTTCGCGATGTCAAAATTCTCAAGACCATGTGGTTTATGGTCGTTTACGGTCTGACCCTGTTTTTGGGTGGGTTCGGCATCTGGAACCTGGATAACCACTACTGCTCAAAGATTCGCGTTTGGCGCCACGCCGTCGGACTCCCGTGGGGTATTTTCCTCGAAGGTCATGGCTGGTGGTATGTTGACTTCCATTATTTCACCATCTCTCTTTTCTACTCTGCGAACCGCTCGGCTAATCTTTTGTCTGCAGGCATCTCATGACTGGCATCGGGGCTTACATGTACATTGTCTGGGGAACTTGGTTGCGCCACTGCCTGAACAAACGTCAGGAGGAGTTCCATCTCTGGTGGCCTCATTACTGGAATTTTCCCGAGATCCTGCGCACGAACATCGGATCGAAGCGCGCTGAGAACGGGACCGCAAAGAAGTCCAATTAAGCTGGTCGAAATTCTGTGTACGATTCCGAGATACCTATGTGTTGGTCTGGGTTGATGGGCGTCGGAGCCCGGTGCTTTTGATGCTGTCTGTGTTTCTGTCGACTCGGGGTTGATGGTTTTGTTAGGATAGACTTGGCCTGGGGCGTATTCTTATACCTATCCATAGAACTGCAATCGATTTTATAGACACGACCGGGCGTTGGTTGTAGATTTAACTATGTACAAGTGGGTGTAGGTCTAATGGCCTCTGTATCCAACCTTATCGAGAGAACATGAATTACAGCTTCGCTTTCGAATCTTCCTTTTTCTTGGGCCGCACAGGCGCCGGGACATGTTCTTTCCACCGGGCATCAATGGTCATCTTCTCGACCTTCGACTTGCGGTCCCACTGCTCCCGGAACATGCGTTCCTCTTCTCTCCACCGCGCCAACTCCTGCCCAATCCACTTGCCAGCAGCCTCGGCACAATCGACGGGGGCTTCCTGGGCCAGAAGGTGCCCGTATTCTTTCAGATACTCGTTGCGGACGCGCCCCGCCAGGGCGCCACCACTGCCGCCCAGACCGACACCGGTGTTCTCCATCTTGTCGGCCATCATCTCGGGCAGACACATGTCGGACTTGCCGGCGAAGATGTACAGCACGCTAGGGCGCAGATGCTGGATCTGTGAGAATACCCGCGACGGCTCCGGACGGTAAAACGGCCACGATCCCAGATGATTGGGGTTGAGGTCAGGATGTGTCACACGGTTGATGGGCACGTCTTTGCCAGGAGGTCCGTCGTAATTGGGACGGGAGAAGGTGAAGACCTCCTGGTGGAGGGGGGTGGTCAGTGTGACTGGTTTCTCGCCACTCTTGGGCTCCTCTGGCAGTGGGTGGATCGCAGTGGGGAGTTCGCGCAGACCGTACTTCACCCAGCGGTCGAGCACGCGCGGATCCCAGGCCTGGTAGAATGGGTTGCGCTTGAAACCGTCCTCGGCGGCCTTGCGCGAAGGCCAGAGGTCTCGGCGGTAGGTGGAAAGCTGGGTGGTTTTAGCGATGACGAGTTTCTGCTTGGCGACCTCGAGCGGATCGAGCTGTGTCGTCTGTCGTTGGATCACTGGGTCCAAGAGGACGAGTGTGTGGATGAGACGGGGGTGGATCAAGCACAATTGGGCGCTGATGTGTAAGGACAGTTAGAGAGGGGCCAGACGGGTTTGCAGCGGGGACGAATAGGTACTTACAGATGCGCGCCACCCATACTGTGACCAATTCCGATGATGGGCCGGGGCATTTCCTTGCGCTTGACATTGACTAGATGGAGGAGGTCTCGGGGGTGATCGAACCAGCTGGCTGTTAGAAGTCAGTACGGGCATAGGGCTTCGTCCTCATGAATGGATACGTACGATCATTCCCCAGTAGATCCTCGTTGAGCACGCTACTCTGTCCCTGGTGCGCAACATCTGCCATCCAGATGCTCCGAATCCGGAACCCGTTGGCCTTGGAGCGGGCATACAGTTCTTCCCAGAGCGGCTCGTATAGTTCCTATTCCACAGGTAATTAGTCGCCATGTAGTCAATTGGGGCACAGCTGCAACCATCGTACTTTTGGGAAGCCGTTAGCGTGTGCCGCTAGAATAGTGACATCTCCGGGCTGTGGATTTGGGTTGTCGAGAGGAATATACTGCTTCACGGCAAGATGCAGCTCATCCTCCTGCGTGTTGGCGGTAGCGCCAGGGTACTCGCGGATATGTTGACATTCGACCGTATGTTCGACCACACGAAACGGGCCGGACGTGAAAGACGACATGGTGTCTCGACTGTGTGAGGAGAGAAAGGGGGAGAGTGTGGGGAGCAGAGCATTAAACCTGGGGCTGCTCTTAATATGTACTGTAGTCCACTCTAACTATCCTTCCCCCACAGCGGCCGGGAAACATTCGCGGCGATGGTTGCCGTGACTCGGACTGAGCCGAGGCTTCTTCGCCTTGTTTTTTTCCCCGGACTTTATGCCGCTCGAACACTATTATTATGCCCCGACACTGTGCACCACACGTGACCTGGTGTCTTCCGCAGCGCGTCACAGCGCGTCGCATTTCGTGTAGTCTCGATAAGAACAAGACAGTCAGGCCACGACCACCACCATGGCTGTCCCCCACGACGAGCTGCGTCTATTCGACCAGTGCAAGGCCTGCATCATATGCTCTAAAGATCTGCCCGCGTCTACTGCTCATCAGTTGGCGGCCACCTTCGAGAGTCACGGTGGAGAGTCCGTCATCTATGAAGCCCCCGCGACCTTTCCTCAGTTAGAGGAGTTTACACACCTCATCTCCCTGACCATCGACTTTCCCGCGTTCGAAGCCGCCCATGATGCACTGATTCCGGTCGTCAAACCGCAATGGGTGCATTCCTCGCTGTCCAAACGGAAGCTGGCCAACCCACGCCAGTTCAGCCCCGATCCGCGTCTATTTCTGAGCGACGTCGTGGTCTGCTGCGGAGATATCCCAGAAGGTGATAAGGATGCGATTCTGGGCGGCGTCGTAGCAAAGGGTGGTCTCTACACGTCGAGACTGCACCAGACGGTGACGCACCTGGTGGATCTGACAACGAACTCCGACAAAGCCCGACTCGTCCTTTCGCGGAAGTTGAACATTAAAATTGTCCTTCCTCATTGGTAAGCTGGATTAATTCAAGGTATCGCCAGTTTCGACCACGATCGCGCTGGTTAACACGGTGTGCTAGGTTCGACGACTGCCTCAAACTTGGACGACGAATCGATGAACGCCCGTATACGCTTCCTGACCCCGAGATCCTCCGCGCCGCTCCTGATGCACCCATTCGCTCCTCAGACAATAAGGATATTGTTGGCGCCTCGACTCCCGAACCGAAAAGCCTGCCGACCCCCGTCACCTCGCCTCTTAAGCGCCCTAAACTCGACGTTTTCGCAGGCAAGCAGATCATGCTCTCGACAGACCTGGGGATTGGATCGCACCTACTCAACTCCATCACCGAGATCATTGAAGAAGGCGGAGGTTCGGTGGTTTCAGACGTTGCGAAAGCGGATATCCTGATCTGTCGCTACCGAGAAGGAGTCGCGTACCGCATCGCGTCCAGACTCAACAAGGACGTCGGAAACCTCTCCTGGCTGTACCATCTGATGACTTACAATACGTGGACCTCCCCCTACCGACGGATGCTTCATTACCCGGTCTCCCGCACAGGGATCCCTGGGTTCAAAGGCCTCAAAATCAGTCTCTCCAACTACGTGGGTGAAGCGCGAGTCTACTTGGAGAATCTGATTGCTGCCACGGGTGCAGAGTGTACCAAGACTCTCCGAGAAGAGAATACCCACTTGGTGACGGCCCATGGGCAACAGCGCGAAATGTACCGTCCGCCATAGGAATGGGGTTTGCAGGGTTTGTCAACCACCTGTGGCCTCGAGGAGAGCTATGCGAAGTGGAAGCTGCAGCCGGTCCTCCGACCCACGGTTATACGCACTGTTCCGCGGAGGACCAACCTCGAGCGAGGTTCGTCGGTCAAACGCGCTTGGACAAGTTCCGTTCTGGAGAGTATCTTCTATCGGTCTGAAGATGTCGACCGGGGACGTGCAGGCAAAAGAAGAAGAACCATACAAATAAGAAGGAGTCTGCCCCTAAGAAGGCGTCGTCGAACAAGGCACCCAGACTTGATAGTGAAGTTACAGCCCCGGCGAACGAAACACCTCGTGCTGTCAACAAATCACGAAAAGTCTCAGACAACAAGAATATACAGACTCCCGCTCGTGCCAGGCTCTTGTCCGAAGGCAAAGAGAATGAGACGCCATCGTCGACAAGCAGCCGCAAGTCGAAAGATGCTGCCGCCGCCCGTCTGCACGAGATCGCTCCGGATATTGCTCTATACGAGAAAGAGATGAAACGTGTAGGGGGTGTCATCTATGGCGGCCGAAGGAAGACCGACGAGGACCGCATTACTCTAGACAAGAACAGCAAGAAGCGGCGTTCAGCGTCGCCTGAGGAAGAGGACGATGAGGCGATCGAGGCAAAGAGACAGAAGAAGTCAAAGCCACCGGTTGTTATGCGTCTTCTCATTACAGGCTACCAGAAGTGGGTCGGGAACCTGAAAAGAGAAGATACAGACAAGGTATGTGCAGATGAACTCTATATATGTACATGCTGGTTGCTAACAATGACAGCGACAACTGCGCGAGCTTGGTATTCAGGTCGTGCAGGATGCGCGCAAGTGTACTCACCTTGCGGCTCCATCTATCCTCCGTACCCCCAAGTTCGTCAATGGGCTAGCCTATGGACCAATGATCATCCGCGCAGACTACGTCACTGCCTGCTTGAAGAAGAACGAGCTGTTAGATGCCGCCGATTTCATCCTCAAGGATGAAGCGGCCGAGAAGCGGTTCGGGTTCTCGTTGGAAAAAGCCAAGGCCAACGCCAAGAAGAACAAGAATCAACTTCTCCGAGGATATCATATCTACTGCGTCGAATCCATTCGCGGAGGGTTCGAAGCGTTTAAATCAATCGTCGATGCAAACGGTGGAGACTGTTCGCTGTTCCGGGGACGCGTGTCGTATCAGTCGCAGCGCGAGGAGAGTGACGATGACAGCTCGGTTGACGAGAACCCTGGCCGGAAAGAAATGTACCTCCTGAGCAGTGTGATGCCGGATCAGATAAAGACCTGGCCGAAATTCCGGCAGATGGCGCTAGGCATGGGCAAAACACCGCGAATTGTCCGCGTCGATTGGCTTCTTGATATTGCGATGTCACAGGAACTGCGCAACGCAGAAGGGTACGAGCTGAACGAAGATATGGCCGACCAGGTGGAGGAATGATTTGTATCGCGATTGGTGTCTGGAGCGTCCGCAGCGGTCGGTTTATTGAGTGATATCTCGGTGTTCTTTGTTTTTGTGAGGATTCTTATTGCTGTACATTGGCATATTGCGGTTTTGCTTGCAGCCTGATGTTGACCCAGCGACAATACCGGGCTGGCGGGATGAATGAGTGCGTTTGAGCGTCTATTAATCTAGAAGAACTTGACACCTTCTTGGCCTTCATTACCAAAGACCTGTGCCTTGCCTCTCTTGACTAAGACGTTAAGAGACCGAAGCATGGCGTCCGTGTCCATACCATGCCATTCTAGAGAGTCAGCATCCTGACCCGATAGCTGTTCCGTAGGCGAGTGTATACATACCTTGTGACATGGCCGTTTCTCCTTGTGTCAACTCATATACGGTAAGCACCACGTTCTTCTGCCCGGTATTCTCGACCTGATACAGTCAGCCCATATTCCATTTCCCAGATTCACAAAAGAGAGACATACCCAGTCCGCAACAAGACTCGCCCACTCCTCTGGTCTCCGCCACCAGATCCAGGCGATGGTCTTGTTCGCGCCGTCGATCCACTCTGCCCTCTTCCCGCCGCCGTCTTCGCCCTTGGCCATCCAGTCGATGACATTCCGCGCCTCGGCCAGTGACAGCCGTTTGCGCAGCGACGCATTGTAAAACAGCGGCGACTCGATCGCTTCCACCAGGGAGAGGCGGTAGAGCCGGTGATGGCGACACCAGGCCTGGATGAGGGAGGACCATTTCTGGAGCTGCGAGAGGCGCGTTGCGGCGTTGGGTTGCGGGGTGAAGAACGGCGGGAAGGAGTAGGTGGGCGGAAATTCGAAGGGTTGTGCGGACGAGAGAAGAGTGCTGCTCATGGTGAGGATGTCTATAGGTGTATCAAAAGATGGGGAGACTTGTGGTTGAAGTGTCGTTGGCGGAAGAGGGGAAGGACTGATAAGATGCGATGATGATGATGATGATGACTCCGCACGCTCCTCCGCCGAAAAATTTCCGCCCGCAACCCTCCCAACCCCAACTCCTCTCCTGTCTATACCCCAACTCAACCATACTCATTCCCTACAATTGCACATTATCCAGCATGGGCAACTCCCGAAACAAGCGCGGAAAGCGTGAGGCAAACCGCCAGCGAACGGTCGAAGCCCTTGCCCGCGCGCAATCCGGCGCCGATACAGGCGCCGCGCTCCAACTGCCGCAGAAGAAGTTCTATCGCCAGCGCGCACATGCGAACCCGTTTTCAGACCATCAATTGAAATAGTACGTGGCCCTCTTCCCGTTCGAGCGCCCGTTCCCCGAGGGCTGACATGCATCAGTCCGTTGAGCCCAGCGCACATGGACTGGGCCTCGCATTACCCTGCGTTTGAGAACCCGGACCCCGCGCAGACCAACCTCGGCGGGTTCAGGAAGCTGCTGAAGGACGTGGAGGTCGTCGACATTGGCTGTGGGTTTGGCGGGCTGTTGATTGGACTGGCGCCGCTGTTGCCTGAGACCCTCATCGTTGGTACGTATGGTGCAAAGACGACGAATAAAGACGACGGGATTGACGATACATACCAGGAATGGAAATCCGCATCCAGGTCCTCGACTACGTCAACACACGCATCCAAGCCCTCCGCACCCAACAACGACACTTCAAACTCAAATCCGCCGGCGGCGGCGGCAGCGACGCCGCGCCTGAATCCCCCGCCGCACCACCGACGCCCAGCGAAGCCGCCTCGCCAGACTCAACGACGCCCTCGGAACAACAGGCGCCGACGACGCTGGTCCCCGGCGGGTTCCAGAACATCTCGGCGATCCGCAGCAACACGATGAAGTTCTTCCCGAACTTCTTCGGCCGGGGCCAGCTGTCCAAGATCTTCATCTGCTTCCCGGATCCGCACTTCAAGGCACGCAAGCACAAAATGCGCATCATCTCCGAGACGCTCAACGCCGAATATGCCTATGCGCTGCGCCCCGGGGGCCTGCTGTACACCATCACCGATGTGGAAGAGTACCATCACTGGATTCTGAGGCATTTCCGGGAGCCGGAGGTCGACGGCGCTGTGCCGTGTGATGATGGGGCGGATGGGATCAAAGAGCTCTTCGAGCGGGTGTCGGACGAGGAGCTGCAGCAGGATCCTTGTGTGGAGGTCATGCGCGAGGCGACGGAAGAAGGGAAGAAGGTCTCGAGGAATAAGGGGAACAAGTATGTTGCTGTGTTCCGGCGGAAAGCGGACCCCGAATGGCCGGCTTGATGATGCCTGATCGAAAAGTTCTGCTTTATTGGTGGTGGGTTGGTAACGTTCCTAGCGGTCATATCCATTCGACAACTCATGCATGAATAGATTCAAAGGTCTTAGGTACCCGTATGTAAACTACGTGTTAAAGCGGGTGTAATAGCAAAACAGGCAATAGGTCATTCAATTTCGAATCATACACATAACTGGCCACACCCGCTCCTGACTATGCAAATTTCCAGCAACAACCCAATAAGTCAGACAAACTCCCGCTTGCGACATATGCACCTGATGCAGAAAGTCGATGTAATGCTTGTACCGTATACCCTCGCCATAGTCAACCATGTCAATCACAGCTAGTCAAACATCTCGTCAGCATACTCAAGACCATCAGGTTCGTGGCGACGCCTTGAGTCGGATGCCTTCACATCTCACACACACGGCCAGTTGGACAGGCCCTCCAATGATACGGCCCTTGGCTGTCCTCTTGGGCTCGCCTTCGCGCACAAAGTACCGGCCATCCGGCCCGAATCCTTCACCACACTCATGACAAACAAAGCAGGCGTCATGCCATTGCCCTCCAACCGCGCTAATGACCACATCGTCCAGCACTGGCTTCTTACAGCCCAGGCATCGCGGAGCGGTGCGGCGGGAGTGGCACTGAAGACACCAGGCAAACCCGTCCTTCTCTACAAACGGGGTATCGTGACCAAAAGGCTATAAATGGAGTTAGCACGGGCTCATACTCGAATATCCGGGGGAATCTTACATCACCACACTCGGCACAGAAGAAGTGGCCGACGTGCCATTCAGCGCCACACGCCACAACCACCTCTCCTTCAATGGGTGTTTTACAGCTCTTACACCTAGGGCTGAACAGTTCGTGAAAATCGAGATGGCAATAAAACCGCAGCGAATGCGCCTCTTCATCATCTGGAGAAGTGTCTGCCAGTCGTTCATTTCGCTTCGCCTCCGGCTCTTCGTAGAAAGCTACACATTCCAGTGCAGTGTTGCAATGATGGCACACGAAGCATTCGGGGTGAAAGCGCGAGCCCGCCGCCGTGACGATCCTCCCCGCAATGGGGAGCGAGCAAGATTCGCATTTCGCGGTGGGGACTCCAGAACGAGTATAGGTTGATAGCCAGCGATCCGTCACAGCTGGCCTAGATTTCTTGGGGGAAGAGTTAGATAGGTGGCTGTGCCTCTGCTGAGCTGGCAGAGGCTGGTTTCTTGTTTGATCTCGTGAGGATTCCTCCATCTCAGAGATAGTAGGTTCCTTGTCATCCGGGAGGTTAATGACAGGAATAGGCGCCGCCTCCGAGACCTCGATAGTCGGCGCCGGAGGTGCAGGCGGCGGCTGAGGCGCCGATTGACGCTTGGGGGGTGATTCTGCCTCAGCGGGTTTCCACTGGGGGTCGAAACTCACGATCGGCCGGCCAGCTCGATCGCTGACGGCGGTTGGCATGGGTAATTTAGTACTCCGATCTTTCAATTTCTTGCTTGTAGCGGCCCGGATATCATCGCTGCGTATCTCGACGCCATCTTTCGTCGGCAGGGGTTCTTCCTCTGCAACCTTTGGCTGGGAAAAGGTATCGTTCGTTGTGTACCCGGGGTCTCTCGACTGGCTTGGTGGGTTTTTGTGAATTTCAAAACGGGAGAGTTTGTCATATATGGAATTCCCAGATCGCGCTGGGAGAGGCCGTGAACCTCGCAGAATATTGCGCGGTCGCGATCTCAAGGCCGACGAATCGGACCTAGAGAACAGCGGACGGTCGTCCTCTTCTTTTGGAGAGTCCTTGGGTTCTTCGTATATCTGATCGGTTGGGTTCCTGAAGATATTTTTGGGAAGGTCGGTCCCGACATTGGTCAGGCCCAGCCCACAGTCGTCCTTAGTACTCCTATGGGTGTCCTCCCTGGGCAAGGCGAAGTTCACTTTTCTCCGCAGAGATTCCTGTTTCCTGGGACTTGTGTCATCCTTCCCAGGAGACGTCTGCTGTTCGTGATGCGCCGGCTTTTCCACCGGGCTACCTCCACCGCTCTGACCCGTTGAGAATCGTTTGAATACCGGGAGATGACTCTCACGTTGAGAGCCGGAAGACCCTAGACTCTTGGTATGTGAATGGCTACTCTTTTCGGGGCTCTGACGGAGCTTTTCCATATCGGGATTACGGTAAGGCGCGTACGGGTTCTTGTAAGGAACACCAGGGTTCAGGTGCATCCAAACTAGCTCCGTTGCCTCATCCTGGGCCGCGTTATGAAGGCGGATGTCGTCTTGTAGATCCATCTCCTGCAACGCGTCACGCAAGGAGCGGGCCTCCTCCTTTTCCTTTCGCCGTTGCGCACTCTCCCGATATAACGCGTTCGGTGACGGGGGGCTGGGACGAGAGAAGCTTCGAGTGGGAGAGACAGCCTGTCGACCAGGGATCGCCCTGGGCTCTTGGACGAGAGGACGCCCGGCGGAGCTACCTATGGATCCGCGAAATGACATCGGGCGGTGGTTCGACAGGGCGCTGGTTGCACGTGGACGTTCGATCTCAGCTGCGGGTGCCGCAGATGGGACTCGCTCGTGCCCGTATGTCGACATGGCGGATGCCGCTCGTGGTGGGAGGTCCTGGTGCGTATTGGGGGTTGACTGGGAAGCCTTCGGGGGAAGAGGCCGCGAACCCCCTGGACGAGTCGGACGATTTGTCCGCAGGTCCTTCAGATAGTTCGCTACGAGGCGAAGAAGAAAACAACAGGTCAGATCGAGAGCATATACACCGCTAGTTGGTCACTCCACCAACGGCTTTGTCACGGAAGAATGCCATGACTCAGCGTGGACAGAGCGTCAAACTTACCGATCTGATCACTGGACATGTATGTAGGACCGGGAGGCGTCACCTTCCGTTGGCCGTCTTTGGCCTTGTGGTGATGGAGATGGGGTCTATGCATGATTTATAGCTGGAGACAGAGGGCTAGAGAGGGTCGACGATGGCGGTGAAAACATCGAGGGACAATTGATGAGTTGGACAAGCTATGAAGTCAGTGTCCGAAGGCCAATACGGGCCAATGAAGGGGCCGAGGGTGGCTGGGAGTGGAACAAGGGTGGAATGAGCTAGAGAGATCTGGCGATTTCCGATCCACTGACTAGTGAGACTTGAGACTGTTAGTGAGCGAGCTGAAGAAGAAGAGAGTGGGTTGGGATGATTGTCTGGACAACGCGATAGTACTCTGTACGGAGCAGTTCACTGATAAGGGACGGAGTGCTCAATGAGGGGAAATCACAACAAGAACAAGCGTTGCAAACCAGCCAAACTTCCCCATCGGGAATAGTCGCCCGTCGCGAGGCAACGCGGGGATCTCACTGACTCAGCATGCCCTAAGCCCTAGTTAACTCTCTCTAACTATCTCTGATGTTCTGATGTTCTGATGTTCCATGAGGAATGTATTGCTCTTGTTCCATCATTAGTTATGAGACATCTCTCTAGCACTGAGTTAGCACAAAGACAGATGTACTCTCCTAGAGGAAAATGCCGGAGAATATGTGGGACAGCACACGTGGTTGGCAGGAGTTCTTTCCGATGCATTGTTGTCCCGAAGGAGTATACTATATCTTCCCGTAGGTATCCTTTCATGGAAGAAATCAATCCCTCTACATACGTATGTACATACGTACCTATATCTACCCCATTCTCCACATTACCCTCGGTCCTCGTCTCCAACTCCTCATCTCCGCATCGGTTGACTCGGCATCCTCGCGCGGTGCTAGTCTGCTCCTCCCCGGGCCACTAGCCCAATAATGACCCTTGGTTGGCGTCGGAGTCATCGCCGACATCATGCGGCCAAGGATTCCCTAGAACGGTGTAGTTAGTCGGATCAGATTATTATCCATGGCGGTTTTTTCTCTTTAATCCCCGTCTTCTTCAGACACTCTCTCGTATACATCGCTTTCTTCTGATCCTCCAATGTGAAGTTTATGTCTTTTTTGCGTTAGCCAAACCCTATCAGACACTCGTGGCGGCCTTAGCCGACGCCATAGATTCGTCCGTTCGTCGACAATAGCATCATCTCCTCGCAGAATTGCAAATGGCAGATCATACGCCTATCGATATCACCCGTTCGCGAGATTATGAGCCATCTCCCCCGTCTCGCATCTCTTCCCGCAGACAAGGAGATCCTGCGTCGCAGATAGAGCAGCATCAAGGTGCCGAGTCGGAAGACTTGGAGGCTAAATATGCGCAGGATGTGCCTCCAGACGGAGGCTATGGCTGGGTGTGCGTTGCCTGTGTCTTTTGGATTAATGCCCACACCTGGGGAATCAACAGTGTCAGTACACCACATACTATCTTCTTGACAGAGACGCAAGACTGACCACCGTCCCAGAGTTATGGCGTCTTTCTATCGTGGTATCTCTCCCACGACGTCTTCCCCAACACCTCAGCCCTCTCCTATGCCTTCACCGGCGGCCTGAGCATCTCGTGTGCTCTCCTAGTCGCCCCGCTAGCCACACATATGATCCACGTCTTCGGGACCCGACTGGTCCTGAATCTGGGCGTCTTTTTCGAAACCCTCTCCCTGATCGGATCCTCCTTCGCCACCCAACGATGGCACATCTTCCTCAGCCAAGGCGTCTGCTTCGGCTGGGGCATGGGCTTCATGTTCGTCGGCAGCGTAGGCATCACCCCGCAGTGGTTCCAGCGCCGCAGAGGGCTCGCCATGGGCATCAACGCCGCCGGCTCCGGCCTGGGCGGTCTGATCTACTCACTCGCAGTGGGCGCCATGATCCCGCGTCTGGGCCTCAGCTGGGCCTTTCGCATCCTGGGCATCATCGCCTGCGTCGTAAACCTGGTGTGCGCGAACCTCCTGCGCGACCGCAACAAGCACGTCGGCAGCCGCTACAAGGCCTTCCATCTGCCGTTGCTCAGGCGGTCCGAGTTCCTGCTGTTTCTCGGCTGGGGCGTGCTCAGCATGCTGGGCTACGTCGCCCTGCTCTTTAGCCTGGCCAACTTCGCCCTCTCCATCGGCCTGTCCTCCCACCAGGGCAGCATCGTCAGCGCCCTGCTCAACCTGGGCCAGGGCCTGGGCCGCCCGTTCGTCGGCATGTTCAGCGATAAGCTCGGCCGCATCAACGTCGCCACGTTCCTGTCGTTCTGCTGCGGCCTGTTCTGCCTCGTCATCTGGGTGTTTGCCCGCAGCATGGGCGTCGTGTGCTTCTTCGCCGTGCTGGTGGGAACGGTCGCCGGCACGTACTGGGCGACGGTGACACCTGTGCTGGCCGAGATTCTCGGACTGAGAGATCTGCCCATGGGGCTTAGCATCAACTGGATTATTCTGGTGGCGCCGACGACCGTCTCGGAGGCCATTGCTCTGCTTCTGCGCGACTACAGCACGCCCAGTTCGATTTACCTGAGAGTCCAGCTGTTCACGGGATTCATGTACATAGGCGGCTCGCTGTGTCTCTGGCTGGTCCGAGGCTGGAAGGTGCAGGATCTGGTCCGAACGGAGCAGACGACGGTGTCTGCTAGCGCAGACAATGGTGTGAGGAACGACGCTGCGGAAGAGAATGCTCCTGTTGCCGGAGACGAAAAGAATACGCAAGCAACTGCGGCTCCTCCGCTGCCGAGTACCGACTCCGGCCAGACTGCGTCTGTAATGGCGCTCTTGCGCAGCATGGTGGCTCTCCGAAAAGTATGATAGACAAACATGCATAGTTCTAGTATATAGGTAATACGTTGTTACTCGGTGGAATGCGACGCCAGGAACACAACGTGCATATGCTTCTAATTAACGTCCTCTGAACAGCCTCGTATAGTGGTAACCCTATAGTCCTAGACGCCATGTTTATTCACATCGAATGTCGTAATTCAAAACTTTTCTTCCAGCTTATTTCTGACCCCCCAGTACCAGGATCCGCACCCGTCTCTTTCCTGCGCCCCGTCCGCTCTCTTCCTTCACAGAGCTCACATTGACCTTGACCTTCTGGAAAAGTTCCACGGTCAAGCCCCGGGATTTGTCGGTCTGTCCCTTGTCTGAGACGTGAAGAGTGTACTCCTCGTTGTCAAAGTCACTCTCGCGGCGGATCACGAGCTCGCGTCTTTCCTCCACGGACTTCAGCGCCGAGTCCCCGGGGAGAACGAAATCTTCCAGACGGACCACACCTTCGATTCCGAAACGGGGCACAAAGACAACCACTCCGTTTTCAAAAACACGCATCACATAGCCTTCCTCTTCAATCCCGCCGTCCACTCCGTCGGCCGACACCTTCTCGCCACGTGCCTTGAGTGCCTGGCCGACGTAGTACTCGATGCTGGCACGACCGGCAAACTGGGCGTTGCGGTGGCGGTAGTTGATATTGCGGCAGATGTCTTCCAGTCGATTCCGCGTCATGACGCCTTCGACTGGCGCGCGTCCGTCCTCGCCTTCGTATCCAATGGCGGACGCAAGTTGCCTGTGCACTAACAGATCTGCGTATCGTCGAATCGGAGAGGTGAAGTGGGTATAGATCGGAGAGGCCAATCCGTAGTGGCGGAACTCTGACTCGCCATGCGCACCTGCGCAGAAATACTCTGCAGACGTCATGCACCGAGTGGCAAGAATACGGACCAACGTGTTGAAGAAGGGATTGGCCTCGTCGACGCAACGATCGAGCGAATCAGCCAGCGCGCCGGAGCTGGATACATCGAGCCTCATATTCCGCTTCTTAGACAGCTGATTCGTGAGCTCCTCGAAGTTCTGGGGCGGGGGTGTGGCGTGACGTCGTAGCAGAGCGGTCTGCGAGAAAGTGCTGTAGATCTTCGATGCGACAGTAATATTGGCGTGAAGCATGAATTCCTCGACCAGGCTATTCGTCTCCAGCATAGCCTTCGTCTTCACATCGGTCAGGGGATCTCCAACCTCGTCGTTGTCGGCTTCGATGCGGACCTCGGGGGAAGCCAGGTTCAAGGCTCCGGCGTCCATACGCTTCTGGCGAAGTATCTTGGAGAACCGCAGCAAAGTGCGCATGCTCTCTGTTAATTCATCCTTTTGGGAGGGGTCGTCGATGCGCTTCTGAGCCTGCTCATAACTGAAAGCTTCCCGGGAACGAATGACAGATTTCGTGAAATCAGCAGAGACTACCTCCGCGTTGGGAGTCATTTCCCAGAGCACAGAGAAAGCATACCGTTCCACGTAAGGCTTCAGAGAACAAAGGTCCGTTCCAAGAAGATGCGGAAGCATATCGATACGCTTGTCCACCAAGTAGACTGTTGTTCCGCGAAGGCTGGCTTCGAGATCCATAGCATTGTTGGGCTTAACGAAGTGCGATACGTCAGCAATGTGAACACCAACTTCAAAGTTACCATTCGGCAGCGGGCGTGCGTGCAGAGCATCATCAATATCCTGACAGCCAGGAGGGTCAATGCTGCAAATGAGAAGATCACGGAGATCTCTCCGTCCCTTCCAGCCAACATTGTCCTTGCTAGCTGGAACTCTCCAGTCATGGCCCTCTGGAGGAAGGCAGTCCAAGACTGCCTTGGGGAAGGGCTTGTACTGCACATCATACTCCAGCAACAAGGCTTCTGTTTCGGCGCCCTTGGTCTCCAGCTCTCCGAGTGAGCGAATGAAGTGCCCGGTAGGGTATCTGGAATCACGATCCCAGGCATCAATAGTAACCAAAATCCGCTGTCCCAGAAGGTCGGCAGCTTGACGAGTCCGGACTCTGATCTTCGGCACACGTTTATCCATGGGCAAAACAAAGACCGTCTGTTGTCGTCGTCCGGAGGTACCCTGCGCACCTGTTGAGCCGGAGTCAACATGCCCGACGTACTGCCGCCAATTTCTTTTCACGACACCGACAACTTTAGCCGTTGGCTGGGGTTTACCCTCAGAGTTCTTTCCATGCGCCTTCTTGACTTCTTCTTGAAGCGCCTTCCGTTCCCTTTCTGTCACCACAGTTTCCGTGTCTTCACTTTCCGGGTTGTCGTTCTTTGTCACGGCCTCTTCTTCGACAATCTTGGTCGAAGGCGCCTTCCACTGGTCTTTGGGTAAGACTTCGATCACCACAACATCCCCAGAGATGGCGCGGTTGCTGTTTTCACGGCCCAAAATAATCAGCGGTTTGTCGAATGCCGCAACACTGACAGAACCTTCCAGGTAGTTGTAAGGCGACACGTTGAACACACCCTGATGTAGCGTACCAGCCCTCAGGCCAGTCATGATCTTCGACATGGTGTAGTATTCGGGGTAGAAGAGTTCCCCACGAGCGCCCTTTGCTTCTCTTGCTTCCCTTGACTCGTTAATCATGTCGAGCAGTCTGTCCGAATCCTCGAGGCCGGAAACATAATCCGACAGCGACAGGGCCGTCACACCCTCCTCCTTTGCCTTTCGCAAATTTTCTTTATCATCTGTAAGCACGACAATGGTTGGTAGGTTCTTCTCCTTCTTTCCCCTCTTCGCCGCCGCTCGGAGGTGCTCGGTGTACCATTTCGCAACGGCGCGAACGGCGCGATCATTCCGATCATTGATCGATTCGTCTGGGTTTCTCCGAACATGAGTCTCTAGCCGAAATTCGTTGAAGAATAGGTAGAAGCGTTTTTCGTCGGTCTTAATTAAGGAAAGCAGGCGATTGTAGAGGGGCAGCGACTGGTTCTTAAGTTCTTCGAGAACGGTCTGAAGGATGACCACGTCGTAGAAGGCTCCAGTGTGTTCAAACAGGTCCATTCCATTTAACAGCGCATTCGTATCGGGGACGAGGTAATGGCCGCGGGGGAAGGCCGTTGTGCCAGCAGGTTGGTCCGAAAGGACGAACGGCGCAACTATTTCACATTAGCGACAGGCAACGTCGACAGAGCTGGACAAGCCTTACTGTTTCCATTTGCATCTGTGGGCGCAACAGATGGGCAGATCGAGCATAGCTTGGATGAACAAGGAATGTCCTGTCTCAAGTAAAGCTCTCGAACAATCTTTTGAACCTTTCCACTTTTCGTGGACCGGACAAAGATTTTGCTGGTGACATTTGCGGCGTGCGGATCTGTCGAAAGATCCCGTCGTAGACTTTTCATCTTGCCCGGATGATGACCTTGCTTTTCGCAGGTCAGCTCACGATTCTGAGCGCGTTGATTTCCGGGGCTGGTGGTGTAGTCAGTGACGTTTTCTAGCTTGCGGTCCCGCGTGCTGAATTGGAGTCGAGATAACCGTCCGAATCGGGAAAGGCTGCCGACAGTCCGAAGTAAGCATCAATGCCGAGCTCTTCTCTATCTCCCCCTCTCTGCAAAGACGTCTTGCATTCTCTCTATTGCCTGATAAGATACAAATAGCAGTATAAATGGCTAGAGTCGTATGAATCCCAAATTCAGGCTCTGTATGTCAGTGAACATGCACTAACACACCAACAGGCAGTGGGTCAGCTATGCTCGACGGCGAATATGGCGGCCAATCTGGCCCAGTGCCAAACATTGGCGCGCAAAGCAGTTGCGGCTGGTGCTAAAGTACAGTAACCTCGATAGGCCTCGTTGTGTCTAAAGACCACCAACTGTCTCGCTCACACCTCCTTAGGCGTTGTTCCTTCCCGAGGCGTCGGATTATATTGCCTCCTCTCCCGCAGAGAGCATCTCTCTAGCACGTCCTGTGCAGGATAGTGAGTTTGTATTGGGATTGCAGCGAGAGGCTCAGCAGGGAAACTTGCACATCAACGTCGGCATTCATGAGCCCGCGCCTGATGGCAGGATCAAGAACACTCTCGTCTGGATCAACGAGAAAGGCGTTATTACTCAGCGCTACCAAAAGGTGCATTTATTTGATGTGGACATAAAAGGCGGTCCTGTCCTAAAAGAGAGCGCGTACGTTGGTGACTTGACTGTATCCAAGAATGATCACACGCCGCCGTGCTAACTTGACGTCAAAGGAGCGTCGAGAAGGGGATGGAAATCCTGCGCCCATTCGATACTCCAGTGGGACGTGTTGGTCTCGCCATCTGCTTTGACGTGAGCTTCAAGGGAATTCCCATGAAGAAAGGAAAGTACAACTAACATGGATGTCTACTCGGTAGCTACGTTTCCCAGAAATCAGCTTATCGTTACGGCGACAAGATGCCCAGATCATCACATATCCATCAGCGTTCACAATCCCAACGGGAAAGGCACATTGGGAAACCTTGTTACGTGCCAGAGCCATTGAAACTCAGTCTTATGTTATTGCTGCAGCACAGGCTGGGCCTCACAACGAAAAGAGACGGAGTTATGGCCATTCACTTATCGCGAATCCGTGGGGAGAGATTGTGGCTCAATTGGGTGATGGTTATGAAGAACCGGAAATTGCAGTCGCTGATCTAGATTACGATCTTCTTGAGAAGGTCAGGCGTGAGATGCCTCTTTTGAGAAGGACAGACATATATCCAGAAATCTAAGGACAGGGGTATATGCTTGCTGGGTTGCTGCCTTTAGATCAGATATGCTTTTCAACTGCATGGATCGCATATGCTCTATGGGTTAAGACTTTATTTGTCCTTCTTTCATCGCTCTTTGGATCGAACAGGTGGAATAATACGGAGATATACGTAAACTTGATACAGTACACGCAGGAACTGGAAACAAAGGAAATAGAATAAGAAGACCTGTCTGTCTAAATCAGGGCCAGCAAGTCCTATATACTGGCACAGACACAACCTATCATCCGAAAGCGTTTTGAAATGTCCGATCACTCTATGTACAGTGAACAAAAACCCCGGACCAGGCGTTTACTTGCGCTGCTTGTCAGGATCCTCCAGGATACCCTCAGCCTCCAGTCTCCGCCGGGCTTCCTCCAGAGCCCATGTTTGTATCCTACTACTGTGTTAGTATTCGCGTATTTGGGGGGTTTCACCGGGACCAGCGGCAACTAAGGGGATGAACATACGAGGTGTCTGGCTTGAAAACGTATGCGACTCCAGCAACGAGCAGACTACCGATAAATCCGTAGTACCACAGGTTCTCCCAGCCCTCCTTCACGTATTTCTGGCCGGGCTTGATACCGAAAAGATATCCAGTAGGAGGATCATAGTGATCACCGTGATCAGCGGCGCGGAGGTTGCTTCGGGTCGAAAAGCCCTGCACGTTCTGGGGCTGGCGGAAAAGGGCGCGGGCGCGGAGGCACTGCGAAAGGGGTCGGGCAGACATTGTGAATATGTGAAGGACGAGATTTAACTTCGAAGTCCTAGTTCTGTCGGGTCTGAACGAGACAGGCGGTGGCGGGTTGAGAGGCCCCTGTCTGATATAGGACGGCAAGGGCGGAGGAACAAGGAGGCCGTTCTAAAGAATCCTTTAGCCGGCGACTGGAGCAGCGGGCTCAATTGAACAATTTCGAATCTGACTGCGATTGCTGGCGCCGCGGGAAGTGACAGAGTGGAGGGGTGACGAGATGAATAGTGGTTGATGTTCAGAAGCCGCAAAAGGCCGAACGGGCTGGAGTCGGAGTCATCGCGCTAGTCCCAATCGGGTGTGTCTTCCTCCGCCGCCTTTCGGCCTGAGATTGCAGGCACCAATATTTACCTACTTGGGTATATGCATTTCTTGCCTGAGGCAGGAACGCCCGACGCGCGACGACGCGTCCGGACGCTCCTTGTCGCATCGCTGCATGGTAATTGCATGCTCCAACCTCAATGGAACCCCTCCCTTCGAACCACGACCTGAATGTCACATATTTTTGGAATTTCTTATTCTCCGATCTCCATTTGTCCTGTCGTGTCTGCTTCGCGTTCTCATCTCATCAGTAAGTGCTCGCTATCCAAGATTCCGGCGATGTCACTCGCATTACTCACAGCATAATTCATACAGCTCTCTCATCGAGATGCTCTGTTATTCTCATCCACTATAAATCATGAATGTCACGAATCAATCTTCGAAATCTTATCCGATCTCCTCCAATTCGCGATCGAAACTCAATGCGTTTAGATATAAGGCCACAGACGAACCGGAGCCCGAGAAGCCATCATCGAAGGCAATCCAGAATGCGAATCATAACGACAAGGAAAACCAGACTTCATGGCTAAATGGTGTTGTGCACACGATGCCTTCTGATTCCTTAAAACAAGAGCCCGCTGCAGAACCACCACAGTCAAAACCGACGAAAGAATGCCCCCAAACACCAGCGAATCGCATTCCCTTGGCCGACCTTATTGGAAACACTGAAGATGCCCTCCTTCGAGACCCAGGGCCGCAAGTCACACCAGAAGACTATGTCATCTGGCAGCATGTTCCCCCGAGCTCAAATCCGGACACGGGAGCTCAAACACCGGCGATGACGGGAAGAAAGCGTCGACATAGCTCGTCACCGACGAGTTCGCCTTTGGCTGGGAATTCCAAGAGTGCCCAGAAGGAGACTTTCGATCTACAATCCTTCCAGACAGCCCTCAAAACTCCCCAAAATGATCTCGCTGCAGACCTCTGGAATAATTACGTGGGGAAGGTGACTGACAATGGCAGGCGTGATCTGCCACAACCTCGCTTTGCAAATCTTCTTTCTTCTTCGCCTCATACTCCTATGTCAGCAAGGACAGGACAGGATTCTTCTGGGCTGCGCCGCTCTAATAGCTGCAATGCCGAGTGGCCCAGCTCAAAGCCAAAGCGGCGAAAAATTGATGGAGAGAAAGTCCGCAGTGGTCGAGGCATCTTCGCTCGATCGAGAAGCAATTTTGTGGACTCGGGGAAGGTTGACACCTCCAAAATCAACCAGCTAGTCGAAACAATTGAGAAGAGCCTCCGGAGGCCTCAGCCACATACGTCAGATCGGTCTCCGGCGCCAGTATCCAAAATCAGTCTACTAGATCAAGCGAAACCCCTGGTGAATGGTGAAAGCACGCATCATTCTCGGTCGCAGGAGGTCGAAGTAAACGGCCACCAAATCACTGAGAGTTGCGATGCGATGTTGGAGACCTCGTCTGATTATGGTGATGACGACCTAGATCAAGGTTTCCTTGAGCTCGCTGAGGCTTCAGAGGACCCGTTCTTGGATAATAGTCGACAAAATAGCCATCCCGAATCTGGATATAAAGGGTTTGCTGCCAAACCTGGTCATGGTGGCATTGATCTAAATTCTGGTACAAACGAACTTGGATCAAGAAATACAGAACAGAAAATAATCGACTCAAGTGATGCTGATGAGTTTGACGATGAATTCGATGACTTCTCAGATAACATTGAAGACCTTCTCGCTGCGTGTGATGCAACGCCGAGCAATAGGTTACGCAGATCAGCTCCAAAGGATAGTATGGCTGCAGGAAAGCCAATTCTTAGAGCCGATGCGAATACCGTGTTCAATCAAGAGGGACCTCTCCTTCAAGTGCTGGAGGATTCAAAGGACGTGTCATCCAATGAATTCGACGATGGCGATCTGGACCTGGATGCTATCGAGCAATCTATGCTGCAGGCAGGCACAGATGGGTCAAACCATGTTTGTCACCCTTAGTGGGTATTGTTAGATATTCGCTAAGCATATTTAACATAGACAATAAATGGCCGACAAGCCATCAAGCGGTACCTCATTCTTGATATTGCGGAATCCACCTATACGACCGAAAAAGGCCGCGTACAACCAGAACAGGTCTGCTCCATATAAACCCTACGACCTATTTGCTTTGGCTAATGTGCATGGTACCGCAGGTGCTGTTAGTCCAAGACGAGAGAAGCAAGCTCAAAAAGGTTGTCATCCTACGGGAGTCGTGGTTTGACACTCCTTGCAGTAAAGACCTCTATATCCACCTGATTGGTGATTTCGATACTGCAGGCCAATGTGTCGTCAATGATTCACACAACATGATAATCCTCCACCCGGATCACCTGGTGTCCGCAACTGTGGTGGCAGACTCCATAGGCTGCCAACGCCGGGCTGTCCTCCAGGACCGTATCAAGAAGAACAGCGGTGATCTGGGAAAACCACAAGTCTTTGGCAACATTTTTCATGAAATCTTCCAGGAGGCACTGAAGCTAAATCAGTGGGACATGACTACATTGAGGACTATGACTGAGTCCGTCGCAGTGAAACACATCGAGGAGATTTATTTGATCCACATGAGCATTCCCGAAGCTGTCGATTATGTGATGAGCAAAATCCCAGCACTCAAATCTTGGGCGGAACTCTTTCTCAGATCAAAGCCTAGTGTAAGTCAATCAGTGATGACATTTAATGAACGCTTGAGTTTAACATTCTGCGCAGAATGAGTCTCTTGTCGAGGACCGAAACAGCTCTAAGATGCGTTTGAGCATAAACAAGCTCCTCGAAGTTGAAGAACATATCTGGTCACCCATGTACGGTCTCAAGGGAAATATCGATGCTACAGTACAGGTTGCTTGTCATGATGGCGAAAGCGAGAAGAATCTAGTTGTACCTCTGGAGCTCAAGACTGGGAACAGGGACACGAACCATGCTCATAGAGCCCAGACAGCTCTTTATACCCTGTTGCTTTCCGACCGTTATGGTAAGACTTGAATTCCCAATTAAGCAGTCGGGCTATGCGCTAACGAGCAATGTTATGTTAGATGTGGATGTTACATTTGGGCTGCTGTATTATGTGGAGACTTCGAAAATCTTTCGGATAAGAGGTATCCGGCATGAGCTTCTTCAGATGATCCACGCACGCAATCGTCTCGCTGGATATATGCGAGAAAGGACACACTTGCCGCCGATGCTCAAAAGGTCCTCTATGTGCAACAAATGTTATTCAAAAACGCCTTGCTTCATCTACCACAAGCTTGCTGATGACGGTGATGGCGAAACTAGCGGCCTTGGAGACGATTTCGTGAACGCCATGGACCACTTGAACGTACAGCATCGAGACTTCTTCCAAAAGTGGGATAATTTGCTCACCAAGGAAGAGCAGAGCATGATGAGGTTCAAGCGAGAGCTGTGGACACTACTCAGCAGCGAACGCGAGGCCCTTGGTCGATGCTTTGGCAATGTTGTTATCGAGCCCGGATCAGGTTATGAGGACAAAGACGGGATAAAAATTAACCGCTACCGCTACACGTTTGTCAAGAAGCAAGCGACCCCTTCGTTCTCCTTTACTGAATCACAGCTTACAGTGGGAGAACCTATTGTGATCTCAGACGAGGAAGGCCACTTCGCTCTTGCAAATGGGTATGTTGTGCAGGTCAGTCCCAGACGCATCACTGTTGCAGTGGATCGGAGGCTTCACAACGCTAGAACAAAGGCGGAAGGTTTCAATGCTCGAAACAATCAGACCTTCAGGGGTATTATGGAGATCAGCGATGATATCACGTCATCCAATCTACCCCTCGAGCCAGAAGAACAGACTGTTTACCGATTAGACAAGGACGAGTTCAGCAATGGCATGGCCACTGTTCGAAACAACCTTGTCTCCATGATGGAGAGGGATCTATTCCAAGCCAAAAATCTAAGGCGGCTAATCATTGAAGGCGAAGCACCGAGATTCAAGCCTGCATCGAAGTCTCCCGCGATTCCTGGATCTGATGGCGCGAACCTGAATGTGGATCAAACACGAGCCATTGATAAAGTAATGAGTGCCAGAGACTATGCCTTAGTATTGGGCATGCCTGGAACCGGGAAAACAACCACCATCTCTCACATCATTCGCGCATTGGTGTCACAGGGAAAAAGTGTGCTTTTGACCTCATATACACATACGGCCGTCGACAACATCCTTCTAAAAATCCGTGACGACAATATAAGGATTCTGCGAATCGGGGCGGCCACCAAAGTCCACCCCGAGATTCAGCAATTTGCGGATCTAGCAGCCACCCCCAAGCAAACGATGGAGGAACTGAAAACCGTGTATGAAGATTCGCAGGTCGTTGCAACGACGTGTCTCGGAGTCAACCACAACATCTTCAGTCAACGCATATTCGATTATTGTATCGTGGACGAGGCGTCTCAGATCACTCTCCCGGTGTGTCTTGGGCCCATTCGAATGGCGCAAACGTTCATCCTTGTCGGCGATCACTATCAATTGCCGCCCCTGGTACAAAACAAAGAAGCTCAGGAAGGAGGCCTCGACGTTAGTCTTTTCAAGCTGCTGTCAGACTCCCACCCCGAATCGGTCGTCAATCTCGAGCATCAGTATCGGATGTGTGAAGAAATCATGCTTCTCTCAAACAACTTGATCTACTCCGGCAAACTGAAATGTGGCACTTTGGAGGTTGCAGAACGGTCTCTGAAGCTGCCCAATCTCCCAGGTCTCAAACAACATCACGCGGATAAGTTCGAGGAGATACCCGGTCAACGGGAACTTTGCCTAGGCCCGGGTCATCGCTGTTGGCTACAAGACCTGCTGGACCCGTCAGCTAAAACTCGTCTGGTCAATACGGATACGCTTGGTACACCAGCGGTGGATGTGGCTAACGGGTCACGAATTGTGAATCCAACCGAGGCAACCCTCTGCTCCCAACTCGTGGAGGCATTCATCTCATGTGGTGTGCCAGCGCGCAGCATTGGGGTTATCACATTCTACCGCAGCCAGCTCTCGCTCCTGAAACAGAATCTCCGCCATCATCTGCCCGAGCTCGAGATGCATACGGCAGATAAATTCCAGGGGCGAGACAAAGAGGTTGTGATATTGAGCTGCGTGCGAAGCAACTCTGATAACAATGTGGGCGACCTACTACGTGACTGGAGGAGAGTCAATGTTGCTTTCACCCGAGCACGTACCAAGCTCCTTGTAGTCGGGAGCAAGAGAACCCTCCGGGACGGCAATGAGCTGTTGGCAAAATATGTGAAGCTCGTCGAAGGGCGTGGGTGGGTTTATGACTTGCCGAAGGGAGCCATTGAGAGCCACGTTTTTGAGTCCGACAATCCCCAACAGACGCAACTCCATTCTCCTCGAAAAGTGCCCAGCCCACAAAGGGGTTCTGGGACGCCTCGAACGACGACAAAACGCAATGCTCTGAGTCCACTTCACGATCGCCAGACACCAGGGGGACTCAAAAAGCCGGCGAAGAGAGGTGCGAAGCTCATGAGTGGCAGCAAGGTTCTTGGAAATCGGCCTGTGTTGCAAGACGTGGTGAACGACATTATTGGATGATTGTTATCGAGTCACGACATTGTATATCTGTCGTGCTTCTTTTGGTTATACCTATGCGCTAATGGCAGGGGTTTGGTATTTACGCATTATGGCTGGGAATTGGGTCAAAGACAAGGAATGACTGTTATTACGATTTTGGACATTGGTAGGATAAGGCATCACATATAGGTAGTATAGTAAATCAAGTCATGATCCCACCAGGCTATTATGATCTGTAACGATTGACAGGGGGTATACTTCTATAAGATTGACGCACCGACATATTCCCAGCACACAGAATATCTACTGTCTTTGGACTGCTTGTTCGCATCCTTCCCATCCGAGGTCGTCTTGCCCTGGGAAGACGGTAGCGCCATGATCGTGTATCCATCTTTGCCTTCGACAGCATCCCTTCCCAGAGCATTCGAAGTAAGGGCGAACCAAGCACGATCCGCAGGGGCACTCAGAGTCTCTCGTCTGTGATGGCGATAAGTTAGCATAACCGGGATTTAGATGTCAAAAGGGAGGCCTTGACCATACGATAATGTGATAAACAACTGCATGATCCACTTTGGCGGAATGAGGCCATGCCATTTTAGACGGACCAGGTTCAGAGACTGGACAGACCCTTCGCGACCAGGCACACTGTACCGACATAGGAACGGGTCTGTATCGTCGTCTTCCAAAATGCGAGGGGAACCGAGAGCCATCATTCCCAGCCATTCAGACAGCTCCTCACAGCTTTCTTTGAGGTCCTCGTGGGGGGTTCGGTCTGTGATATTCAGCTCGTCGAAAGACGGCACTAGCATATTCGCACGACGAGTGGTGACGACCTCGGTGTCAATAATATGTGGGTGATTGCCTTTCAGCTCCGTGTCGTCTGTTGAGTGTTAATACACATTTTTTGATGGTAGGGGAATCTCCGTGCTCCAGAGGAAAAGATACCTTGCGAAATCCCATTCGACGTGGGCGATAGGTCGTAGAACAGCCAGGCAACTGAGTGGTTGAGAACGTTCTTGAAAGCCCATGCAATCCTCTCAAAGCCTTTCTTGCCGTGGAGCATCGAGGGTAGTCGCAGATTGAGTTCCACAACTAAGTTCACTGGTGAGTAGTGGAACTAGCGGGAGATGATGTTCATATCACTTACGATATCTTTCTTTTGCGTGTTTTCTTCCGCCACTGCGAATCGGGCGTCCTGTGAGTCCTGTCCGTTCGAAGATCTCTTTTCCGAGTTCTAGCCTTAAGACTCCTAGGATCGGTCAGTCGCAGTCGCGGGCAGGAGACGTAATGTACGGTGGATAACTTACCATCTCTGAGGGTGAACACATTATCCGACCCAGATTGTCCTTCGGATATCATAAGGACGTCCCCTGGAGTGATAACGTCAGTTTGGGTATGCAGATTGGAGCGGCTCCAATGTGGGTAACAGAGTCGGTACCTGATTTAATATATGTGTTGAAAAAGTCTCCATCAAGGAGCGAGGATAGCGACATAAAGACTCGAGCATATCGGATGTTTTGGAGTTTCGTGTGTAATGATCGCTGGGCGGTGTTGTATGCGTCTTCAGGCAGAATGACCTCCACCTATGGTCGATCAGTTCTCTCCTAGTGATGATATAACTGCGTGATGGATGAATTAATACCGTATGCACAAAGGAGTGTCCCCAGATGGCCGAGAAAGGCGCCTTCTTTGTAGGCGGCTGCTTGGGGTCGATGTAGGACGGCAGCTCTGAGATTGTTGTGTAGCACTTTTCGCGCCGAGACGCGTCGTCTTCAAAGTCTAGCATGATGCGACTTGGACTGAATATCTTGAAGTATAGATTCTGGTGTGTCTGAGGCTGGTCTGTAGTTCTGCCTCTGCGGTGCAACTGCGTTTTTGGAGCTCTGTGGGAAAGTCGGGAGACGCAGAGACTTCACTTGAACATGCAGGACGAACTACAGAGATAGAGAGACTGGCACTCGGTCAATGTGCGCTTCCAATTTAGTCGGAGCCGTGGTGTCTCGGACGCTCAGAAGGACATTCAGAAGGACATTGGGATGTTGAAGAATGAGATGTGGTGCTGAGGCCTTTGATTGGGTGATCCGCTCGGATGGTCTTCGCTGGGAGACGAGAAGTATGAGAGAAGTACAAGAGAAGTATGAGCACGGTCAAAATACAGAAGCTCTAAGCTATTCAATGAAATAAGATTGTATATACTTGCTCTTACTTCCTCGGTCTTTCAGCTAATAATGGATCGCGCAAGGACGGATGTTATGAAAAAACCATTGTTGATGCCTCAGGCTGCATACATGCTCTCATTGTCACCGCATTCAACGTCAACTCCGCAACTCTCTCTCTCCCCCATTGTCCAACAGCGCAACTCTGCCCCAACACCAACGCCCATGATTGCAATTCAGCAATAACACCCGTCTTCTTCCGTGTCCCTCATCCTCGTCCCCCTCACCACAGCCCCTCGGGGCACCCGCGGGTCGCAACCGCAACCGACAATCGGGATGGCTCCCCCTCCTCGCCGAAACCTCCTCCCAAAGGAGCGATTCGCATACGCCTTCGGAAACCTCAAGACACAAAACTACCATGACCCCATCGCGCGGACTCCCGGGTCTCACACGTGCGTGCCCGCCCGCCGAGCGATCGCGACGGTCTGAACACAGAAGCTGACAGAGACCGCTACTCAACAGGATCCGAACGATAGCATGGAACCCTACCGGCCAGCTCGTCGCGACCGGCTCTGCAGACCGCACCCTTCGAATATGGAACCCCGAGCGCCCGCAAGTCCGCTACTCCACGGACCTGCGCGGTCACACCGCCGGCGTCGAGAAGGTCGTCTTCAACCCCGTCCGCGATGCGGAGCTCGCCAGCTGCTCGACTGACGGCACAGTCCGTCTGTGGGACGTCCGCTCGAAGACGTGCGTCAGCCGCTTGGACGTGGGCGGCGAAGCCTTCACCCTGTCCTGGTCGGCAGACGGGAGCGTGATGATGGTGGGGAGGAAGGTAAACCGCCAACATGCACAAAGTCGCAATGACACGGACGCATGCTAATCCGAGCTTCCTCAGGACGACACCCTCATCCCGATCTCGGTGCAATCGCCCTCCACGCCGACAATCCTAGCAGACGGTCCGCCCGCAAAACCCGCCAACAGCCCCTCCACTTACACGGTGCTCGACTCGCATCCGCAGCCGGTCCAGACGAACGCGACGGCCTTCTCGCACCACATCCCCACGCCGACTGCGCCGGACCTGCGCCTCTTCGCCACCACCGGCGAAGGCACCGTCAAGATCCTCTCCTACCCGTCCTTCGACGTGCTGCACACCCTCCACGCCCACACCTCCGCCTGCCTCTCCATCGCGCTCGCCCCGACAGGCCGCTACCTCGCCGTCGGCGGCAGCGACGCCCTGATCTCGCTGTGGGACACGACGGACTGGATCTGCCGGCGCACCGTGTCGAGCAACAACGGCGGCGCCGTGCGCGGCGTGAGCTGGAGCTTCGACGGCCGCTTTATCTGCGGTGCCTGCGACGAGGTCGGCTGCGGCGGCAACGGCATCGAGATCTTCCATGCCGAGTCTGGCGAGAGTGTCTACACCGTGTCTACGGGTGGAGGGTCGAACGCCGGTATCCCCGCTGTCGCGTGGCATCCCTCGCGCTACTGGCTGGCGTACTCGACCACGGCGGATGGGCCGGGGAGTGGTGGCGCCGGGGGGCTGAAGATTGTTGGTGCCGCCGGTGGGGGGCTGTAGAATGTAGCCTTGTGCAGATTGATATCGATATCCTTTTTGTTTGGTGTTGATGGACGCGGGAGTTGACGGTGTCGGGTCAGGCTTGTCTGGTTGAGATGTTGCCTTGGAACATATAAGTCATCTTGCAGATCTAGAGCATTTCATTCATGGCTAGTGTCTTTCTACAATCATACATCCGGTGCATGCATAAGTCCTTGGACAGGAAAAGCGATAGTTCATGTCTAATCATATGCCATTGGTAGCATCCCAAATATACTAGTATCTAGAGACAGTAATGCCATGAGAGTCATCTAATCCGCTATCCGCGGGTATCTTGCCCTTTCTCCCCGAAATATCAAAGGGTCAATGTACAAGACAGCAGGCTTGGGTATCGAGAGCATTAAAACAGTCCCAGGGCGACAAATGCCGAAACGACCTCTCGATCCACGTTGAGAAGCCAATCTTCCTGGAACCGCTGCTCGCCACCGCAACCGACGATCAGCGAGCGCAGTCGTTCGCGGACAAAGTCTCGGATGTTGATCTTGTGCAGCGCGTCCGAGTTGTCCCACTGACGGCGGCGTTCGTGTTCCGGGGGCTCGTTCTCGTCGTAGCGGCCCGTCTCAGCGGCGTTCCAATAAATCAGATGATCGCCGCCGCGGGGATCGTTGGGATCACCGTCTGTTCCCTCGGCGAGTTCGGTTATAATGTCTGTCCAGATGGTAAGATACGATTGTAGGTGGTTGAGTATGTACGGGGGCGGCTGTGAGTCCGGTCCGTTGAGAGTGAGGAGTTGGGTGAGGGCAAGGGCGTGGAGTTTCTTCTGCGTGACGCTGCCGATGTTGTCGTAGTGGAGGAACCATTCGGTCAGGATCCAGGTGAGGACTTGCTCCTCGGATGTCCCGGTCGCGGCAGAGACGGCAGACGAGAAAATTTTCGGGTACGCGAGGGCCAGACGGGCGAGCACGGAGAAGTAGTCTGTCTCGACGACACCGTATACGGAAGTCGGTTTTCTGTTCGGACCGGTTGTCTGGCTAGCCTCGTGGGCGGAGTAGAGGCCCTCCAGGAGCGAAGACAGGAAAGAGCTGTCGAGGAGGGAGCGGGCGAGGACGTTATATGTGGCTTCGCTGCCATCGACAATTTCGGCGCCACGGATCATGAGTTCTACCAAACGGGGCACAATTCCGAGGCGTTGGCGCGTTGTCGAATGGAGAAGTGTTTCAAAGGAAGCCAAGAGCGGAAGTCGGATATTATCGCTGAGGATCTCCTGCGGAGCAAGATAGATATAGGACTCAACGATCTGGAGGGCCTGGGGAACACTATCGGTTGCGGCCTCGAATATAGGGAAAAGCGCAGGGATGAGGGAGAGAATCTCGGGAGAAGCTGGGGCCGGAGTTTGCATCAATATGGAAGCCCACAGGTCCAGCGCTTCTTCCAGGAGATAGATCAAAGTTTCCTACAAGAGATGAGCAATCGGAATAGTTTGAAGAGGATGGAAGCGCAACGTACTGAACCAGGTTCGACCGAGTTCTGGATTAAAGGTAGGATTATAGGATGGTATCGCACAGATTCCTGTTTCAGGGAGTTGATCAACGACGAAAGTAGTGTCAGAATAGCCTGTTTCATCAAGTGCTCCTCCCCAGAGCTCTCCCACAGCGGAGGCAACAGTGAGAGAATCTGGTCTGAAAAGGGGCCGATCTAGACAAGTCAGTATACACGAGGCACGGTCAAAAGAACGTACACTTACATGGTCTTCCATCTTCACCACTGTCATGCGGACGGTGTCCAAAAGCCCCATCTTGGTCTCGGAGAGTTCAACCTCCTGGACCAGGGACATCAAGTTCTGAAGAATGGATGGTGCAAACGGCAAGAAACCAGCAGGAGAGAATTCGAACGGCTCAAGGACTTGCTTCAGCTGCCTTCCGGCAGTGATGCGGACCACCAGGTCATTCAACGGATCTTGCCTGTTGAGGAGATGTTGGAAGATTTGATAGATGGCGTTCTTGTTCAACTCGCTCGATTTCACCGGCACCCACTGGGCCAAGAGCATCGCAATTCGTCGGCGGAGAAGATTGTATCCCTGTTCTTGGATTTGAACTTCGGGGACGAGGGTCGTCTCGAGGAAATTGTTGAAATCCAGGTGTTGTTCCAGACTAGCCGCGGCCAGTCCAATGGCAGAATATAAGGAATCCTTGAGCAGCACATCGCGCTTTTCGGGGCCTTTCGAGGTGCTTTGTCAACGGGGTGGATCTACTAAGGGTCTTAAGCACTTACTTGCAAACGAATAAAAGACATTCAATAGCCGGGGAATGAGCAAGTCTTTGAAGTGGATAACGAGGTCGAGGAAAAGTTTCTCGGAACATGAGCGAATTGAGAATTCCCATGCTTCAGCGATATCTTCTTCTTTTCTTTCCCACTCCTCAGGGTCCTCCTCCCATTCCTGAAAGTCGCTCTTCCTGTATCGGAAGAACTGTGTGACAAGCAACTCCATGACGTTGACCACAAAATCATGCGTGAACAGCTGAGACTTGATCAGATCAATGGACTGCCTCTTCTCTTCCTTATCCTGGGGGGTCTGATATTTGAATGTCTGCGCGGGATTGAACGCCATCTTGGAGCATGCACGAATGAGGAGGAGAGCTTTGAGCCCAGTCTTCTCCATCAAAGACTTGCCTTCGTTTTCTCCATCAGAGCCGAGTTCGTCATAGTTCTCCCCCAGTTTAACGACCAAGGTCCAATATGACCGAACAAGGGGTATGCTGTCTGGGAGCAATGCGAACGAAGCAGCATGCTCCTTGGCCATCTCGACATGGAGTTTCGACAGCTGCAGAAGATGTTTCTCGATTGCCTTCAGGATACTTCCAGGCAAATCGATAGAGCCGTGAACAAAACCCAAGAATCTGCTGAAATGCGAGTGAGTCAGGAGCCAAAACTCACGGACCTCATTGTCACGGTTCGGATGTTCGTAGCCCGCAATCACAAGACGCCGGATGACCTTGAGAGAGACCAAGCTCTGCTCGACCGGTTCCAGCAATGTTGCCTCGTCTACCACGCCCTGCTCCACCAACGAGGCCCATTTGTTCACCTGCTCCAGATAGATGTGTCCTAGAAGATGGAATATCTCGGGAGAAACGGACTGGAGATTGGCGCGGGTCCTCTGTAGACGGGCCGTGGATAATTCCTTTATGATCTGTAGGATTATTATGAGGGTGCGGGATAGCTGCAGAGGGTTGGCGCCAGGCTGCGTCGAGGAGCGGAGAGAGGCGATGAGGGAAGAAATTGCGTCCGGCCTTGACACATTAGCATGCGATATTGCGACCAAGAATAGACGGGACCCTCGCATACCAATCTTGTGGGAATTCGAAGCGCATGATTTTGGCGATCATCAGCGCATTATGGAGGGCGAGCAGAGGGGCAGGCTCAACCACGCCCGCCTGTAGCGCTCGAGTCTTGATCTGCTCTTTATCTTCCTTTTTTATGGCACTTGGCGTTGTCAGTTCCCAGTTTCTTTCCTCGTGGTTATTGATATCCCTACTTTGTCGCCGTCTTCCTCCAGTATTTGTCAATTCCATTCTTCAGCTGGATGATCGCGAGGTATCGAACTTCGGGAGGGACTGAGTGATCTAGAAAGACATCCTGTACAAGTGAGTCGGTATCCAAACATGCGGTGGCGGTACGCCGTGTCAACAGATAATAACCTACCTGCAGATAGCAGTAATACTTCTCCTGTTTCTCCCAGTGCTGGAGCTGTTTGGTGCCGGTCTGCACCTGCTGCTGCGTCGAGCTCGCGGCCAGGACCAGGGCATTGAGCACATTGGGGAGAGACAGTGGGTTCGCCTCTCCCGGCAGTTCGACGACCATGATGAAGGAGGGGTCAGGAACAGACCACCCGGTGCGTCGCTCGATGTGGAGTGTGACGCAACAGGGGCAGGCAGCTTTCTGGATGGAAATGAGGTCTGGGGGCGACAATATGAGCTCAGGCTTGTGTTGGTATTGTAACTATCGTATTTCTCCCCGCGCGGCGGGACATACCGGCGGCAGGTTGTTCCCTTCCGAGAAGCCCTAAAGGTCGACCCTAAGCGCTAAGCTGGATCGGGCAGGATATACCCAAGGATGTAGTTACGAGGAGTGATATCATAGCTCTTGAACTTGCCTCTGGACATGGCTGGTTCCAGTCACTTTTCCCTTGATATCAAGACTCGGTGGAGACAGGCGACATCTTTCGTCTGGTAGTTATTACATCGCTATGATGTACCCTGATGCAATACATGTTCCTGGTGCCCCAGCAAGAGATATATAGTGTGCTATGGACATCATCTCGATCGAGACTAATCCCTTCTACTCATAATCAACTATTACGAAAACACACACACCAATATGTCTGAATCCGAACATCTCCGCATGGCTGCTCGCGCTGAGCGCGACCTGAACTCCTATCAAGCCAAGCAGGGTCTTGGTCGAAAGAGCGATTCCAGTACGTTGCGTTCGACCTGTCTTGGACTATCTGGCAAACTAACAACTTCCAGCCGAGGAATCCAACATCAATGAGATGGCCGACAAGCGGTTCCCGCAGGCCACGGGGATTCGCACTGGCCGCGAAGCCGGTGCGACGGGGAGCGGCCGAAAGCCCATCCCTGAGGAGGAAGGAGGTATGAGAGACGATCGCGGCAGGTGAGTACCTTCGAGAATGATTATACGCATCCTGGCCAGCAGGTCCTAACGCCTTCTCAATTAGACTGGCACGAGCCGAGGACTTTGAAGGCCCTGGAGGCCCCGAGGACAAAGTGAAGCTGCAGTCGGACCAGCGTCCAGGCGACCAGGATACCCTCAACGCTCAGGATTTGAAGCGCGAAGGGATTTATTAGATTAATGAGATAACCAAACGCTTCTAGAAGCATTCAAAATCATATCATGTTATTCTCCAACTCGAAGATCTGTAAGACACCACGTAGTAGATACGCAAAGTCTCACCCTTTCAGAGCACCCTAGCCGCAACACCAGCACCATAAAGCACTATAGAAGAAGAGTCATGTCTGGAATATGATCTACAGGGAATAAACCAATCCCTCTTCAGGACGCACAGCACCATTGGAAAGTCTTTCCCATCCCCCGTATATTCCATTCTCTCCAGCAATGCCTTGTCCGTAGACTAAACGCATGTCAGGGATGGCGGAGGCACGGTGTGCTAACCACTCGTTCCACCTGCGCGAGACTTCTCCAAAATACGCTGCAGCTCCCTCCCGGTTGATGATTGTATCCTGGATGCCAGAGGTGTTGTACTGGATCTTTCCAAGTGACTGCATAGCTGCACGAGCAGCCTGGGCTTCGTCCGCCGTGTACACCTGGATAAAGTCAACGGAATGCCTCAGACGCGAAGCCAGAGAGACAAACCTTCTGCTGACTGCCCACCTGCAGGATGACAGTTTTGCACGACCGGAGCGCCGACTCCTGAACATTCTGGCATATCTGACTGAGGGCATTGTCCCGCGCCCCGCAGTCTACAATCACGACCTTGGACGGCTGTAGACCCTCAATCCACTCAGTTGCTTGGTCGATTTCCGTATATGCCAATGCCATGGACGCACTTCCCCAACCTTCTCTGTCTGCCACCTCCTGCAACGCACCACGCGCCGAAGTGACCTGTACCAAACCCAGGGGGCCACTTTCCCTGGGACGGCCGAAAAGACACCATGAAAACGACCGCGCAACCTTGGCCGACGCTCCCAAAACCACTACAACAGCCGACGAGAGATCGGCATCGTCCGCAGACCAGGGAAGTTTACTCGCCGCGCCAAGCGGATGAACGGGTTCTCGTGCGCGCGGGTCAGGAGAAAACACATACTCACTGAGGAGGTATCCGGCGACCCAGACCCCTCGGAAAACCGTACCCCACGCCCTCTCATCTAACCCTTTTTCGTCATCGGGGAGTACCCGCTCATAGCGATTATATAGAGGCATCAGCTGTTGTCTGTGGCTGCTAACCTCCACCCAGTGGCCTTCCGGATCACTGCGTTCCAAGCGCAGGAGAGTGGGCGACGTGGAGGTAGGCCAGTACCCCCAAATAAGGGAACCTGGGGTGAGTCCAGGGACATTGCTCTCCGTGACAGTGGCGTATCCCCATGCCGGGACGATGCCCCAGGAGGATTGATCGTTGTATGGGGCCGGTGCGTTGGGCGGGACCGGGTACGTTTCCCACCTGCGGGTGTCAGTGACAAAAGATATAGAGACAGGCCGCATACCAATGCAATAGATCTCCTCCACGGGCATAACTGAGGTTGTTGGAAGTCAGTCCTAGAAGGATTGGTCGCGCACGGACCGACGAGGAAGGCAGGCTGCGGTCTAGAGATGGAGGAAGTTTCACCACAGCGTGTTGGCGGTTGTCGGCCTTGTTGACAACGTGGATCATCTCTGGGTTTGTAGCAGGGGATTCCATCCTAATTACTGTGATAAAGAGAAAGAAGGGTCTGTCGGGCTGAAGCAGGTGGCCTCTGCTCTTCTAGTTTTCGTTGTGCTTTCTTTGTCTGCCCCTCCTTTAGGGCGCTGCAGGCATCCTGGCGTAAGATTTTAGTTGACTAGCATTTAGCTGCCAATGTATGTCTTCTAGTATCGAATATCTACTAACATCAAGTTTTGGGTCTAGAGCCTGTGAAAAACCCGAACCACAGGGAGAATAGGTCTATATATTATATACCTAAGTTATATTCAGAAACATATCTTGCTATAGCCTCCAGCTATCGTTAAATACCCATCTAGCTATGAGATTGAAGGCGAGCAAGTGTGTATACAAATAGGTGCTATAGTAAAGGAATGGAGTAGGCAGTCCAAAGTGTTATTCTCTCCCCTAAAGTTTTGTATAGAACCTCGTAGTAGAGTATGATAGCTGGGGAACAAAACAGGCTAAATACCTTAGCAGCCCGCCCAGTCACTCCATTGTTGTTGCTGTTGTTGTTGTTGTATGAATGGATACTTCTACCACAACATGAGCAGGATTCGGTGATGTTACTGAGTAATGTACTCCTCGACGCCGGCTCCTTCGGAACCAACAGATAGACCACCTCGTGCGAGATTGACAAGAGAACAAGAAGGCGTTCCATAGGATGCTGGTTAGCTCCGGACCATGAAGATGACAACCCCGCACCGAGGGAGGCTTAACTCCGTCCCGCCCAGCTCTAAGGTTATAAATTGACAGTGACGCCGCGAGAGGTTGTATACCACCCTCATTTTCATTCTATACTGCAATCTGACTACCGACGAACATGGCGACCAGCGATATCGAAACCCGGCTCTTCATCAATGGCGAGGTACGATCACTCCTACTCGAACAGCTTCACATGGTTGACAACGCTTATGCTGACCAGCTCGAATACAGTTCCAGCCGGCCGTTGACGGCAACGTCTTCAAATTGATCAATCCATTCTCGCAAGAAACTGTTGCAGAGGGTATGCCATCCTCCCGACCTGTCCAAATTCAATTTCTCTAACACCAACCCCCAGTCCACGAAGCAAACGAAAAAGATGTAAACAAGGCCGTCGCCGCCGCCAAAGCGGCGTACCCGGCCTGGCGCGACCTCAGCCCCGTCGACAGAGGTGCCTACCTGCACAAGATGGCCGCATTGATCCGCGAAAACATGCCAGAATTTGCCCGACTCGAAGCCCTGTCCACCGGGAAGCCCGTCGCCTCCTACTTCGACGCGCACCTCGCCGCCGAAGTATTCTCATACTACGCCGAGGCCGGGTGGAACGTGCAGGGCTCCTCGAGCCTGAACACCCCGGGCCACCTCAACCTCACCATCAAGCAGCCATACGGCGTCGTCGCGTGTATCATCCCGTGGAACGTGCCGCTGGCCTTCTTTGCCATGAAGATCGCCCCGGCCCTGGCGGCGGGCAACGCCGTGGTGCTCAAGAGCAGCGAGAAGGCGCCTTTGACGGTACGTCTCCGCGCAACGCCCGTACAGCCATACGCTAACGACAGCAGTCCCTCCTCGGCGCGAGGCTGATCGAAAAAGCCGGCTTCCCTCCCGGCGTCGTCAACATCCTCTCGGGCTTCGGCTCCCCCGCCGGCAGCGCGCTGGCGTCGCACATGGAAGTGCGCTGTCTCAGCTTCACGGGGTCCTCGTTCACGGGGCAGAAGATCCAGGCGGCGGCGGCGACGTCGAACATGAAACACGTGCACATGGAGCTGGGCGGCAAGTCGCCGGCGATCATCTTCGACGACGCGGACCTCGAGAGCGCGGCGCAGCAGACGCAGTTCAGCATCCAGCTCCTCAGCGGCCAGACCTGCATGGCCAACTCGCGCGTCTACGTGCAGGACACCGTGGCCGAGAAGTTCCTCGCGCTCTTCAAGGACAAGTTCGGCGGCAATGCGCGGCTCGGGAACCCGCTCGAGCAGAGCACCTCGCACGGCCCCCAGGTCGACGGCATCCAGTACAACCGCGTCAAGTCGTATCTGGCCATCGGGGAGAAGGACGGCAAGCTCACGCTCGGCGGGGACGGAGGCGATGGCTACTTTGTCAAGCCGACGGTGTTTGAGGACGTGCCTGAGGACTCGCGCATCATGAAGGAGGAGGTGTTTGGACCCGTGGTGGTCATCAACACGTTCAAGACGGAGGAGGAGGCCATTGAGAAGGCGAACAACACCGAGTTTGGCCTGTATGCGTCCGTCTTCACCAAGGACATTGACCGGGCCGTGCGCACCTCCAAGCTGCTCGAGGCGGGGACGGTGGGCGTCAACTGCACGAGTCCGACGGTCGCGCGGGATATGCCCTTCGGTGGGTTCAAGATGAGCGGAGTTGGTCGCGAGGGCTACATGCATAGTTTGGACAACTATCTGGAGACAAAGACGATTCTGATCCGGACTAGCTCGTGAGCTGTGTTGGTATGTGTTGGTTTTATGTACTTTGTACTCGAGATTGTACGCTTTGCAATGCCAGTGTTCTTGGTTCAGTGCGATCATTGTATGTGGCGGTCTATGAGACCCCCGAAAGTTTGGAGACAACTAAGAGCGAAGACATCGTAACGCATTTACCATCATCACTATTTACCATCTAGGACATGTTCACATGGCAGAATGCTGAACTGAGGATAACCAGCCCAGAAACATTCATTTTGAAAGCAGGTCAAACGACACCAAAAGCGCCCATGAAAAGGCTGTAGAATGAAGGTACTCTGTGAGAGCCTCTCAGGGTACTGGCGGATGAGGAAGACGTGGCTGGCGATGGAGACGAGGTTGTAGATGCATTGCTTCTCGTCGCCGTCACATCTACGTTGTAGCCGGTCTTCGTGTCATAAGGGAAAGGACTCGTATAGTTGTAAGTGGGCGAAGTATCTTTGTAGGTCTCCTTGACGATATCGAGGATGCCATGACCAGCAGAACACTCGGCATCGGTGAGGGGAATCGGCCACTCAGGCGAGTATTCCGAATATTCGCCCGTGGACAGCGGCCCGGGGTAGGTCTCGTTGAGACGCAGGTGGGTGGTGTCGACATCATAGTTGACATAGCCCGTCTTGTTTGCCACGAGCTCCAGAATGTTGGCGCCACAGTCCCATCGTCCCAGCGACGGGAGGCCCCAGTTGGCAGAGACGCTCGCAATCATGGAGTAATGGGTGTAGAACGTGTCGTCTTTGGTGCCTTTCAGGTTATCTGGGACAGCACCCCCCAGGAGGATGCCCATGATGCGATTGTCTTTGGGATAGGTTTCGTCCTCGTCGAAAGTGAGGAGGACGAGGGTGTTTTCCATAAAATAGGAGTTGTTGAGCAACGGAGTGATCCAGTTGCGCTCCCATTTGGCGGCAAAGGTGAGGTTGGTGTCGTGCGCGTCGTTGGTCATGTTGGGGGTGATGAAAGCCCACTGGGGCAGCTTTTTGTTGTCCAAGTCTTCGTAGAAGTTGGTGAAGTTCTTGATCTGGCGCAGGCGGGTGCTGTTGGCCGTGACCGAGTCGTAAAGGATCAGCGGGTTATGCTTCCGCACGTAGTCGTTGGCGTAAGTCTCCTGGTTGGAGTAGTTGTATCCTTGGAACCCAGGATACGGCATGTGTTCCTGGTACTCTCCCCATGCGATATTCTTGGTGTCTAGTAGGTCTGCAATGGTTGACACGTTGGCAGGGACCCGATTGAAATCATCATTGTCCATGCCAAAGGTGTCACCCCCCGCAGAAGAGCAGTAGTTTGGCTCTGATGGATGGGTTACGGCATAATAGTTGGTACTGTCCGAGTCAGCTGGGATGAACGATAAACCGGGCAGAAATTCAAGGAACATACAGCGTAATGCCCTGCGACGCCAGCCATTGCTTGTTTTTGTCGGCTGCCGCGTCCTCATAGTCCTTGGATACGGTCAGGATCTAACGATACAGTCCATGAACCGCATACTTACTATATTTTCCAGCCACACCTGGAAGAAGCGGTCAAAGGCAAGGCCTTTGACGTTGGAGACGGGGGAATAGGGCAGAGTAGTCGCCGCCGCAGCCTCAATCTCTGACAAAGAGGGTTCTTCCTCTTTGGCTGTTTGGGCAGAGGCCAAAGAGGCCGCAAGGAGTGCTGCTGCGATGGGGTACTTCATCTTACTCCGGAGTACCCTTAACAAAGTCAATGGCGAAAGAGGGGTCCACGAGGACCGCAGAGTCGATCCTCGGGCTTATAACAAGACGGGTCAAAGAGGGGAAGCATGCATCACAGCGAAAGCCAAGCAAACAAGAGACACAAGTTGGAGAAGGACAGGGAATAGGGTCACATCGCTGCGGAGGACAGTCGGAGTAAGAGGTGACGCTTTGACTTTGACTAGTTGGGCGGGCTACTTCTTTGGGAAAAGCAAGCCTGGTACCTTGGTACCTAGGGCCCATGTATGGATCTACCAAAGAGGGGTATTAGTGTACACTCCATAGAGCTAGATAGACAGGTTGCATCGAGAAATAGATAGAGGATCATCCGGTTTCTTATTGGAGATAGGTCAAAGTAGGCACCTATTTAGCTAGGTGGGTAGTGGTTAAGTACCTGTACCTACGGAGTTCTCCGTTATCAGCGACGACACCGCTGGATCATCCAGCCTTATGAGCGCAGAACAAGACATAGCCACACCCGTGCCGTCTGTCTGGGCGAGGCTTGCTTAGTCTTGTAACTAGTGGTTGTTATAAGCGCTCTTCTTTCACGTTATATGACTAACTCATACATCACGTGGACCTTGTACCTCGGCTGGGACTCTCCCCGATCTGGGGAACCGACCGACCGGCGAACCAGTTCACCTCCGCAATTGCTCCTTATCACCGCATCCTCTGTTCCAACCCTGGTCTCCCTCTGCATATCGACAATGATCATACGATGAGCTCAACCAACTTCGCCGCTGCTCAGGAGCGGGTTCTGGAACGCCGCCGTCTTCGTGAAGCTGAGTCTCGCGCTCGGCTGGCAGAGCAACAGCGGGCTTCCCCGGTGAACCATCCCGCCCTCCAACGACTTCCATACCCGCTCAATACCCTCCCACAAACCGGCTTCTCCCTATGGAACGCCATTCGAGGCCGTGAGGGCATCCGGCCTGCCTTTCGCGTGGGTCAGGTCGATGCCGAACTCCTCGACGAAGAACTGCTCGGCTTGCTCAAGAACCAAGTCGGCGATGCCCTGAAGTATTATGGGGTAGGTTCTTTACTCTGTTGATACGCTGCATCGCGGTTTAGTGTCGGATGCTCGAATGCTAACCATTTTTAACAGCCCCAGCTTCGCGAGGACTGGTCCAACGAAATCCAGTTTGCCCTGCGCGCTCTATTGTTCAAGCTTTCGATCTGGGATCACGACGCCTCCTACGGCGCGGCATTGCAAGGTCTGAAATATGTGGACAGTCGCAGCAAAGGGCCCGTGCATTCCACCCCGACCAAATGGCAAAAGACACTGTATGGATTGCTCACCGTCGGTGGCCGTTACGCGTGGGACAAGTGGGAAAGCTGGCTGATCAACCAAGAAGGGGGCTACGAGGAGGTATGTTCCGTTCCATCCTCCGACAGTCCGCTATCCCTCCTAACATGACATTCCTAGCCATCGCGCGAAGTGCGCCTCCTATCCCGACTGACCGATCTCGTCTCAACCACCCACTCGATCGCCGCCTTTATCTCTTTTCTCGTGTTCCTGGTCAACGGCCGATACCGCACCCTGGTCGACCGCATTCTTCGCATCCGCCTCACGCCACCCTCTGCGCAAGCGAGCCGCGAAGTGTCGTTTGAGTATCTGAATCGCCAGCTGGTGTGGCATGCGTTTACGGAATTTCTCCTTTTCCTGCTGCCTCTGGTGGGGATCAGTCGCTGGCGACGGTGGGTGTCTCGAGCCTGGCGGAAGACCATGGCCACGCTGAAATCGAGCGAGGACGAGGACGAGACTGTGGAAAAGCAGGGAGAGCTGGCTTTCCTCCCCGAGCGGACGTGTGGGATATGCTATCAACAGAACAACCCGTCATCTGCGACGGAGAGCGAAGCCATCGCGGCGTCGGCGGCATCCGGTGGAATCATCGGGTCCGCGCAGACGGACATTACAAACCCCTACGAAGCTGTTCCTTGCGGCTGCGTCTACTGCTTTGTCTGTCTCGTGCAGAAGATCGAAGGCGAAGAAGGCGAGGGCTGGGTGTGTCTGCGCTGTGGGGCGGTCGTCAAGAAGTGCAAGCCATGGAATGGCGATGTGCTGGAGGAGGCTCGGCCCCAGTCCAGCTCGGGAAAGATGGTCGGATTTGCTGTGGATAATGAGGCTGGAGTGAATGAGGTGTCGGAGAAGAGAGCAGAGAGTCCTAGCCCGACGCCGGAGGACGATGCGCTCCAACACTCGCACCAGTGGTCGACAATTGAGCGAGAATCAGCCGATGGTGAGTCGGACGCAGCGTCCCAGCATTCTGAGTGAGCATTGTGTGTTATGTTAGAGGTGACAGCATGGGATACCCAGACGATGTACATATTCCTATTCATTCTTCCATTGTGTTATAACTTGACTACCTTATTGTTCGAGTCTTAGTAATGGCTGGATGGGAGTGGCCGAGGCATTCCCCACATAATATGCACCCCGCAACGGACTGCTTGCCGATGCTCGTCGCAACTCCGACTGCCGGAGGCCTTCTTCTTCTCTTCTCACCTTCTCTTCCTCTCGTCCACTTCATTACCTCCTTCTAGGTACTCACCATGGACCCCTCGACTCCCGCCGTGTCGTCCACCATGGGCGAGGCCAAATACATCGAATTTCCCAGTCTCCCCGACGACGCAAAACACCCCGATGGCACCCCCGCGCTGAACCGCTACTCAACAACCATCACGAGAGGCCATGACTTTCCCGGTGCGAAGGTGAGTCGAGCTCCTGCATTGCGTTGCCGGTCAATCGGCTAATCGGATATATAGGCCATGCTGTATGCGGCCGGCATCCCGGACCAGGAAACCATGGCCAAAGCGCCGCACGTCGGAATCGCCTCGGTCTGGTGGGAGGGGAACCCGTGCAACATGCACCTGTTAGATCTGGGAAAGACGGTGAAGAAGTCGGTGGACGCACAGGGCATGATCGGATGGCAGTACAACACCATTGGTGTGTCGGACGCCATTACCATGGGCAGCGAGGGTGAGTAGCGTGCCCGCACAAGGCGTTCGCACGGAGCTGACGAACCAGGAATGCGCTTCTCGCTGCAGTCCCGCGAGATCATCGCGGACAGCGTCGAGACAGTCACCTGCGCGCAGTACCACGACGCGTGCATCGCCATCCCCGGCTGCGACAAGAACATGCCGGGCGTGGTGATGGGCATGGCGCGGCACAATCGGCCGTCGATCATGATCTACGGCGGCACGATCCAGATCGGCTACTCCAACCTGCTACGCAAGCCGATCAACGTGTCGACGTGCTTTGAGGCGGCGGGCGCCTATGCCTACGACACGCTGCGGCAGCCGGACGACGGCGGCGACACGAGCAAGACCAAGGACGAGATCATGGACGAGCTGGAGCAGCACGCGTGCCCGAGCGCGGGCGCGTGCGGCGGCATGTTCACGGCCAACACGATGGCGACGGCGATCGAGTCGATGGGGCTGTCGCTGCCCGGGTCGTCGTCGACGCCGGCGTCGTCGCCGGCCAAGATGCGCGAGTGCGCCAAGGCCGCCGACGCCATCAAGCGGTGTCTGGCGCTGAACCTCCGGCCGCGCGACCTGCTCACCAAGCGCGCGTTC